GGGAAAAGGAAGGGGGTAAAGCGTCAGTTTCAGTCTCAGCGTTCTGAGCTGCTTGCTTCGAAGCCAAGGTGTTTTGCTGCGCTCGCCGCTGCCCTGCCGGCGCGCGTCGCTTGATTGGTGTGCTCCCCTCTTTATTTCGTTGGCCCACACGCCTTTGATCGGACTTCCGGGGGGAAAGGGGAGGAGGGCAAAAAAGAAGAAGAAAGACACACACAAACTCACCACAAAGCTGCCCCAGCTCCTCGCCGCCTCTGCCTGATCGCGCCCACACGTCTCAAAGCCGGCGCGACTCGTCACTGCGCTCTCTGCACGCGCGCCGAGCCGCGGCAGCGGCAGCGGGAGGTGCTGTTGTTGCGAGGGCCACGCTCTCGACAGATGCGCCGCATCGATCGAGTAGGAGGAGGAGGAGGAGGAGGAGGCAAAGAAAGAGCGTTCGGCGAGTCCTAATGGCGCCTTGTTGTCTAAGGCGGCGGCAGCGGCTGCAGGTGCCAATGCGGCGAGAGGAGTGAGGGGCGCAGCTGGTGCAGCGGGTGCAGCGGGTGCGGCATGGGCGGCGTCTGGTGGCGGCGCAGCTGCTGCAGGCGGCGCTTGCGTGAAGATGCCAGGTGCGAGACGATCGATCAAGAGGCAGGAGATGGGACGACGAGAGCCGTACGGTTGACACCATGGCTCGTGTGCCTTTTGTGTGTGGGAAGCAGAGCAGAGCAGAGCAGAGAGAGCAGGGTAGAGAGAGAGAGAGAGAGAGAGAGAGAGAGAGAGAGAGAGAGAGAGAGAGAGAGAGAGAGAGAGAGCAGAGAGAGAGAGAGGTCAGATCAGCGCGCTGCATGAGGGTAAAAGGAGAGGATGGGGAACGTGCGGTGCGAAGCGATCCACGCTCCACGCTCCATGCTCCACGCCCCACGCCCTACGCTCTACGCTCTACGCTCTACGCTCTGGCGCTCTGACGCTCCACGCTCTGACGCTCAGCGCCAAAGCCAGTTGGCCATGGTCTGCCCGCTGCATGCCTTTGTCTGGAGAGAGAGTAGCTGCAAAAACTCACCTCGTCCCTCGGACAGCTCTCACACGGGCCCGTCGCTCTGCAAGCCCACTTTGCATGTCTCTGCCCCTGCGTTGCTGCAGGCGAAGCAGACGCAGAAGGCTTCGGCCTTCGTCCCCACGGCGGCCATTTGCCCGGCCATCCGCGCACCGGCGTGGCGCCGCCCGCGTCGGGGTCCCACGGCGCGGCGCCGAGGGCGAAGGCGGCGCCGGAGCGGCCGGGCGTGAGGTCGGAGGGAGAGAGATAGCCGGGCCCGGCGCCGGGAGGAGCGTGGGGCTCGGCATCACCCGGCTGCGGAGGAGGCACCATGGCGAGCAGCAGCAGCAGCAGCAGTGCGGGCAGAGCGGAGCGCAAAGAAAGTGTAGGCGCAGGTGCGAGGGCCAGTGAGGGCGGTGGGGGAGAGAAAGGAAGAGGGCGCAAGTGCGCGTCTGGTGCGCGTCCACGTCTCGCCGCCGCGCGCCCGGCCGCCACGTCGCCGAGCCCGCCGTTCTCACGCCGCGAGCAAGAGGCGCACAGAAGGCAGCGGCAGCGCAGCGGCGGCGCATCCTGATGTACTACTCTTACTGTTGCCCTGCCCCATCGCGCAGCTGAACCAGGGCGAGCGGGGGCGCACTCTTGCACCTGCTTCTACTCCCAGCCCTCACCACTTCGGCACGTGGCCTTGCATCTTCTCCTCGTGTGTTCATCGCTCTGCGCCGCCATCTTTCAAGTCGAGTGGAGCAGCCGCGCGGCGGCCATCGCGCTCTGCTCCCACGCCCGCCGCGCCCGAGGTGGCCTCTACTTGCGCCTCGACCGCCGTGGAGCCCGCTGACGAGTCAAGCAGCCCGCAGCGAGCTGCAGTCCGGCTTCTCTACATTCTGCGCCGGATGTTGCTGCCTGTCGTCTGCGCCTGGCCTTGGCGGAGGCGCTGTGGCGCATCCATGGCGCCGCAGGCGTGAGGGGCGCGCGGCGCGGCAGTACGGTGCTGCCGCGCACGTGATCCCAACACCAGACGCGTTGGCGACGCGCAGGCCCTGCAGGGCGCCCGCAGCGGGTCAACTTCGATGCTTTGATGCACGGCAGCCGGCGCCGCGGCGCGCTGCCCGCTCTCAGTCTGCCCGTGCCCGCGGCGCCGCTGGCCGGCCGCTCTCGCTTGCATCCACCACCTCCTCGGGTCACCCACGCTTCTCACTCACCTCTCCAACAGCCAGTCTTGACACTCACTGCCGCGTCTCACACACACACACACACACACACACAGCTCTGCTCTGCTCTGCGCCTCCCGCTCCATCTGCGCCCCGCTCTTCTCTCTCTGCGCCGTCGCCCGCCCCTCGCCTCCGCCCAGCATGGCCGCCGCCATGGCTCGCGCCGGGCCGTCGTCGCGCACCCTCGCACCCAGCACGGCCGCAGCTGCCGCCTACCGCGCCGCGCCGGCCGCTCCCTCTGCTGCGGCTCCCTCGCTCCTCGGCGCCGTGCCTGCCGCCAAGAAGAAGCCCGCGGCGACGGCGACGGCGGCGACGGGCAGCGCGCCGTCGCCGACGAAGAAGCGCGCGGCGAGAAGTGGCAAGCCCGTTATGCCGACGTGCCCGCCCGTGGTGCTCGATGAGAACAGGACGGAGTGGGTGCCCAAGGCTGTGCTGGGACAGGTGAGTCTTGCTCTACTTGGCATGCAGCGTATGGCAGACGGGGAAGCGGGGCGGCGTGTTTGGGGCATGGGCACAGCGGCATTTGAGAGGAGAGGAGCACGCTGGCTGAAGCATGCAATCGAGGCAAGGTCGACCATGACGCTGACGTTCGGCACTCCCCGATCTGCACTCTTCGACAGGGAGGCTTTGCGCGCGTCTTTCACATGCTGGGTCCCAATGGCGAAGAGAAGGCGTTCAAGTGCATCAACAAGGACGCCGTCAAGGACAGCAAGTCGACACGGGCCAAGGTGAGTCTGGGTGTGCGAGCTGCAGCGAGAAGGCGTCGATGCGCAGTCGTCGGGAGAGAGAGAGAGAGAGGGAGCAGCAAGAGCTGTGCTGACTCGCCTTCTCGCTTCTCCGCTTCCTCGCAGCTGCTGGCCGAGATCATGATCCACAAGTCGATGAACCACCCCAACATCGTCGGCTTCGAAGAGGCATTTGAGGACGAGGCCAACGTGTATTTCCGGCTGGAGCTGTGCTCGGGCGGGGTGAGTTTCGTCCTGTTCAGCCCTTACCTCTGTCGCGCCTTCGCCAGAAGCTGACCTCCCTTTCCTCTCACAGAGCATGAATGACATTCTGAAGCGACGCGGCGCCTACTCGGAGCCCGAGACGCGCTTCTTCATGATCCAGATTCTCGCCGGCTGCCAGAACATGCACATCAACAGCGTCATCCACCGCGACCTCAAGCTCGGCAACATCTTTCTCGACTCGGGCATGAACGTCAAGATTGGCGACTTTGGCCTCGCCGCGCTGCTCAAGTTCAGAGAGGAGCGCAAGAAGTGAGTGCTCGAATGCGACTGGGCAGCTGCGGCGGAAGTTGATGAGCCCCCCCCCAAACCACCTCACCAGGACAAAGTGTGGCACGCCAAACTACATCGCACCCGAGGTCATCGAGGACCCGAACCACGAGGGCCACAGCTTCGAGGTCGATGTGTGGTCCGTCGGTGTGATCCTGTGAGCATGCAGCCTTGAAAATGCCTTGCAGCACGGCGCGAGTCTGACGACTGGCCTGCAGCTACACGCTCCTCGTCGGCTCGACGCCGTTCCAGATGAAGGAGGTGGACCTGATCTACGAGAAGATCAAGACGAACAAGTACTCCATTCCCGACTCGGCGCGCATCTCGCAGGAGGGCCGCGAGCTCATCAAGAAGATCCTGGCGCACAATCCCGGTGAGTCTGCCGCGCGTGTGCGCACAGCAGGCTCTGGCAGCAGTGTCTGACTGACTTGTGTGCCTGCAGCCGAACGCCCGACACTCATCGAGATCATGAACGACCCCTGGTTCACGTGCGGGCCGGTGCCGCCCTACGTGCCAGCCTCGGCGACGGCCGGCACGCCGCACGACATGCCGCTCTCGCGGCACCGCGAGGACTGGGTGCGCAACTTTGAGACGATCAAGCGCGCCTCTGGCTTCCGCGACGATGCCGACGACGAGGCGGAGGAGGAGGAGGGCGGTGCGGTGCGGCGCAGCGCCAGAGAGGAGAGGCGCGAGCAGGAGAAGGTGGAGGAGGAGAGAGAGAGGTTGAACAAGGAGGTCAAGAAGGCCGTGCAGCCTGGCAGTCCGATTTCGGCACTGCTGCGCACGGCAAGACAACCTCTGCTCAAGGCGGCGGCACAAGGAGGCGCCTCGGGACAGCGAGGTGCGCAGCCTGCCACGGCGTCTTCGACAACAAGTCTGGCGCGCCAGCTCAGCGCACTCAACATTGGCCGGCAACAGGCGGCGGCGGCCGCGCACGGCGGCGGCAAGCTGCCAGTGAGCGACAGCGGACGGGGCGCCGATGCCTTTGGCGACAAGGAGAATGCTGGACGACGCGAGATGGCGCCTCCCATGGCGCCGCGGTCGCGCAGCAACACGCTCGGCACGCAGCAGCAAGCAGACTCGGCCGCGCTCGGCGCCGACGAGCGGCGCGTGCTGGGACAGAAGGCTCGTCTTGTGGCCGGGATGACTGCCACGGCCGGCAGTGCCGTCAGCCTCGCCAGCAGCGCCGAGTCTGTGCGGCGCAGCGACGACGTGCAGCTTCGCCGCCGTGCCGAGCTTTCGCCTTTCGACCTGATGCTCCACAATGTCAGCACGGCATTGCGATGCCTCGACCAGGACGAGGCATTCGTGCCATGCGACGCTGAGGGCAACGAGATTGAGGTGCCAGTGTTTGAGGCAGATGAGCCCGAGGGAGTGCGTCGGCCGGCCAACCCGTCGACCTTCATCATTTGCTGGCTCGACTACCAGGAGAAGTTTGGCCTTGGCTATGCGCTGTCCGACGGCACGGTGGGCGCGCTCTTCCGCGACTCGTCGACGATGGTGTACAACTACGCGCGCTCGCACGTCGACTACATCTATGCGGCAAAGACACGCTCGGGACGCGCCGAACTCAAGAAGGACTCGCGGCCGATCATGTCTGCCGACGAGATTGTGCAGCCGGGCGGCGATCGCGAGGCGAAGCAGCGCTTCAAGATCATGGCGCACTTCGAGTCGCACATCACCGAGCGCCTCATGGGTGCCGACCATCCTCTGCTGCGTCCGGACCGCGAGACTACGTCAGGCATGACGTTTGTGCACAAGTGGAACCGCTTCTCGCACGCCATCGTCTTCCGGCTGAGCAACGGCGTGTACCAGCTCAACTTCTTCGACCACCTGAAGCTCTTCATCTCGCACAACGGCCTCGTCATTTCCGCCATCGAGCCCGCGCCGGCAGACCACGACGGCGACCACGTGCCCATCCTGCGCAGCTACACGCTCGCCGACCTCGTGGCCATCGCGCACAGCAGTCGCGCCACGCGCGAGGCGCACGCGGCACAAGACGCGGCCAGCCAAGGCGTGGCATGCCCCCTGGCGCGCACGCGGCCGGGCGAACGACGCTTTGCGAGAACGCTGGTGCGCAAGCTGCGCTATGCACACGAGATTCTCATGCAGCCAAACGCTCTCGGCTCGGGCCGCCGGCTCGCCTCGCAGGCTCAACTGGCGCAGGAGTGAGCACGGCCACTGGCAACGCACGCCCAGGGCCTCTCTCTGTCCCCCCCTCTCCTCTCTTTCCCCTCATCACTGTCCTTTCCCACCATCCTGCATCCGTCTCGACCCCTCGTCTCATCCATCGCGTCCCGCCGCAAATACTGACTTGCCAGGGCGAGCAATCCCTTGTCCCCGCACCTGGCCCTCTGCCTTTCTGTTCATGTCCTCTTCTCGGCTCCTCTCAGAGCAACGTCTGCCTACAGAAACATAGCCCTACAGCAGCGCCCGTCGCATCCCTTCATCTCGGAAGACCTCACGTCCCGTCCAATGCACATCCTTACCCCGTCCGCTGCCTGTCTGCTCTCACTCTCTCGTGCGTGCCTGCCGGTAACGATCTAGTGTGACGAGGAAAGGAGAGTAGGCTTAGCGGTGCCGTGCGCATGAGGGCGCTCGTGTTGAGATTAGGGAGCAGTGCAAGCCTGCGGTTGCGAGTCTGGAGTGTTTCAGGCGCGAGAGAGAGGGAGAGAGAGGCGACGCTCGTCTGAGTGCGTCTCTAGGCCGTCTGGCTCGCGGCGAAGAAGTCCTGGCCGATCTCGGCGACCTCCGCCACGAGTGCGTGCAAGTCTGTCCATGCCGTGCGGGGGTGGACGACGAGGCTGTGAGACACGGAACAGAGCCACTGACATCAGCTTGGCAGCCACACACACACAAAGAGAAGCGCAAGGATAGAACACTCACCGGATGAAGTCGCCAAGGTCGCCCGGCAGCGGCGCAAAGTCGACTGCAAAGCGTCGGCGCGCACGCAGTGTGTCGTATACGTGGCGCGTGGCCTTTGTCCTGAGAAGGCAAGTGCGCGTCTGACCGTCGACTGCGGCGGCATGATGCGAGGGCTCCTTGGGTCGAAAGCAGACCTGCAAGAAGAGCTCGTCTGGCTGCGGGCCCAGCTCGAGTAAGTTGGCATGCGGGCCCTCCCTCACGAGCTGCGACACGCGCTTGGCGAGCTCAAAGCCAGCGTCGACGTGGGCGCCCAGACCATGTCGGCCGTAGCGCTGCCAGAGCAAGTAGAGCTTCAAGGCATCGCCTCGTCGACCACATCCATAGGCCATGGAGCCGGGATGCTCACGCCGAGCAAGACGCGCCTCGGAGGCTTGCGCCGACGCTGAGAGTGTGCTGTGTTGAGCATCGGCGTCGTCGGACGTCTCGTGGAAGAGATAGGCGACGTCCAGAGAGTTGGCGGTGAGCGCCTCGCCGCGCCGGAAGAGGGCGAAGCTGCACTGCAGCGGACTGTGAGGCAATGCGTCAGCGCACGTGCGAGAAAGCAAGGCGGCAGAGCGGTGCTCAAAGGACTCACGCGTTGAGCAGCTTGTGCGGGTTGATGGCCAGCGAGTCACAGCGGGCGATGCCGTGCATGAGGTGTCGCCAGCGCTCGGAGAAGAGCACGGGTCCACCCCAGCTGCCGTCGACGTGCAGCCAGAGCCCATGGCGCCCGCACACGTCGGCAATCGCGTCGAGATCGTCGAAGGAGCCCAGCACTGGCCCGATGCACCGTCAGCATCTGGAGGACCGCAGGTGCAGCGCGCCTCGCAGTGACTCACCCGTCGAGCCTGCAGTGGCATTGACAAAGAACGGCGCGCCGGCCGAGGCCGCACGACCTTCTGTGTCGTTCGCAGCCTCTTCCACCAGCCGTTCCAGCTCAGCGACATTCATGCGTCCCTGAGCGTCGCACGGCACCTTGACGACGGCATCGAGACCCAGCCCGCAGCCCATCGCCGCCTTGTCCAGCGAGTAGTGGCTCTGACTGGAAGTGAAGAGCAACGGGCGTGCGGCACGTCCGGAGCGGCCTGAGGCGTGCAGTGCCAGCGAGGCGCCAAGCACGCCGCCATCGCGAAAGGCGGGGAAGTGACGCTGCAACGCAGTCTGCAATGCCAGTGTGTTGGACGCCGAACCGCCCGGCATCGTCATGCCGTCTGCGAGAGTCTAGCGATGTGCGAGGGGCACTGATGAGAGCAGGCACCTTTTGACGCATGGGCCGGGAAGCAGGAGACTCACCGCATCCCAGCCGCACAGCTGCGCCAGTCCAGCCACGCACGCCTCCTCGGCCAGGCTGAGCATGGGCGAGGCGGACATGACGTGCCCGTTGGCATTGAGAGTGGCCAGCAGAGCCTCGGCGGCCAGGCCGACGGGACGAGGCGCAGAGTACAGCTGCAACACACAGCTCAGCGGAGGACGCAGCAGACGCGCGGCACGGAGTGCAAGCGCACCTTGTCGAGGAATCGGCCCGTGTATGGGTTGACGCTGCAGATGCGAGGTCAGCAGGGTGGAGCAGCGCGCCGCTGCGTCAGACGCACCTGTTGTCGAGCATGCTCTGCATCGACGCAAAGACCTCTGAGGCGCGCAATTCACTGGCATCAACAAGCGCCTCCGCGCAAGGCATCGGCATCTTCGGCGCCCACGCCGCGACGCACCCTCTTCACTGGCGCCGGCGTCGGGCAGGGCGAGGCGCACATTGGCGCGCAGATCGCGGCTCGTGGGCCAGCGCGCCACGGGCGCATCGGCGAGCTCGCCGGCACGCATGACTGTGGGTGCAGCAGCGTGTGAGGTGCGATGGGAAGACATGCGCTCGCCAACGCGGCCACGCACAGGCAGTCGACATGGCGGCAGCGCGAGCGAGGTAGCGCGCGGCCTCGTCGGCGTAGCTCTCGCGCGCATCGGCTTCGGCGGCGGCGGTGCCGTTTGTGTGTGCGGCGCTGAGCTTGGGCGGCGGCGCTGGCGCGGCAGCCGGCGCCTGAGCGGAGGGAGCCATGGCTGGACAGGAAGCGTGTGAAGGAGGTGGTGGTGGGAAGGGTGGGTGACTCGCAGTCCGGCGCGCTCCGGCTCATGCACCAAGCGAGCGGAAGCGGAAGCGGCGGCGCAGCGAGGTCGAGGGTGCAGCGGCCGCGCAGCCCGAGTTCCGGCCGTCCGCCAGAAATTGTGCACCGCCGAGCCGGACGCCGCGCGGCTCTTTCCTCTGCTCCTCCACCCTCCCTCGCCCTCACCCCACCATGGCTGCGCTCGCCAAGGCGCCTGCACACGCCGGCGCATGGAGCACGCTCAGGCCAGCACTGGCACCGTGGCTGTGCGTACCTCTCACACTCGCCTCTCCGCCCGGCCACCTGCTCACGCCTCTCTGCCCAGCCTCGAGGCGCTGGCCACGCTCGACCTGCCGCGCATGACGCCCGTGCAGGCCGCCAGCATCCCGGCGCTGCTCTCGCATCGCGACGTCGTCGTCGAGGCCGTGACGGGCTCGGGCAAGACGCTGGCCTACCTCGTGCCGCTGCTGCAGCTCCTCGCCGCCACGCCGCCGCGCCGCGGCCGCCTCGCCGCCCTCGTCGTGTGCCCCACGCGCGAGCTGGCACAGCAGGTGCACGCCGTCCTGCAGCGCCTGCTCGATGCGCGCCCGCAGAGCACGGCGCTGGCAGCAGCAGCGCACGCGCACGAGGAAGAGGAGAAGCCGCTGTATCCAGACACGGTGCCCGACGAGGAGAAGGAGGCACAGCCAGTGCTGGCACGCAGCGGCGCCCTCCTCGTCGTCGGCGGCAAGCACCGCCCCGAGGAGGACTACCGCGCCTTCAGAGACGAGGGCGCGACGATCGTCGTCGGCACGCCAGGACGCGTGGAGGAGCTGCTGAAGCGCAAGGGAGTGGATGCAAGGGAGCTGCAGATGCTCGTGCTCGACGAGGCAGATCGGTGAGTTGCCGCAAGCGCGTCGCAGGCGGGTTGCCTGTCTGATGCGTCCGCCCTGTCAGCCTGCTGGATCTGGGATTCTCAGCATCGCTGCAGACCATCCTCTCGCTGCTGCCCCGCCAGCGTCGTACGGGCCTCTTCAGCGCCACCATGAGTGACGCACTGGCCAGCCTGGCGACGATGGGCCTGCGCAATCCGGCGCGCATCACTGTCTCTGTGCGCGCCAAGCAGTCGGACGGCGCCACGGGCGAGCGTAGGGCGCCTGCAAGGTGAGTGTACTCTGAGGGCCATCTCGAGCATGGTAAAGCCTGGCTGACATCGCACGTCACCTGCAAACAACAGCCTGCAGAACCTCTTCGCGGTCTCGCGTGCCGAGAACCGCCTCGCGTTGCTGCTGCGCATCCTGAGGCGCGAGACGATGGATGCAGAAGGCGCCGGCGCGCGCAAGTGCATCGTGTACTTTGCGACGTGTGCGCAGGTCAATTACTTCTACAAGGCGAGTCGACGAGAGAGCTTGCTGGCTAGCGCTGGCGACAAGTAGACTGATGCCAAATACTTCTCACTCAAGGCGCTCGCTTCGCTACCGCACATGCATCAACTGCGACTCTTTTCGCTGCACGGCAAACAGACTCCCTCTCGCCGCAACGCCACGTTTGAGTCATTCGTCTCTTGCCTGCCAGTCGGCGCCGCCGCCGCAGCTGCAGCGAGCGATGTGGGCCGCTCGGCAGGCGGCGGCAGCAAGGCATCTCGACAGCAGCATGCGCCAGAGGCGGCAGCCGTGCTGCTATGCACAGACGTGGCGGCACGAGGTCTGGATCTACCCGACGTCGACCTCGTCGTGCAGTATGACGCGCCGACGGATCCAAAGGTCTTCTCCCACCGCGCCGGACGCACGGCTCGTGCGGGACGCAGTGGCAGAGCAGTGGTGCTGCTGAATCGAGGCCGCGAGGAGGAGTTCGTCGGTGAGTCGCCTCTCACGCGCTCACTGCGACAGCGTCTGCCCTTCTGTTCTGCGCTCACACGCTGGCCCAGACTTCATGCTTGTGCGCAAAGTGCCGTTGGCGCCCTATCCCTATCTGCTCTCTACGTCGCCCAAGGCGCTTCCAGAGCCAGGCGCCGAGCCGGCCGAAGACGAGCAAGCCTTGCTGTTGGCGTCGCAGCTGCGAGCACAGAACCGCCGCGATCGCGAGTCGCACGAGTCGAGTGTTCGGGCGTTCGTCTCGTTCCTGCGCGCCTACTCCAAGCACGAGGCCGCGTACATCTTCCGGCTGCGCGATCTGGATCTGGGAGCTACGGCGCGGGCCTTTGGCTTGCTGCGCATGCCAAGCATGCCAGAAGTGGCCGAGGCACGCTCTAGAGCACTGGGCCTTATCAAGGGCAAGGGCAAGGCCAAGGACGACGAAGAGAAGACGATGGACTCGCAGCGCGAGCGGGAGCTGTGGGGCTTTGAGCAGGAGGCAGTCGACGTGAGTGTGCCATGCCACTCGTCGAGGTCCTCAGGCGTCTCGAGATTGACTCTCTCCTTGTTCCTAGCTGCGCACATTTGCCTACCTCGACCCCACCCGCGAGGCGCAGCGCTTGGAGTCACTCACTGCCGCCGACGAAAAGGCGCGCGTGGCAGCCGAGGCACGAGCGGCGGCGCAGGCAGCAGGAGCAGCGCCGGAAGGCAAGCGCAAACGCATGCGCGGCACCGCCGTGGCCGAAGAGGCATGGTCGCAGCAGAAGGCGCGCAAGGAGATGAAGGAAGTGCGGCGCGACAAGCGGGCACGGAAGCGAGAGTTCTTGAAGAAGGAGAGGGAGGAGGCGGCAAAACCGAACGAGGAGCAGGCAAAGGAGAGCGAGGAGGACGGAGAGGAGGACTGGACGAGAGAGGAGCAGGAGGAGAAGAGAAACGCCAAACGGCTGCGAAAGGAGAAGATGGAGCGCAACTCGAAGCCGGCCGAGGAGGTCATCGAGGTGGCCGAGCCGGGCTTCTTCGACGGCCTGTAGCAGTCACGCGCAATGTCACGCTTCCCACACACAATGCGAGAGGCCAGGCGCTGAGTAAAGGGTGTGTATCTGATTGCGTGATCGGGGTCGTGATGTGTGATGAACGAGCAGCAGGGCGCGACGGCTGGGTGCGGCGGCTTAGGTGAAGAGCTTGCTGGAGCTGGTGCTCGAGTCGCCCTGCTTGCGCAGCACCTTTGCAATCGCCAGCTCAAAGTCTTCCTGGCCCACGTGCTGCCTTCTCTCGCGCAGCGCATACATGCCCGCCTCGGTGCAGATGCCGCGCACCTCGGCGCCCGAACACTGGCCCATCTTCTCGGCCAGCGCACGCAGGTTGATGCCGCGCTGCAGACTCATCTGAGAGGGGCGGCGCAAGGGTCAGCAGGGAGCAAGTCGAGTGGTGAAGACGTGCAAGACACACCTTGCGAGAGTGGATGCGCAGAATGGAAACTCGAGCCTCGGGTCCCGGCGGAGGGAACTCGATCTTACGGTCGATGCGCCCTGGGCGCAGCAGTGCCGAGTCGAGAATGTCGATGCGATTTGTCGCCATGATGACCTGTTTGCGCAGCGGTGGCGCAGACGTGAGCATTCGTGCATCTGGCAAGCAACAAGGGCGCATCGACGACGCACCTTGATCATCTGCGTGCCCTCGAAGCCATCGAGCTGGTTCAGCAGCTCGAGCATGGTGCGCTGCACCTCGGAGTCTCCGCCGCCCGAGCCGCCCTCGCCGCGAGAAGAGCCAATCGAGTCAATCTCATCCATGAAGATGATCGACGGCGCGTGCTCGCGCGCCATGACGAACAGCTCGCGCACCATGCTGAGCAGTGCAAAGAGAGGCCGTCAGCAGCTGAGCAAGCATGACAGAAGTCCAGGCTGGCATGGACTGCGCGCCAGAGGCTCCTTCCCGCACGTCCACAACTCACCGAGAGCCCTCGCCGATGTATTTCTGCACAAGCTCCGAGCCCGAGACACGGATGAAGCGGCAGTCGGTGTGGTGCGCCACCGCACGAGCCAGGAGCGTCTTGCCCGTGCCTGGCGGGCCATACAGCAGTACGCCCTTTGGCTGCGCGATGCCGAGTGCCTCGAACAGCTCGGGATGCTTGACCGGCAGCTCGATGACCTCCTTGATCTCCTTGATCTGCCGGTCCAGTCCGCCGACCATCTCGTACGTGCTGTCGGGCACCTTCTCGACCATCATGAGAGACACCAAGGGGTCGATCTTGTTCGGCAAGACCTTGTGCAGCGTGTATGAGTCCGACCGCAGCGCGACGCGCAGAGAGGGCGTCACGCTGGCCATGTCGATGTCGGGTGCGATGTCCACGACTGCACGAGAGCGATAGTAAGCATGCCATATGCGCCAGAACGGGCAGGGGTTCAATGCATGGCACGAGCCCGCAAGGTTTGAGTCTGCTCCAGTCGCACGCAAAGTGTGTTTGCCGCCAGCCCCTCGGCGCTTTGAGAGAGACGACCGGCATCGAGACAGCCGTCTCATGCGGAGGGGTGTCACGCAGTGCGCAACCAGTCTGGGCAAGTCCATCGTCTGACAACGCCGCTCTGCCGATCGCGCGCTACATGCTGGTCCCGGACTCTAGATTACCTGTGGACGCAGCTGCAGAGGGCGCGAATGCGGTCTCTGCAGCAGTCCAAGTCATCGCGGCCGACTCAGACACGGCACGTCCCTGCCCTTGCCAGCCGCTCGCTCTGCACGCGCGAAAGACTGACCGTATTTCCCCTCTGGCTGCACCTTGACGAGCACCTTCTTCTTTCCCATGACCTTGACCACCTCGCCCACATAGCTGCCCGGCTCCTGCAGCAGCTGCAGCTCCTCGCGCAGCAGGCGCACGCGCGCATTGAGCGAGTTGCGCTGCGCCTCGAGGCGGCGCAGGTTCTGCGTGCGCTCGTTGATCGCCAAGGAGGCAGAGGCGATCTTGGTTTGGTAGAAGGAGGCAATGCCCGTGGAGGGCGCAATGACGGTCGTCATGGCTGCCCGAACGAGCTGGGCGAGAGGGCAGAGGAGGGAGAGGGTGGAGGTTGGGGGCGCTGCGACCAAGGCGCCGCCGCCGAGCTGACGACGCGCGCCGCCGTATGCCTGGGGCAGCCTGGCGGAGCGCGCGCGGCACGTGAGCTGGCCAGCTTGCGCACGGGCGTCGCGCGGGAATCGGGCATGCAGCGAAGCCTGTCTCGCTTACGTAACGTGCGCGGCGCCGCCCAGCCCGCCTCCCCTCTCGTCCTTTGTCTCGCTCGGCAGACAGAGAGGGAAGTGCGAAGCTGTAGCAAAGCCGCTTGCGCCTCTGGGCTCGGTCAAGGCCATCACCAGAGACCGCGCTGTGCACGGCGGCGCGCAGCGTGCAGTACCGTGAGCGGTCGCATTCCCTTTGCTCTCTCGTCGCCCCGGTTGCGGCGCGCGGGCTCGTCTCGAGGACTGGCTTGGGCACACGTGAGTAACCCTTCTCCCTTCCTCCGTTCCTCCGCCGGCTTTGCGCAAGCGTCTCACCCGTGGCAGGCGTGAAGAGAGGCTATGCAGATGCGCAAAGCATCCTTCCGAGCGGCGTGCCTGGAGGAGCCGAGAAGCGTTTGCGAGCCCCCCGCGCGCCGCCGACGGCCTGATGCTGGCTGGGCGCACATTTTCGCGCGCCGTGGCGCCCTCGGACGCTGCCGGCGACTCGCCCTCTTGCAGCCCCAGCACGCGTGACAGCCGCTCAGGCGCCCCCTCGGGCACGCCGGCAGTCTGGGGTTGCTTGGGGCGCGCGCGCGTGCGCGGCTGCTCCGTCTTTTGCCACCCGCGAGTTTCTGCCCCCGCGCCGCACGCCGCCGCGGGTCCAGCGCACGAGGGCAGGCGCATTGGGCGGCCAAGGAGACTGGCGCAGTGCCGGAGAAGCGCCAAGCGGCACCGCCCGAGCTGGCACCGCCGCCGCGCAGCCCTCAGGCGAGAAGCACCCGTGGCCGCGCGGCGCATTGATTGCCTGCGCAGATCCTCGCAACGGCTCGCTCTTCGAGCTCGTGTGCAAGGCGGTGCCTAGACTCGAAGCTGCTGAAGACGCGCATGCCGGCAGATGGCATGGGCGGTGCTGATGGCTTCTCGAGGGGCGTGCTCCTGTGCTGACGAAGAGGCGCTGCTGCGCTGTGGTACGGCTGGCGGGCGGCTGCTCTAGGCGGGCGCGTGAGTGCGGAAAAGTGTTGCGCGGTGCGCGCCAAATTTGGGTGCGAAGGCGGCGGCGGCGAGCGTGCGCTGGCGGGTGGCGTGGCGAGTGCTGGCGGCGTGCGGCGCGCCTCGCTGTGCCTCGCCGGCGTCTGCCTCGCCCGCTCAAAGGCAGCGAGCTTCCTGGCCCCGGCCTCACGCACGCCCCCCACACCCTTCGTCACCCCCTTCCCCTCCCCCCCCTCTCTCACCTCACACCGCCGCCGTCGTCTTCGTTGATCGAACGTCGCACCCGTCTCGCTTTCCGTCCCCACTCTCCCTTCCCTGCGCCCGTCCCCGCGCATCTCCCACCATGTCGACCGCCACCGCGCCGTCGGCCACGACGCCCGTGCAGCGCGCCGGCAAGGGCAGTGCCCGCGCCGCCGCGGCCGCCGCCTCAATCGCCAAGCCGGCCGGCAAGCTCTCGCACCGCCAGGCTCAGCCGTACGACGAGGCGGCGCTCAAGGAGTTCAAGGTGCCCGAGCTCACCATCAAGGATCTGCTCTCCGCCATCCCGGCGCACTGCTTCGAGCGCAGCGCGCTGCACTCGAGCCTCTACGTCGCCTGGGACTTCACCCTCGTCGCCGCGCTCGCCTACGCCGCCTCCTACATCAACCCCACCGTCGCCGCGCTCGACTTTGCCAAGTCGCCGCTGAGCGCCTACGTGGCGCCCGCGACGCAGGCTACGGCGCTGCGCTGGGCCGCCTGGGCCGCGTACCAGGTGGCGCAGGGCCTCGTCTTCACCGGCATCTGGGTCATTGCGCACGAGTGCGGCCACCAGGCGTACAGCCCGAGCAAGACGATCAACAACGCCGTCGGCTGGGTGCTGCACTCTGCGCTTCTCGTGCCCTACCACTCCTGGCGCATCTCGCACGCCCGCCACCACGCCGCCACGGGCCACCTGACGCGCGACGAGGTCTTCGTGCCGCGCACGCGTGCCCAGAAGGGCCTGCTCCCGCTGCAGCCGGCGAGCCGCGAGGACTCGGAGGACGACGCCGCCGTCGACGCCCAGCTCGCTGCCGCGCAGCAGCAGGATGCCTCGGCCGAGAAGCCGCACGCCGAGGAGACGTGGGGCGAGTGGCTCGTCGAGACGCTCGAGGATGCGCCGGCATACAACCTCTTCTACATCGTCATCCAGCAGCTCTTCGGCTGGCCCATGTACCTGCTGCAGAACGCGTCTGGCCAGCTGCACTACCCCAAGGGCACGAACCACTACAACCCCGACTCGATCATCTTCGACGCTCGCCACCGCTCGCAGATTCTCATCTCCGACCTCGGCCTCGCCATTACGCTCTCGGCGCTCGGCGCGTGGGCATACTACCGCGGCATGGGCGAGGTGGTGCGCTACTACCTCATCCCGTACCTCTGGTGCAACAACTGGCTCGTCATGATCACCTACCTGCAGCACACGCACCCCGAGGTGCCGCACTACCAGGCCGACAGCTGGACGTTCCCTCGCGGCGCCCTCTGCACCATCGATCGCAACTGGCTCGGCCCCGTCGGTCCGTACCTCTTCCACGGCATTGCCGAGACGCACGTGCTGCACCACGTCTCGTCCAAGATCCCGCACTACCACGCCTGGGAGGCCACCGAGGCGCTCAAGGCGCGTCTCGGTGAGCACTACCACTGGGACGACAAGAACATCTTCGTCTCGCTGTGGCAGAGCATCCGCAACTGCAAATTCATCGAGGAGGACGACGGCGTCGCGTTCTACCGCAACGCAAAGGGCGTGCCGCGCGCCAAGGTCGCCGAGGCGACCAACGGCTCCGACTCGGGCCTTGCCATGAGCGACTAAGCTCAGACCACACACCCCCTCCGGCGGCACGTCAAGCACTCTCTCCGTGCAGCCGCTGGACTTGCCCATTCCCGATCGTCCGCCTACAGTTCACCGACTCGCTCTCGCCTCTCTCTCACTCGTCATCTTGCAATGCCCCCTTCCTCCTCCTTTCCTTCCGATAGTACACACTCTCTCATCTCGTGCACGCTGTCAATAGAGCTTTGTGCATCCTCTCTGTGTCGACCCTTGGCGGCCTGGCTCCTCGATTCGCCTCGGCGTGGTGCGACGAGTCGGGACGAGGCCGGCCAAGCGGCCTGCGGTCGCGGCGCGCCGCACTCAGACGGCACCTCCGTCGAGCAGCCCTGCCTCACCTTCACGGCGACTACTGCATGTCTCCTTTCCTGCGCCGCTTGTGCCAAGGACCTCAACGCGCCCCACCAGGCCGTCCCAGCATTGCGTTCATGTGGTCAGGTTCAGCTCACTCCAACGCCGCGTGTTGCGCTTGCACGGCGATGCATTACTCGCGCACGCATCATGCAATCGTACATCCTCGGTCCGCCGTCTTATCCTCTCCCGCAATGCTCACTCTCAGATCGCCCCTCGTGCTGATCAGCTCGGCGCTGTCGCCTCTCAGTGGCTGATCCGCGCCCTCTGGCGGCACGATGCGTCCGACGCCTCTGTGCTTCTTGCTCTCGCCGACGGGCGTGTAGCGCGCTTGAACGCCGGGAGAAAGCCGCAAGGTGCCGCTGTCGGAGACCCAGGAGAGCATGCCGGAGAACGTGGGAGGCAGGTGGACGTGCACGTCGCCGCCTTTGGACTTTGCGCGGATGCTCAGGGGCGCAGAGATCTGGTATTGTGGCTGCACAGAGGCTGGTGTCAGCAGAGGCGCCTGGGCACTCCAGTGATTCGCGGCCACAATGCTGCCCATCGCATCACTTCGCCCTGTCTCGCTCCGCCCGCTCGCGAGTCACTGCCACGCCTCGGTCCTCTCGGCCGCCACGTCGTGACCCACCATCTGCAGCTTGACATAGGACAGGTAGCTCTTGACGTTGACAAAAACGGGCTTGCCCGGTCTGGCACCCTCGCCTCCTCCCTTGCTTCTACTCCTGCGATGCGCGCTGCCCCAGCGTGGCTCCTCGTGCTCTCCCTCGCCCGCCGCGCGCACCACGACAGTCACGTTGACGGCCGAGTTGCGCGCCTCAAAGGCTGCGCTCGCCGAACTGGCGGCGAGCACTTCGGCGCGCGGCATGTCGAAGCGCGGCGGCTGCGGATTGGCGGCGTACGGCGAGATCTGATACGTGCCCTGCGAGGGAGGGATCAGCGAGACGTGGTCGCGGCACTTGTGGGGCGGTGCACCGCACGCACCTTGATGCTCTGCTGCGGCTGCTCGATGCGCATGTGCTGCACGATGCGCGAGTAGGGCGCGGGCGCCGAGGGCGCTGATGGGCCGGCGCGCTCCTCGTCGAAGGACATGCTTGCTGAGAGAGGATGTGAGGGGCAGAAGGCAAGAAGGAAACGGCCGAGAGAGGAGCGCCCTCGGCTCGGCGTGCCGTGCGCGCGCCGTTGCAAGAACGCCGAGGCGTGCCTCCACAAAGACAGCATGCAGGCGCTCTCGCCGCACCGACGCCGCGGCGCGCGCGTAGCGGCAGGCCAAGCCACAGCACAGGCACAGCCACGCCGCAGTCGCACGAGCAGCGATCTCGCCGCTGCGTGAGAGCGGCGCGCTCGACAGATCGAGGCTGCTTCTCACACCAGCAGCCGTGCGCGAAGCCTGTGGCCTGCATACTGGGCTCGTACCGCCGGCACGACCCTCAACGCCCAGGACGTCCTTGTGCAAGATGCATTGATGCAGCGCTGCAATAGTATGAGGGGTCGGTGTGGCGTGGGGCAAGACAAAGTGCAGGATGGATGAGATGTGTGCTGCACCGCTGAGCAGGAGGAGCTCTCGCACCTAGTCCACCACGGCGCTCTCGTTCTCCGCGCTCTCGGCCGCGCTGCTCAGCGCCACCTCGTCGAGCGGCACCGTGATCGTCTGGCCGTCGACGTTGCGCTCCAGCATGCCCGACTCCTCGCTGCGGCGCACATCTGCGCTGACGCCCGGCCCCAGCGGCTCCTCGTCGCGCAGTGCCTGCCGTGCCTCGGCCGAGCCGGCACCCGACGATGCTCGCCGCCGCACAGAGGAAGCCGGCGCCTCGCTCTGCCCGAGACTGGGCCGCCGCGCGTGCGCAGAGGCCACCACGTCGCTCGTCGACGGCGCACTGTCGAGGATGCCGCCCAGGCCGCCGCTCGGCGCCGTCTCGGCCGTGGGCGTGCGCCCGCCGGCATCGCTGCTGCTGCTGCTGGCCTCCTCGGATGCAGAGTCGCCGGCGTCGCTGCCCTCGCCCTCGCTCGAGGCCTGCTGGTGCTGCTCGCGCGCCGTGCGGTCAAAGTCGGCCGCCCAATCGGCCGGCGTGAGGTTGGGCTGCTGCGTGTAGGCCGAGGCGCTGCTCGACGCCTCGGCGGCAAAGTCGAAGTCTCCGCCGCCAGAGTCGGAGAAGGGCCCCCAGTCGTCGTCCTGCAAACGCCACGTGAGCGCTGGCCGCAGCAGGGCGAGGGTGCGGCTACTCACGTCCTGCGAGCCAGATGAGCCGACGCCGCCTGAGCCGCGCGGCGGCTCGAATGCATCCTGTGGGTGTGAGAGCGGGTTGAGCAGGTGGCCAGCGGTGGGACGACACAGCACTCACGTCAAAGCCGCCGCCTGCGCCGTTGGCCTGGCTGCGCGCGGAGCCCTGGATGTCCTGCGACAGATAGCTCGCGTCCTCGTCCGAGTCGTCGTCGTCGGAGCCGGCCACGCCGCCCGCGCCCATCTGCGACGACAGGTAGTTTGCGAATTGGTCGTTGTCGTCGCTTGACGCTGTGCGAGGTGTCAGCATCGAGCAGCGCTGGCATGCACCCAGGCCACGCTCACAGGCAACGTCTCCGTCTCCCTGCGAGGCAAAGTTGAGCGCCCGGCCCGCAGCTGGACGTCCGCCGGCCAGGGGCGCAGCCTCGCGCTCGCGCGCCTCGCGCAGCGTCTCGTTGACGAAGTTGTCCCAGTCGGGCTGCGTGATCGAGTCGGCCACGACGGCGGCCACCTCCTGCGGATACCGCTCGAGCAGCTTGACGGTCTCCTCTGCTATCAGATTCATGTGGCCCATGTAGCCGAGCCGGATGCGCCGTGGCCCCTCGCTGCGGCTGGACGTCAGCAAGTGTCAGACTGTGCGCGCCACTGCATGGCACTCACAGCGACGCCTCGTTGGCGCGGTGCCCCGCCACTATCCGGTCCGTCAGCTTGCCGCTCTCGAACACAGCAATGGCCAGCCGGCGGTTGAGGCCCGTGTCCATCCGCCCGTTGAAGAACTGCTGCAGGATGTCGTACACGACGTTGTGCAGGAAATTGTTCCACGGATACTCGAAGAAGAGCGTCTGCAGAGGCGTCAGCGCTGGGCACAGCACAGTCGCACAGCGTGATGACTCACGAGGATCGTCGGGATGATGCCGCTCTCCAAGAAGCGCTTCTTCAGCAGGTCGCCCACGACGTACTGCCGTGCGTCGTCGATGGGCGACGGCGGGCCAGACGGCGCGGGCGACGTCAGCTCGGCCAGCGAGAGGCCAGACAGGGCAGAGCGGATGGTCTGCGCCTCGTCTGCATCTGCCTCGGGTACGGGCGCAGCCACCTCTGCAGCATGCGCCGCGCTCTGCGCCTCGGTGATCAATGGCTCGGCCGCTGCCGGTGCGTCAACGACGGTGTCCGTAGAGCTCGCCGACTGGTCCGTCGAGGCAGGTGCTGCGTCGCTGCTGGCTGCCTCGCCGTCCTCATCCGCGAAGGGGTCCTTCTCATCGGCAGCGTCCGCGTCTTCGCTGTTCGAGGAGCCGTCTGTGGTCGACGACTCCTCGCGGCGATGCCGGGTGGCTTCGCGGGAGTGTGCGCGGCTAGAGGGGGCCGAGTTGCCGACTGAGAGGGAGGCAGGCGTGTTGGCGCCATTCTCTCCCGCTGCTGACTCGACGGCGTCGGCACTGCCCGCCGAGACGTCCATCGACTCGTCGGCCGCGCCACTCGTAGAGCCTGGAGCGCTGGCGTTGAGTGTGCCGCGCGTCGTGTCGCCGGCAGTCTCCGAGCCCGCATCGCCGCCGTGCAGCATGCGCGCGAGGATCTGCAGGCCCTCAATGCCGCCCGTCAGCACGCCGTCCTCCGAGTAGACGGGCCCCTCGCCGGGCGCGCGGTTGAGCAGCGCCATGTTGGAGCAGTGCAGCAGCTCAGCGTAGAGCTCCGTGATGCGGTACCGCTCGAACGTCAGCGCGCTGATGGGGCCCAGCGTCGTGGACAGTGGCGCCGCAGAGGCGCGCGGGCGCTGCACGAGCTCCTGAAAGTCGGAGAGGCGCTCGCACAGCACGCGCAGCAGCGGGCCGAGCTGCACGATGCCCAGCTTGTCCGAGAGCTCGGCCATGGCCTCCTCCATGCCTTCCATGTCCTCGTCCTCGCCCTGCTGCCAGCTCTGGTCGCCGTCTGGCGTGGCAGTGCTCGAGCTGGTGTCCGCAGCCTCGGCGGCGCGCTTCTGCGCGCGCGCCTCGGCAATCTCCTGCTGGCGCTGCAGCAGGTGCGTGCGCAGCGTATGGAAGAGGTGCTGCTCAAAGTAGTCCGAGTTGTTCTTGCGGATCAGCTCGATGAAGACGCCGATGCACGTCACGAGCGACGAGGTGCACGTGTCGGACGTGACGGGCACAGTCGGCGCGCTGACGGGCGGGAAGGTGCTGGGCCGCAACGTCGAGGTCGAGTCGTGCCGACCCGGCCCCGCACCGATCGCGGGGTGGTCAGCGGGCGTGAGCGGCGTGCGCGCGCCCTTGCGCTTGAGCTCCGCCGCATCTGCCTCCTCGTCGTCCAGTGCAGACTCGCTGCCTGCGGCGCCGTTCTCTGCCTCGCTCAGCGAGTTGAGCGTCTGCGACTTGCCAGCAGTCGCAGGCTTCGATGTGGCAGCCTTGGCGTCCTGGGCCGCAAGCTGCTCGTCGGCTGCGACTGACAGTCTCCGATGCAGCTGCGATGGCAGCGAGTCGTCGAGCATGAAGCCGACCATCTTGCGTACCATGGCCTCGCTGGCCAACTCGCGCACGAGGCGGTTGTTCATGCAGCTCAGCTGCTGTTGCTGCTGCTGCCCTTCGCCCGAGTAGCCACCATAGGCATCGCTCTGCGGCGCCTGATTAAGCGTCGCCGTCGCAGGCGCGGAGAGGGCGATGATGGCCTTGAGCAGCTCCGAGGTAGTGTTGTGCAGGTCGGCAGAGTAACACGGCGCCAGCAGCTCGACGAGCTTGGGGATGAGCTGACGCTCAGACAGCCACTGTGGTGCAGAGTGAGCACCGCGACGAGACCGGGCGACATTTCGCACTCACCTCGATCACGCCCGCAGCGGGAACAGACTCGTCGCACTGCACGATGCGATAGAGCAGGTCGACGACGGCCGGCGTCTCGAGGTGCGCCACGAAGCGCTCAGTGATGCACGGCAGGCCGCGAACGAAGTCGAGCATCTGCAGCAGTGTCAGAGCGGTGTTGGCATCTGCCTGGCGGGCGACTCACCTGCAAAGGCTTCTTGTCCAAGAACACGCCATTGACCTTGGCCCAGTAGCCGGCCAGCACGCTGCGGCCCGGCCCATTCTCCCTCGCCGTCGTGAAGCTGTGGCCCTCCGACTGCCCAGACGACGTGTCGAGGCCCAGTACGCCCGCGTCTGCGCTCTCCATGCCGTCTGATTCGGCTGACTCCTGGGTCGTCTCAGCAGCGGCAGAGGCACCTGCCGCGTTTGCCACGCCGAGCTTGGCGCTGTCCGCCGGATCGGCAAAGAGAGGATGCATGTGCTGTGGTACGGCCGGCTGATTCGGCTGCGGCCGCGCAGTGAGTATCGTGTTCCAGAACGGCTCGAGCAGCTCTTCCTTGTGCTCCAGCACCGTCTCGACGACGGCCCAGACGTCGCTGCAAAGCACCTCGGACGCGAGGTAGGGGTACCTGCGTGGGCGTCAGCTGTTGCCCAGCACATACTGCGTCCGCATAGGCTGCAGCCCGCCTCTCGCCTAGCGCATGGCGCACGCTGAGACTGTCGCACTCACTTGAAGCGCACCTTCTCCTCCCAATCCCGGCCACTGCCGCCACCGACCTCGGCCGTGCCGACGACATGCTCGAGCAGGCGGCCGAGGACGCGCGGCTGCGTGAGAAAGGAGACGAGCTTTGCATTCTGGTTCTTGCACTCCTGCAGCAGGTCCTCCTCGTCGAGCACCTCCTCGAGCGTCACGTTTGGCCGCTCGAGCAGCGAGTCGAGCGTCGAGGCCGAGGAGAAGCCGAAGCGCCAGAACATCGCGGCGGCGCGCAAGGATGCGCTCTAAGACAAGTCTAGTGGAAGAAGAAGCGAGGGCGAAGCGAAGCTCTAGGCGCGTCGAGGAGCGGCAGAGGCAGATGTAGGGTGCGAGGCAGCAGGGCCGTGCGTGCTGCGGTGAGCCGTCGAGGCGCGCGAAGGGTAAAGTGAGACGAGAGGAGGGCCCCAGAAGAGCAGGGCGGGGCGGCGCACGCAGAGGCGCAGCGAGGATGGTGGAGGCGACGACGGGCCAGCGGCTGCCCAACACTTCGGCATCCGGCGCTGTGCTGCTGCTGCACGAGCACGAGGGTCCCTGCAGCAGGCTGCCCCTCACCAGCAGCGGCAGGCAGCACGGGCGCGTGATCAGCGATCTTGCGTGGCGCTCTCGTACGGCAGCGCCGCGCCGGCTCAACGGCGGCCTCGAGCGGCCCGCTCTTCTGCTCGGCTCTGCCTGCTGAGGAGCCAGGCAGCAGCAAGCCAAGAAGTGCCTCGTCCCTCTGACAGCCGCACACGCTCCATGCGCTGCGGTGTCAGGCTTGGCAGGAAGCTGGTGCTGGACTGGCCCGTGGGTCAGGTCACGTGATCAGCATCAGCAGCCCCTCGGCGCCGCCCCGAGCCGGCATTCTCCGTCTGGCTCCCTCCATCGTCCTGAAGCCCGCAACAAGGCACCGACTGGCAGCTCTCAGCATGCGGCATCGGGATTGCTGCTCTTGCAGCTTCAAAAGCGTGACGCTGGGCTTGCAGCGCTGCGAGAGGGACAAGGCGGGCTGTCGCGCGCGACGGCGGACGCTCGGCCCGCCGGCGCGAGCGGCGCGACACGACGCAGACGGAGGCCCCAGAGAACGTCTCCGCAGCGGGCGACAGGCTGATGACGGCGCCGTCTCCGCCCGCTGTCCATCGCAGGCATGACCGGCCGGAGCTCGCTGCCACACCCCGGCATCACAACATCAAGCTCAGGCGAGAATGCCGCGCCTCGCACGCGCAGAAAGCCGAGTCCAGCGGATGGCGGCGAGGCCACACCAGCCAGAGCAGGGCACAGCACCCGGACGCAGCAGCGGTCGACAAGCTGAGCCGCATGACGCCGCACGGCGGTCCGTGACCCCTGATGGCGCCTCACGGGAGCGATCTGAGCGGCCAGGGAGGGGTCGCCTCCGCGGCGGATGTGATGTGAGCGGCCAGCTCGAGCGCGCCGGGCCCTGGTCCGCGGCCATGCCTCCGAGCCGCTCCAGCACCGGAGGTCAAGCGGTGCAAGGGCAGGTGCGAGTGCAGCATGTCCATGGCGCAAGCAGCGACGTTGCCCCCAACGAGGCGGACGTTGCCGAGCGAGTGCTGCGGCTGCATCTGATGGGCGCCGTCCTGTGCAGCCTGTGCGCCGCACCCGGCGCAGCCGCGGCTGCAACAGGCGCGGACTTGGCGCGACGGCTTCGGGCGAAGAGCTCGTGTCGCAATCGGCAGGGCCGTGGACGGTGTTCCTCTGCAGAGCAGCATGCCGAAGATGCCTGTGAGCGAAGACGTCGCTGTTCGTGAGGGAGCGCCGTGGTGGTTCCTCGGCGCGGGCGGGAGAGGCGGGACTACGGCGCGCACGCTACGGCGGGCAGCGCGGAGGCGGCCGCGTCTCTCGCACGGCTCGCTGCCGGTCCGAGCGCCGCCGAGGCTGATGCGGGGCGGCCAAGGCGGCGACAGCGACGAGCAGCGAGTCACCTGCGCTGCAGCCATGCCATGCCTCTTCCCTCAGCCACACCAACAACACACACACGTCACCATGGCCTCGCAGTTCTTCACGCGCGCACGCACCATCGCCGCCATCGGGCGCAACTACGCGGCGCACGCCAAGGAGCTCGGCAACGCCGTGCCCACCAGCCCCTTCTTCTTCCTCAAGCCGCCCGGCTGCATGGTGCGCAACGGCGAGGCCGTGCAGGTGCCCCAGGGCGTCGAGGCGCACTTTGAGGGTGAGCAGGCGGCACGTGCTGGAGGGCGCGAGAGGGATGCAGCAGCGACGGTTGCATGGCAGACGCAGGAGCAGACGTATGCTGGCCGCGTGACATGACCGCCGGTCCCGTCAACCTGGGCGCAAGGATGAGCAGACCTGATCTGATGGCTTGCACTGGCTGCCCGAGCTAGCGAGCAGAGCCTGCCTCGCAATGTCTCCCGGCTCAAGCGCTGCGTCCGCTGACGAGCGTGTTGCGCCGCAGTCGAGCTCGGCGTCATCATCGGCACGAAGGCCACCAACGTGAGCAAGGCCGACGCCAGCAAGTACATCGGCGGCTATGGTGCGTGCGACGGCCGTGCGCTCCAGCAGCGGCGCAGCTGAACCTGCTCCGTCCAGCACTCGCAATCGACATGACGGCGCGCAACATGCAGGACGCCGCCAAGAAGGCCGGCCTGCCGTGGAGCGCTGCCAAGGGCCTTGACACCTTCTGCCCGATCTCGTGAGAATATCCGCGACGACTTGACCGCGCGCAGCTGACGCTGTCCTCGTGCAGCGACATGATTGACGTGAAGGACGTCAAGGACCACAGCAACATGAAGCTCTGGCTCAAGGTGCGTCTGTCTGGTCCTCGAGTCGCTCGCCCGCACTCACACTCCGCAGGTCAACGGCGAGACGAAGCAGTCGGGCAACACGAGCGACATGACGTTCGACATTCCCGCGCTGCTCGAGCACGTCACGGGCATCATGACGCTCGAGGTCGGCGACGTGCTGCTCACCGGCACGCCGCCGGGCGTCGGCCCCGTGCGCCCCGGCGACCGCATGACGGCCGGCATTGCCAACGGCGACGCCAAGGACGGCGAGCACCTGGCCGAGCTCGACGTGCCCGTCGTCGAGCGGCAAGGCGGCTTCACCTTCGCCAGGCTCTGAGGAGAAGGTGCAAAATGGGTATTTCCGTGGAGAGCGAAGCAATACAAAGAGGTCACTGCAGGTACAGGATGCGAATGGGTCACGGGAATGAGCGGGTGTGCCTCAAGCACGCACGCCGCGCTGTCGTCGCGCGATCATGCGCGCGCTGCGCTTCGGCTGGAATTCCTCCTGCTGCTTCTGCGGAGCGGCGGCAGCCGCAGCGAGGGCGGCCAGCTTGCTGCGGAAGCGCTTGGCGGGGCGAGTTGGCCGCGGCGGCTCCTCGCGCTCCTCGACGGACTCCTCCGCCTCCTGCACGTCGTCCTGCTCCGGCTCTGCCTCGGAGAGCGAGTCGCCGTCGAAGTCTGACGACGACGGCTCGGCGTAGGCGCCGGCGCCGAGCGAGGTGCGTGCCTTGCGCTTGAAGCGCGGCGTGCTGGGCAGCGCGGGAGCCGCAGCGGCGCCGAAGACGAGGGCCTCGACGAAGGAGGCATCGTCGTCGGAGCCGTCCGACTCGATCGTGATGGCGTCGTGGGCAGCGCGTCCAGAGCTGCGGCGTGGCACAGCGGCGGCAAGAGCGAGGGTGGGAGAGGCGCGCCTCGAGCCGCTCGCTGGCGTGTCGGAGAGCTCGTTGCTCGACTGTGAGGATTCCTCCTCCTCGGCCGACGAGTTGCCCAGCGCGACGGCGAGCGAGCGAGTAGTGCCCCGAGTGCGGCGGTTTGCACGCGGCAGCGCCTTGTGCTTGCGGCTCTCAGCCGCCAGCATAGGCCGCGGGACCAGCTGTGGCTGCTTGGCCGCCTCTGACTGCGGCTGCGGCTGAGGGACCGCCTTCTCTTGCGGCTGCGCTTGCTGCGGCTTGGGCTGCGGCGGCATCTGCGGCACCTCCAGCACGCTCTCGTACGTCGGCGTCCGCACGTCGGCGCTGCCCATGCGCGAGGCGTCGTCGCGTGCCGGCAGGTCGAGGCCGCGAGGCGCAGCCGCACGTGTGGATGGCGCAGAGACGGCGCTGAGAAAGGCAGCGTACTGCTCGGCTGTCGGCTCGCCACGCTTGGCGGAGGCCGAGGCGGGCGCCTGCGAGTGCAGCGCCAGCGGCGGGCCAAGCCGCTTGCGAGGGTGCGGTGGCGCCTGCTGCGGCAGGCGCTTCGATGCCAGGAAGGAACGCTGCGCCTGGCTTGGCGCTGGTGCCCGAGCACCAGGTGCGCCGGCGCCAGAGAGCGCACGGAAGAAGCGCTGTGCTTGCGGAGTGCGCTGCGCATCGTCTGCACCCTCTCGCCGCACGGCAGCCGGCTTCTCGGCCTCGCTGCTGGTTGCGCCGGCCGCTGCGGGCTGTGCGCCCAGGCGGCGGCTCCACTCCTCGAACACGATCTCGGCGAAGCGGCGCAGCGTGTCGGCGCAGACGGCCTCCTTGCTCTTGCTGCCAAAGAAGGCCGCTGCGTTGCGCCAGAGCTGCGTCAGGTCCGTCTTGAAGCGCATGAGCGCCTCGCGTGCCTCGGCCACGTCGCTCGCTGCGCCGGCCGACGGGCCCGCGGCATCGTGGTAGGCGCGTGCGGCGATGCGCGAGGCGAGCACGGCAAAGTCGACGTGCTGGCCGCAGTGCTTCTGTGAGAAGTGCACAAAGGAGGCGGGCAGCGCGTGTCGGAAGTACAGGTTGCCCGGGTGGTGGCGCAGGGCCTCGAGCACGGCCGTCATGCTGCGGTACGCCATGCTCACTGCAGACGAGGGTCAGTCAGCTTTCCATGGATACTGCGCCAGCTGCGGTCACTCACTGCGGTCAGAGGCATCGCCACGGCGCGTTGCGGCACCGAGCTCGAGCGCATTCGACGCGAGCGGCTTGAGCAGCGCCGACTGCACGTTGCGCGTCGGGCTCGTCGGCGGGCTGGAGCCCTGCTGCGTATCGATGTCCATCTCTTGCGCATCGCTGCTTGTGGCGATGGGCACCGGCACGCGAGGACTGGAGTATGGCGGCGGGCTGCTGCTGTCCTCGGCTGGCTGAGGCAGATCAAGCGTGGTGGATGCGCTTGCAAACTGCTGCTCCGGCTGAGACGCGGTCGACGGCGAAGCCAGAGCTGGCGATGCTGTAGCGGAGGCGGGCTTGACCGGCGAGGCAGTCTCTTGCACGACGGGCGAGGCAGTGGTCGAGGATGACGGCGACAGCGGCGGCTGTACAGCGTTGTTCACAGCAGCGGCCGGTGCCTCAGATGCCGTGACACCTGCTGCGGCGCTCTCGAGGGCGGAGACAACCGGAGACGGTGGCTCTGCGCACTCGCTCGTCTCCTCACTCTGTCCCACAGAGGCCGTCGACGCGCTCGGCTCGCCGTCGCCGGCCTGCTGCTCGGCCTCGCGGACGCGCAGCACGCGCTGCTCCTCGAGGACGCGACGCGCATGCTCGGCACGCAGGCGCGCCTTGGTGCCGGCGGCCTGGCGCAGCTGTGCCACGCTCGTCGGCGCCGCAGCGGCGGCATCCGAGCTGGGCCCGGCCTGCTGCGCCGGCGGCGGGATGCTGGCGTCCCAGCGCACACGCAGGCTGCTCTTCAGCGCCGGGCTGGGGCTCGCGGCGGGCGCGGCGACGGCAGGCGGGGCGGCGCTGGCGGGCACGCTCCAGCGCAGCACGAGCAGCTCGCGCTCGCGCAGTGCCGGCAGCGCATCGGCGCAGAGGATGGCCGACGCATCGCTGCCGAGCGTCAGGCGCGCCTCGGGCTCGACGCGCGCGGCGGCGGATGTCGAGGGCGAGGCGGGCGGCGCCGGGAAGAGGGTGCGTGCCTTGTTCAGCAGCTCCTGCAGAGAGAGGCGGTCAGCGCAAGGCGGCAGCTCGGCACACGTGCGGCGGACACGCACGGCGAACGAGTCGGGCAGCAGGGTGAAGTAGGTCGGCGAGGCGGCAGCAGCGCCGCGCAGCAGGATGGCCCGCGGCGAGGACATGCGGGGCAGCGGGGCGCAGCCGGCGGCCACGGCGTGCGGAAGTGGCTGGCAGATGGACGGCGTGGCAATTTGAGAGTGCGGATAAGGGTCGTGAGAGGGCGTGTGGATGCGTGTGCGATGGGAGCGGGCTGGCGGTGCGAGAGGACGGGAGTGAAGGAGAGAGGCGCGGCGCAGGCAGTCACAGAGAGCAGCAGGAACAGGAAGCCGCCTCGCCGCGAGCTGGCGGCAGAGCAGCGCTCCGGCACGCCGCCTGTGTGCCGCGCCTGCCGCGCATTCGGCTCCGACGCGTCGTGGCGCGCCGACGCGTAGATGGGCGCGTCTGCGGCACTCGGGCGAGCGCAGCGGCGCAGCCGTGCGAGATGCGCTTTCCCTCAGCCAGGCCTCTCTCGCTGCTACACCTCACCTTGCCACCACCACTCCCGCCATGCCCACAGCCACCGCACCGCCGTCGCCTGCGCCGCTGCTCGCCGCCCTGCGCGCCGAGCAGCCGCGCGCCTCCGCCGCTGCCCTCGCACAGACCCTGGCGCGCCGCTATGCGCCCTGGCTCGGCGCGCCCGACGTGCCCGTCTTTGCCGCCTCGCGCGCACCCGGCACGCTCGTGCGCTGGCGCTGCATGCTCCAGGACACGGGCCTCGGCCGCGAGCTTGTGCGCGCTGCCGACTGCTGGCGTGTCGAGGCCGGCGACGGCGACGACGACGACGCCGCCGCAGCCAGCGACAGCCAGCTCGCCGAGCGTGCCGTCGTTTATGCGTGCGACGTGCCTGGCTGGAGTGCATGGGCGCGCCGCAGCTGGCAGCGCGGCGCGGCGGCTGCGGCTGATGTGGGCGCTGACGATGCTGGTGAGTGCGGTGCGTACTTGCCGCTCTTACTGCAGCACTGACTGGCATCGCTCAGCCGAGGCCATGCGGAACATGGCGCTGGGCGACGAAGCACCGGCGTACCTCGACAAGCACCCGCAGCGCGAGCAGCCTGGCGCAGGCGCGCTGCTCAAAGTGAGTGCAGCGCCGGCGTGACAAGACCAGACAGCCGTTGGCGGGCGCTCCTTCTGACTCGCTGTGCGCCGTGCTGACCCGCGTCGTTGCTGCGCAGATCTACGACGACGAGCTGGCCGACTCGCTGCGCGTGACACAATGCGTCGATGTGCTCGGCGTGCTTGACTCGAGCGCGTTGCCGGGCGCCGACTGGGCCGACGCCGACGGCAGTGCCGGTTCGAGCACTCCTCTCGTGCCGGCGTTGCATGTGCTGGCCCTCGCACCTGTCGACCTGCGTGTCAGCGCGGCTGCGCCCAGCGAGGCGCAGAGCGCCGGCGCAGCTGAGGCTCGACAGGAGATCAGCGCGTATCTCAAGGACGCACTAGCTGGCGACGAGTTGGCCGCCGAGTGGACGCTGCTTGCGCTGCTGGCACGCATGTGAGTGTGCCTCTCGCTGCGCTGCCCTTGCTGCCGCTGACTCGCAGACGTAGCCACTCACGACGCGGCCCGCTGCTGCTTGGCTCGCTGTCCCTGAATCTCTCCGGCGCCACGCTGCCGCACCTGCACGGCGCGCTGCAGGCGCTGCTGCCGAGTGTGCTGCGCCAGTCGCTGGCGCTGCCGCATCTGAACGAGGCGCGCACGCGCATGGCGCCGAGCAACGACGGAGCGGGTGAGGGCCTGCGTGCCGGCCGTCTGCAGTGTGTCGATGGCACGGCGCTGCTCATCGACGAGACGGAGATGGGCGAGGGCACGCTGGGCGACCGCGGTGAGCACCCAGATGCTAGTTCGATGCGAAGACAAGCAGACTGACACGGCGACGCAGGCGTGCGCAACATCCGCGAGCTCTCGGCAATGCTGACGAGCCGCAAGCTCGCGTACAACTTCTCCTACTCGACATTTGACTTCGACGTCGACGCGCCCGTCGTTGTGCTCTCGACCGGCAAGTCTCTGTTGCCGATCGACGTCTGGCTGCCGACCTCGCCCTCCGCCTCCACATCCGCGCCGGCAGCGGCATCTGAGGAGCAGCTGAGCCGCTGGCGCACCTACGTCGCTACAGCACGCAGCGCCGAGCTGGCTATTCCCGAGCAGGTGGCGCAGCAGATTCAGGATGAATTCGTCGCGGCGCGCAAGGAGGGGCAAGCGGGCTTCAAGGAGGGCCAAGAAGCTCTGCTGCGACGCATGGGCGTGGCAAGGTGAGTCGCCACGCGCATTGATTCTCGAGAGCTAGGCGCTGAGCTGCGGCGCTGCACAGATTCGTGGCGCTCTCGAACGGACTTTCCGAGATGGACCTGGCGTCCTGGCGCCGTGCCGTCGAGCTCGACGAGCTGCGCATGACCCGCGTCGCCGCTGCCGGCTCCGCCACTGCTGCTGCCGCGGCCAACGGCAGTGCCAGGCCCTCGGCGGCGAATGTGGCGCCTGACACGCCAGAGCGGCGGCGAGAGGCGCGGACAAGCGGCGACACGCTTGGCTCTCCGCCGCAGCCATAGCAATGAGCATGGCCTCGGCCACATGCGCAGAACGCTCCGCCGCAGCCTGAGTCTATGCATCTATTCGTCGGCGTCTAGTGGCGGCATGCCGACGTCGGCGTCGGAGCCGAGCACACAGACGCGCAGGAAGTACGCGTGCAGGCGTCCGTCGGTGGTGAGCTCCGGGTGGAAGCTGGTGGCGAGCAGGCGGCCCTGGCGCAGCGCGACGATCTGGGCGTCGTGCGGTGGCCGATTGGGGATGTCGAGGCTGGCAGGCGCACGCTCGGACTTCGGCGCCGGCGCCGAGGCACCGGGTAGCGTGGCGAGCGTGGCGAGCACCTCGAGCGGCGGGCGGCGTGCGCGTGGTGCGCCCTCGGCCTCGAGCGGCGGCGCCACGGAGATGCGCTGTGCGCCGGGCGTCTGCGGCGGCAGGGGTGCGCCGGGCACCAGCAGCCCCTGCTCCTCGACGACGGCGTCGAAGTACGCCTCGCCCTCGCCGCGCCCCACGAGCGTCGCCGAGCCCGGCGGCACGGCCGAGATGTCGGACGGCAGCAGCAGCGACTCGACGATGGGCGCGCGGATGAAGACGCCGGGGAACGGCGCCGGCTCGGCGGCCGAGGAGGACGACGACGACGCCTCAGAGAGGGCAGGCATGTAGAGGGGCGTCTCGAACGACGCCACCTGGCAGGCCAGAGCGTGAGCAAGGGCGCTCCAATGATCCGGCGGATGCCTGCTGCACAACGCAGAGCCTCGCCGCATGCGCTGCCCAGCGCGCCTGTCGCCCACCGCCAACACGGCGCCATGGCGCGCGGCGCGGTGCGCCCTCAGCGCTCGCCCACGCCGCAGCACTCCACTGCCCGCAATTGACTCACCTGCGTGCCGAAGCCGTTGCGCCCCACGCGCACATCGATGCCGCCGAGCAGGTGCTGGCCGCCGCGCTTGCCGCCGGCGGCCTCTCGCGCCAGGAGGATCATGCCGGCGCAGGTGCCCCACGTCGGGCGCCCGTCGCGCACCCACGCACGCAGCGGCTCAAGCAGCGATGCGCGCTGTGCCGCCAGCGCAATGGCCGTGCTCTCGCCGCCGGGGATGACGAGGGCGTGGCACTGCGCCAGCGCCTCGGCCGAGCGCACGGCGACGGCGGCGACGTGCGAGTAGCCGGCGGGCGCGGGCAGCAGCGTGAGGTGCTGCATGTGCTCGTGGAACGCACCCTGCAGCGCCAGCACGCCGACGGTGAGCGGCGCAGCCATGGTGGGCGGAGCTGGGCCTTGTGCGGCGGTGGCGAAGGGAGGCAGGCGGCGAGCGGCCTGGCGGCTGCGGTGTGCGGGGCGTGGTGGAGGAGCAGGAAGATGCGCGCGGCCGGCCATCGCTTGCCTCCGGCCCGCCCAAATTCCGCGAGTCACAAGCTTGGCGCAGCCAGGCGCGCCGCGGGAGTCGCGCGCTGCCTCCGCCAGGGCCAGCCGCCAGGCTGACCAGCAGGGCGCGCCTCACGTGCGCCGCCTTTTTGGCTGCTGACGGCGCGGCCGCCGTACGGGAAGGGCCGAGGTGCTGCGCCTTCCGATGTGCTGCGCTTGTGATCTCGCCTTCCCTCTCCTCCACGTCGCTCCGTTGCTGTCCACCTCGCACCGCACCGCACCCGGCCTCGTCACGCAGCCATGTGGCCCTTCTCCTCGTCCTCGTCTTCCTCCTCGGCCGGGCCCTCGTCGGCACCCGGCGCGTCAGAACCGAGCACCGCCGCCGCCGCGCCCTCTTCCTTTGTGCCCGACGCCTCCGTCTCGTCGTCGGCCGCGTCGCCCTCGTCGCACTACTCCGCCAGCGGCGCCGCCGAGTACGTGCCGCCGAGCGCGTCGGCGCTGCTGCTCGACCCCGCCTTCTCGCCCGCGGCGCTGCACCCGCTCGCCGGCCTCGGCAAGGAGGACGTCGAGTACCTCGACATCGTCGACGCCCAGCCCGCCACGCTCGAGGGCGCACGCACCGCGCTGCCGAGCCGGGGGTGGAGCGACGACCTGTGCTACGGCACGGGCACCACGTACCTCTCGGGTGCGTATCGGGTGCAGCTCGGATCAGGAGAGGAAAGTGGAGGATGGACATAGGAGGGCCAAGGGGATGACCAGCAGTCGGCTGCAAGATTGGGACACGACAGCCACTGGCGCATGCTCGGCCATGCGCTGCATTGCTGTCGGCAGGCGCACCCGCTGCTATGCTTCCTTTGTTTTGAGCCGTCTCGCATGACGGCCGTGCAGATGCTGGCCGCTGAGCAGCAGCAGCAGCGCCCGCGCTCCTCACTGCTGCGCGGAATGCGTGGAGCCACGCACGGCGCTTCATTTGTCTCTGCCTTGCTCATACTGACGCGCTGTCTGCAGGTCTTGCGCTCGGAGGTCTGCTCGGTGCGCGCGAGGGCTTCTTCCGGCCGCTGGGCGTGGCGAACCCGACGTTCCGGCTGCGCCTCAACGCCGTGCTCAACCAGGTCACACGGCGCGGCTCCTTCTTCGGTAACAGCGCCGGTGTCATTGGTGCGTGGGCGAGAAGCGCTGCTCGACTGATGGGCGTCGGCTCATGCCTGGTCCCTTCTCGCAGCGCTCATCTACAACCTCGCCGATGCGAGCATCGATGCCGCGCGCGGCAAGCATGACCTGGCAGGCAGCGTGGGTGCCGGTGCCGTCAGTGGCGCGCTGTTCAAGTGCACCGGTGAGTCGCCAGCGACCGCTGAGCAGCAGCAGCCGCGCAGCGCTGACCCATGCGCTCCCTTTGTCCTCGCCAGCCGGCGTGCGGCCGATGATGATCTCGTCTGCCATCATGATGGGCGCTGCGGCAACATGGACGCAGGCAAAGCAGGCGCTTCTTTGAGCAGCTGCAGCAGGAGCAGTGCTATGCTTCGCCAGGGCATCTCTCAGCCGACTGGCGCGGCCGGGAGACGCAGAAGCAGATCCGCATCGGCGCATACGCCTGCAGCACGCGGGACGAGACGACACGCTAGACTTGACTCGGGACATGGGTTCGCCGGGGCCCGCGGGCCACCGCTATTTTGCCAGAGACAACCACTACTCAATCAGAAATTTGCAACGCTCCGATGCTGAGCACGCAGTCGCCGCTGCGTGAGCTGACGTCTCATGCCTCGTCCCGTGGATGAGCACCAGCCTGAGACGCTGACGCATGCTCAGGCTCTTCACACGCGACGTAGCGCCGAGAAAGATTAAAGCAGTCTCTGATTATCGCTCACAGGCCCGCATACACATTGGCGCCCTCAGGCGGCCATGGGAACGGCGGCTCGGGCCGCTCGTTGACCCGTGGCCGTGGCCCGCCCGTCTCCTGCGCTGCTGGCGGCCCCGCGGCCCCTCCCTGTGCCTGCGCCAGGTCGCGCCGCTCGCGCTCCGCACGCAGCGCTGCACCCTGGCGCGCGTACACGAGGAACGCCAGCGCGGCGAGGCCGATGACGATGAACGCGCCCTCGATGATGTCGTCCAGCTCCTCGTCGCTCTCCTCCTCGGCGGCGCTGGCGTTCGAGGTGCGCCGCCGCACGTCGTATGTCTCTGGCAGGTTCGGATCGCCGCCCTCGCCCATGGCGTTGGTGTCCGGCCGCAACAGGCCTCCACGGGCGCTGTCGCCTGCCGGCGCCGCGCGCCCAGCGCGGCCGTCTCCGAGACGCTCAAGCGCTGCGAGCGCCGCCTGCTCCTCCGCCTCCGTGTACGCCGGCGCCGCTCCGTCGGGCGCAGCGCCTCCGGCTGTCAAGGCGTAGCTCTTGAGCAGTGCAATCGCTGAGGCGTCGCCGTGCCGCAGCGTGGCCCAGATGGCGCGCAGGTGCAGCTTGGCGAGCGAGAGCAGCACGGGCAGGTACGCCTCGTGGTTGATCTCCACCGCCATGTCGTAGTAGCGCTTCGCCAGCGCGTAGTCGTGCTGCGGCACGCCGAGGCCCGACTCGTACAGGAAGCCCATGTTCCAGTATGCGAGCGCCGAAACTTGCCGGTCCGCTGCGGCAGCGTAGCATGCGGCGGCCTTGTCGTACGCCGGCTCGCTGCGGCTGCTGCGCTGCGGCGTCGCGGCTCCAGCGGAGCCCGATGCTGAGGGCGCGGCAGCGCCATCTGCCCGCGTGACGCTGGCGCCGCCGGCCTGCTCAACGTCGAGCGCCCCGTGCGTGATGCCGATGCCCTTGAAGTAGTAGTCGCCCACTTTGACGAGCGCATCGACATTGTCCTGAGCCGCACTGCGCGTCCAGTGGATGAGCGCGAGGCGGTCGCGGGCGGCCTCGCGCGCCTCATCAGCTTCGGGCTGCTCCTCCAGGGCGCCGAGGTGCAGGCTGCGCTTGTCGCGGTCGAGCAGCCAGGCGACGTTGTTCTGCGCCGCTTCGTAGCCGCGTTCGCCCGCCATGGCCCACAAGCTCAGCGCGCGCTCGCGCTCGCCCTTGTCCCATGCCCGCTCCGCACGCGCAAAGAGCGGGTCGGCCCAGTCGCCGCGCTCTACTGCGTGCTTGTAGCCCGCAACCGCGAGACGGCAACGCTCGTGCGAGGGGCTTCCGGCAGGGCCGACTGGTCGTGCTGTCGTCTCGGCACCGCCGTACATGCCCAGCAGTGAGCGTGCGAGCCGCGCGTTGATAGTCGCGAGATGGTAAGGCGCCTCGAAGCTATTGCCCAGACGCATCGCCATCTCGAGGTACTTGGCCGCGGCATTGATGTCGCCCATTTCTGAGGGTGGTGGGTCGTCGGCAATTATTCTTCGTTGTGGGTTCAGCGTTCAGCACACTCACCGAGATGAATCTTGCCGAGGTTGACGCAGCCCTCAGCACTGCTGCCCACGCCGTGGTTCGAGGCGCCCTCGAAGTAGCCGACTGCCTTGCGCACGTCCTGTGGCACGCCCAGGCCGTCGCGCAGCATCAGACCGATGCCGTTGTAGGCCTCCGTGTTGCCAAAGTCGGCCGCACGACGGAACCAGACCCATGCGCGGCTGAAGTCCTGCTCGACGCCCTCGCCACGCAGGAACATGCGGCCCATCATCGATGCAGCAACGGCCGCATACTGCTGCCGCACTTCATCGACCTTGAGCGTGATGTCCTCTCCAGGCTGGCCCTTGCCTGCCTCGTAGCCGGCCGGCCCGCCACGCTTGACCTGCTTCGAGTCGACGGGCCACACCGTCTCCGTCACCTTGAGGCACCACTTGCGCGCCTCGCCGTAGTCGCGGCCGACGCGCCCCGCGCCCTCGCCGGCCGCCCACACATTGCCGCCGTACCAGATGCTGGCAAGGCGCAGGGCGAAGCCAGCGTGGCCGCGCGTTGCATGGTGAGTGTAGAACTCGAGAAGGTCCTCGAGACGATTGGGATCTGTGGCGGGCAGCGCATGCAGCACAGCCTGCATGGCCGGCCGCCGTGCTGCAAGGCCGGTCGACGCGACGGAGGCGCCGGGCCCGTATGCCCCGCCCGCAGAGTCAGATATCCGCAGCTTAGTGTACGGCAGCGTGAGGCCGCCCGGCGGACCGCTGTTGAACTTGGCGAACGCTGAGGCGAGGATCAGCAAGCGCCACAGCACATGCGCGCAGTACGACGCACCTTGTTCCGCCGCCTTCTCGTACCAGTTCAGCGCCGCCTCGCAGTTCTGGCTCACGCCGATGCCGGCGTGGTAGCGGTACCCAAGCGACATCTGCGCAGCGGCGTCTCCAGCAGCGGCAGCGATGTGGTAGTGCACGAGGGCCTGGAGGCACCGGCGTGAGACAATGTCAAAAGCCTTCCAGCATTCAGCTCACCTTTGCTTGGCCGACCTGTCCGCCCTCCCATGCGCCGCCGTGCAGCCAGCCGAGCTGCGTGTGCGCTGTCGTGTTGCCGTCAACTGCCAGTGCCTCCCACGCGAGCTTTGCTCGCTCAATGTTGACCGGCAGGCCGAGAAGACCGTGCTGGCTCAGCGTTGCCAGCACCAGCAGGGCATCGGGGTCACGCGCCTCGAAAGTGAGGTTGCGCAGCGCTGCGTGCGGGCTTGCGAGCGCCGCGTGTGACAGGCCGCCGGCGTGGTGCAGCAGCGCCAGGGCCTCGGCGCGACGGCCATTGGCTGCCTGCTCGGCTTCTGACAGCGCGACTGATGTGCGAGGCTTCGATGCCAGGCGGGAGGTGAGCGGCCGCGTAGCCCACGCGATGATGCGGTCCGAGTACGACTTGGGCTCGGGCGCCTTCTCCTCGGCCGATGAACAGAGGAAGGGCCCGCTCGTGGCACGCGCCCAGCCGCCGGCCCACGCAGGCCACAGCGCAATATTGGCGTACGCCTCGGACTCGATGCTGAGCAGGTTGCCGCTCAGCTGCGACGCCGCCACGCTCTCCCACGTCGGCGGGCGCGAGCTGACGAGGCGCAGGCGCACCGCCAGGCGCGAGAGCGCGCCAAGCGGGCCCCAGCTGAGGAAGCCGCGAACGTAGCTCTCGAGCAGCTCAAATGCCGGGTGGATGCGCGGCAGCTTGGAGCGTGCGTCGCTGCGTCCGCGCGGCGGCGGCGGCGGCACGTAGAGGCCGTCGAGCAGCGCCAGGGCGCGCCGCGTGGCCTCGCGCGGCGCCAGCTCGTGCAGCGGGCCCAGCAGCTCGGCGGCAGCAGGATCATCGTCGAGCGGAGCAGCAGCCTCGGCAGCGGCAGCCTCGACGGCGCCGAGCGCGCGGCGGGCGTGCGTGTTGTGCTGGCCCAGCACGAGCGCGACGAGGACGAGGACGAGGAGGGTGAGGAGCGGCAGGCGCAGCGGCAGGCGCGGCCGCGGCCGGGCCGCGCGTGCATAGCCGCCGCCCTGCGGCGCCAGGCTGCGCGGCGTCGACCGGGCGCCGACCATGCGGCGGAGCGTGCGGAGCGGCGAGGGCGGTGCTGGAGGGTGTGGAGCAAGGGAGCGAGGCGCGCCAGCGCGGGCCGAATTGTCAGCGCCGCGCGCCGCGAAGCTCCCGAGTGCCGCCACGCATCGTCGGAGTCGCGCTCGCCACGTCCGCGCTGCGCACAGGCCACCCGCTGCCCCCTGAGCACCACGGCTTCCTCCTTCTCGCCCTCAAACCGGCATTCATCAAGCGCAAGCCTCACTCTGACGACCACAGTGACGCAGCCGCGAGCATGTCGAGGCTCTTCGCCGCGCCGCGCTCGACGATCGCGGCGAACCTGGCCGTGCAGCCGTACGACCCCGCCACCTACATCGAGACGGCAAAGTCGGGCAACCGCGTCTCGCGCCGCGCCCACATCTACGGCTCGCAGAACATCGTCCTCGGCGGCAAGTGCATCATCCACCCCGCCGTCGTCATCCGCGGCGACCTGCGCAAGGCCGCCGCGCCCGCCGCGCCCGGCAGCGACGCCGCGCGTGCCGAGCGCGGCAGCACCGTCGCCATCTCGATGAACAAGTTCTGCGTGCTCGGCGAGGGCTGCGTGCTGCGCCCGCCGTACAAGACGTACCGCGGGTTAGTCGCTGCAGGTGCTGTGTGGCTCGGGCTGCTGCTGACTGTGTCCGCTTGCAGCGCGTTCACATACTACCCGCTCAAGATGGGCGAGTACGTGAGCATCGGCGCCGGCAGCATCGTCGAGGCGGCCAGCATCGGCTCGTACGTCGACATTGGCCGTGGCTGTGTGGTGGTGCGTGGTGCACTGTCTGCGCACATGGCCTTTGGTGCTGATGACCCTGCTCAGGGCAAGTTTTGCTCCATCAAGGACTCGGTGCGCGTGCTCGACGGCAGTGTGCTTCCTGCGGGCACCGTACTGCCCAGCGGCACGGTTTGGGGCGGTGCTCCCGGTCAGTGCCTTTGCGTCTCGGTCTGCGCTATTCTGTGCTGACCTCCTACCCAGCGACGTGTCTGGGCGAGCTGACCGAGAACTTTGACGAGCTGCACAAGCTGCGCACGAAGGACTACTACGAGCGCCACCGCCCGGCGCAGGCCCAATGACATATACCTTGACAGCGACACACGTGATGAGGGAGCACCATGACGGCCCCATGTGCGTGCGGCCTCTTGCCCTGCTGCGACCCGGCCGGTACACTACGCCTGCCGGCTGGACGTTGACCAGGCGCTGATTCCGCGCAGGCCATCAAGTAACCATTGCGGAGACCGAGCTTCTCTCGTGGCCGCACGGGGCACCGAGCGTGTCTCACAGCTCTCAGCACGGGCAATCATGCATCCGTGCCCGAGGCGGGCCATTGGCTTCTCGGCCTCGGCGGCGTCGGTTCGAGGGTCCATGCTGTGCTGCGCACGCATGCTTCCCACAGTGCGTGCAAATGCTGCTTCCTGGTCGAGAGCGAGGCGCGGAGAAATGACAGACGGCACGGCGACCCACGGGCCCCTGCAGCTGCAGCCCTCTGCTGCCGGCGCTGCACGGCGGAGCGTTTGCCCGGCGCGGCGCCTTGGCCAGAGAGCGCGGCAGCGCCGGAGCCGCATGCGGCGCCCTCGCAGCAGCTGCTGCTGCGCCGCGGAAGAAGAGCGCCGCCGCGGCGAAAGCGGCGGCAGCAAAGGCAAGCAGGAACCGCTCCTGCTGCTGCCGTGCGCAGTGGCGGCTGCAAGGGGGATGCACGATCACCATCAGGACACGACGCTCCCGACGTGTCGGTGCCGGTCTGCACGAAGCTGCCCTCTCTTCGAGCGCAAGCACAGCTGCGCAACGACTCGGCAGCTCATTGGTACGCTCGTGTCAGCACGTTTACGTCAAAGGGCACCCGACAGTCGCTGCAGGCACCGCCAGAGGACGGCAGCAGGCGCTATGGCGCCCTGCCGCCGGCAACAACGGCGCTAGACAGCACCTGCAGCGGTGTCGACGTCCTTGTGGCGAGTGCACATCGCATGCGGCAGAGCGACCGCACAAGTCGATGCACGGATCAGGAAATTGCGTTTGGCAGCCTGCAGAGGGAGAGAAACGATCATGCCGCAGCAGGCCCTCGAGCATTCAGACGCAGCTGTCAGCTGGGTGCTTTGCTTTGCTGAGCTGCGCCCAGCTCAACGCTCGATGGCCGACGACGCCCAGCCCAAGGACTCGGCGCGGCAATGCACCTTCTCTATGCCCGTCCGCACCCAGGAACAGCCGCAGCAGAATGCCCGGCAACAAGCAAAGATGTTGGAGAGCTCGAGCGGCAGCGTGCGGGCGCAGCTGCAGCAGCCCGCAGCGGCAGCGCTTGATGCAGCGGGGAAATGACGGCGCCGGCGAGGAGGGCGGAGTGTGGCTGCGGCGCTCGGCGGAGCAGGACCCCCTCGCACCCTCTGCTCCTGACGCTGTGGACATGCATGCGCTGCACGCGTCCGCCGCCTTTCTGCGCTGATGCCCTCATTGCGGCCCTCGATGTCGATGCCGTGATCTGCTCCGAGCGGTCAGCTCCGTGATCGTCCTTGCAGCGCCGCACTGCGTCCTGCAGCGGGGCCTGTGGCGGTGTCCGAAGGCTGCCCTCCGAGCCGATGCGCTGCACGCTCGCAGACTGCGCCGCGGAACACAAGGCCCTGCGCCGAAAGTGGGCTGAGCGCTGCTTGCTGAGCTTGTCTTGCTCGCTCGATGCTTGCTGCTGCAGCTCGGAGCTGCAGCGGGCACGTTCGCAGCGCTGTGCTGGCAGGCATCGACGGCGACGAGGCTCGTCGGATGGGTCGGCCGTGTGAGGATGCCTCGCACGCAAGAGTCGGTCGGCGCGCGTCGCGTGGCGGCAGCGGCAGCAGCGGCAAGCGCGCCGACGCCGGAGCTTGCCCAGCGCCGGACGTGTCTGCCGCTCGGGCGCTGCGTCTGGCGGGCCGTGCGGGCAAATGGCGTGCATGAATGGCGAGCCCTATCCTGCGAAGGGAGAGGCCAAATGCCGCCGCACTGCGACACTTCCTGCGGCGCTTTCCACGCTAAGCAGATTGAGACGGCGCAGCCGGCAGCCGGTCAGTCGAGTGCGTCGCGCTGCTGGCTGGGACGCTTGCTCCCGCTTCATGCTTCATTTTGGCGCCCGTCGTCGTTGCGACACCTCGTGCGACGGTGTGATCGACGGTTGCGCGGCGCGAAGAGGCCCTGACTTTAGTGCCTGCGCCAGCTTGCCTTGCTCTCAGCGCCCGCGTTTGAATGCGACGCTCGGCCGATGGCGCCGTGCGAAGCTTGAGCGCTCACGCACCGCATGCTGTCCTCGCTGCGGGCGAGTGTGGCGGAGCTGCGAGGGAGTGCAGGCGCAGCATGCATGCGCTGCTCCGCGCTCCGTCGGAGGGCCGCCCGGTTGCCCGATGCGTGGCCTGGGCGGCGGCCGGGCTCGTGCTTGAGAAATGGCCCGACGGCGACGAGCCGTGTCAGCACGAGCATGAGCGGTGTCCGGCAGGTGCAGGAGCGGCCGGCGACAGCGGCGTGCCAGCCGAGCGACGGGCGGCGGGCGCGGGGCGTGCGTCGCAGCGGCCGCCCGGCCTCTTGGTGGTGCTCGCGGAGCGGCCGTGCGCCTCGCAGGCCGCACGCTAGGCGCAGGACGTGGCAGAAGAGCAGTGGCGGCGCTAAGAAGGGGGTGGTGGGCGTGAGGGAGAGTGGGCGGGTGCGGCGGCCTGCGGGGTGGCACGCCCGCCAGCAAAGCGCCGCAAGCGCGCGCCCATGCATGTGCGCTGCAGCGCTGGCGCTGGTGCGGCGGCGACTCGGTGGCAGCGGTGCGCCAGCGACGGCGGCGTGTGAGCGCCCGCCGCGAGCGGTTCGCGCGCGGCGCTGCGCGAGGGTACGCCCGCTTGCTGCACGCGTGCAGCCGCCTGCCGACCCCTGGCACCGGAGTGGCGTTGCTCAGCGCCGCCGCAGCATGGCACTGATCGCCCTCGCCTTCCTCGGCGAAAGGGCCCCTCGCTGCTCGGACTTTCTGCGGGCCTGGCGCAGGCGACAGCGCCGCAGCTGAGCACGCAGGTGCGCCGGGGCGGTGCATGCGATGCGCCGCATGGGGTCCAGCGCAGCGCCGGTCGCACGTCCGGCACTGGCGCCATCCTCTGCGCAACGGGCGCACACGCCGCCGGCCCTTCATAAGGCGCCCGCTCGCCGCTCACAGCTGCGCCCACCCCACCCATTCGCCACCCTTCGTCCACCACCCGTTCACAATGAAGGTCACGGTCGCCGTCTCCCTGCTCGCCGTGGCGCCGTTCGCGCTCGCGGCCCCCAGCTGGCCCTCGCCGCCGTCCGACGCCGCCGCCGAGCGCCGCTTCGCCGAGCAGCTCCTCGCGTCGCGCGCGCTGCAGGCGACGCCCGAGACGTTTGCCCAGCAGCCGTTCGACTACCTCGTCCTCGGCGGCGGCACCGCCGGCCTCGCCGTCGCGGCCCGCCTCTCCGAGCAGCGCGGCAAGCGCGTCGGCGTGCTCGAGGCCGGCCCGTCGCTGCTGCCCAACAAGAGCCCCGTCACCGACACGCCCGGCTTCTTCGGCGGCAACCTCGGCAGCGACATCGACTACAAGTACGCCACCGTGGCGCAGGACAACGGCGTGCCGTCCGTCGGCTGGCCGCGCGGCCGCGTGCTCGGCGGCTCGTCGGCGCTCAACTTCCTCGTCTGGGACCGCGCCGCCGAGGCCGAGTACGACGCCTGGGAGGAGCTCGGCAACAAGGGCTGGAACTGGGACAACATGTACCGCTACATGAAGAAGGCAGAGCACTTCTTCGCCCCGTCGGCCGCCGACCAGCAGCGCCTGCACCTGCAGGCCAACCCCAGCGACTATGGCCGCGCCGGCCCCGTGCAGGTCTCGTACCCGCGCTACATCTCCGACGCCGTCACGCGCTGGATCCCCGCCCTCGAGGCGCTCGGCATCCGCAAGAACAACTCGCCGCTCGCCGGCGACAACCGCGGCGCGTCGGTGCAGCCCAGCAACATCAACCCCAAGAACTCGACGCGCTCCTACTCGGCGCCGGCGTACTTTGCGCCCGCGTCGGGCCGTGAGAACCTCGTCGTGCTCACCGAGGCCGTCGTGCAGAAGATCGAGTTTGGCAGCAGCAGCAGCAAGAAGCGCAAGGCCGACATCACCGCCTCGGGCGTCACGTACACCGCCCGCGGCAAGACGTACATGGCCAAGCTGAAGGGCGGGCCCAAGTCCGAGGTCATCGTCTCGGGCGGCTCGGTCAACTCGCCGCAGATCCTCGAGCTGAGCGGCATCGGCTCCAAGGCCGTGCTCGACAAGATCGGCGTGCCGCAGCTCGTCGAGCTGCCGGGCGTCGGCGAGAACATGCAGGACCACACATACTCGGCCGCCGCCTACGAGCTCAAGGCGGGCAGCGTCACGCTCGACAACCTGCGCAACGACCCCGCCTTCGCCGCCGACCAGCAGCAGAAGTACAACGCGGGCGAGGTGTCGATCCTCGACGAGACGGTGCCGGCCATCGGCTACCTGACGCTCACGCAGCTCGTCGGCGCGCAGAAGGCCGCGCAGCTCGTTGTCAAGGCCAAGGCGTACGTCGCCTCGGCGCAGACGCCGTACAAGGCCACGCTGCGCAAGCAGCTCGAGTTTCTCGAGAAGCACGCCGACACCATCACGCAGATGGAGGTGATCAACGTCGACGGCTACTTCGCGGGCTCCGCCCCGCCGGCGGCTGGCAAGTCGTACACGACGTACCTGGCGGCGCAGCAGCACCTGCTCTCGCGCGGCTCGATCCATGCCGTCTCCAAGGACCCGAGCGTCTCGCCCGCCATCAACGCCAACTACTTCACCGCCGAGTGGGACCTCGACGTGGCCACGGCGGGCACCGAGTACCTGCGCCGCATCGCCGCCACGCAGCAGTACCAGGACAACTTCATCGTCGCCGAGACGCTGCCGGGCGCCGGCCGCGACGTGCGCGACTACACCAAGAAGACGACGGTGACCGAGTACCACCCCATCGCCACGTGCTCGATGCTGCCGCGCTCGCAGGGCGGTGTCGTCGACGCGGCGCTGCGTGTGTACGGCACGCGCAACGTGCGTGTCGTCGACGCCTCGGTGATCCCGCTGCACATCTCGGCGCACATCCAGGCGACGATCTACGGCGTGGCCGAGGCCGGCGCCGCGATCATCGCCGGCGGCCTCTCGAGCCTGCGGTAGAGAGTGGCTCCGCATACGGGCCTGCGTGCACGGCCAGCGCCGAGCCGCGCCTCTCTCTATAGCTTATCCCCGCGTTCCCGGACCCCCTTCCTGGTCTCGGCGTCCTGTGCGACTGCCTGAGCCGCGTCACCTTGTTGGCTTGAATGTCATTCTGATCGAAGAACAAGCGTTTGTCTGAGTGAGCGTGCAGAGTGGATGGTTTGAGGATGCGATTACGTTGAGCTTGCGAACGGAGTGCTGTGCGCGGCCAGCCGCAGGACAAACAGCTCCTCGGGCTACCCACAGTGAGCTCCGGCGGGCCTCGTCTGCTGCTGCTGCAGCGCATGACGCTGCCTGCTGTCTGACGGCTGCGTTGTGCATTGTGCGTTGTGCGTTGTGTCTCTCAGCGATGCGTCTGCTGGCGTGGGGCTCGCGACGGCGGTGGGCGCAGCGTGCGCGGGCGAAGCTCGGCGCATCCTTCCCCACGCCGCAGCGCACCCCGCCGGCTGCGTTTCGGTGCGACGTGCGGCGTCCCAAATTAGCTCGCTGCGACTCGCCTGCGAGCTGCCAGCGCGGCGACGTGGCACGAGTGCGCCGGTGGCCTGCCTACGTTGCTACGACTGCACTGTGTGTGTGCTCGAGGGGCTTGATGAAGCATGACTGCGCCCAGATTATCGCAGGCGGCCGGCGCCGAGTCTGCGCTGCATCCTGCGTTGGGTCACGCGGCGTGCGCGCGCAGCGGCAGGTGCAGGTGCAGAGAGGTCGCCACCGACAGCGAACCGCGCGCCGCCGCGTGCGGAGACGGGCGAGGTGCCTTGCGCGCGCACGGTCAAGCGCGCACGGGCAAGAAGTTCGCGGTGTGTGACGTGTGGAGCAGACGACGCTTGCTGCTGCTGGGGCAGGCTCGCTGTGCTCCGGCCTGCTGTGCTGCCTGCCAGCAGCGACGCACTCCTCACCCCTCACCACCATCCCCACACTCTCAAACCATGGCTGCACCATCCACCGCCGCCGCACCCGCTGCGCCGCCGCCGCCCGACTTCAGCAAGGCGACCGACGGCACGCGCGTCATTGCCATCGACCCGTGGCTCGAGCCCTTTGCGCCGGCGCTGCGCCAGCGCTACGCCCTCTACAAGAAGTGGCGCGACACCATCGAGCAGACCGAGGGCGGCCTGGCGCAGTTCGCACGCGGCCACGAGCGTCTCGGCTTCCACGTCGACGAGCGCTCGCAGGCCGTCGTGTACCGCGAGTGGGCGCCCGGCGCGACCAGCGCCGCGCTCATCGGCGACTTCAACGGCTGGAGCCGCGAAGCGCACGCGATGCGCAAGAACGAGTTCGGCGTCTGGGAGATCACCATCCCCGCCGCCGACGGCAAGTGCGCCATTGCGCACGGCAGCAAGCTCAAGATCAGCATGACGACGCCGAGCGGCGAGCGCATCGAGCGCCTGCCGGCGTGGATCAAGTGAGCGGCCTGGCTGGGCCCACTGCAGTGCCTCGCACTGACACCGCACAGGCGCGTCACACAGGACCTCTCCGTGTCGCCGGTCTACGATGCAATTTTCTGGAACCCGCCGGCATCGGAGCGGTATGAGATGAAGCACCCGCGCCCGCCGAAGCCGACTGACCTCAAGGTGTACGAGGCGCACGGTGAGTGCCTGTGCTGTGCTGCTCTTGTCGATGCTCTCTGACGCCGCTGCAGTCGGCATTGCGACGCCCGAGCCGCGCGTCGGCAGCTACCCGGAATTCAGTGAGTGCTGCGTGGGTCCTTCTTGCGCTGCAGCTGACCAGTCTGCTAGCGCGCAATGTGCTGCCGCGCATCAAGGACCTCGGCTACAACACGATCCAACTGATGGCGATTCAGGAGCACGCATACTACGCCTCGTTCGGCTACCAGGTGACCAACTTCTTTGCCGCCAGCAGCCGCTACGGTGAGTGGTCTGTGACGCACCTGCTTGCCTCGCCTCTGACGCCTCTGCAGGTACGCCGGAGCAGCTGCGCGAGCTCATCGACACGGCGCACTCGCTCGGCATCACGGTGCTGCTCGACATTGTGCACTCGCACGCGTGCAAGAACACGCTTGACGGCCTCAACATGTTCGACGGCAGCGACCATCTCTACTTCCACGAGGGCGCAAAGGGCCGCCATGAGCTGTGGGACTCGCGCCTCTTCAACTACGGCAGCCACGAGGTGCTGCGCTTCCTGCTCAGCAACTGCCGCTACTGGCTCGAGGAGGGCTTTGACGGCTTCCGCTTCGACGGCGTCACGAGCATGATCTACACGTGAGTGCTGTCGTTCACGCGCATCACCAGCATCGCTGATCGCTCGCTCGCAGGCACCACGGCATCGGCACGGGCTTCTCGGGCGGCTACCACGAATACTTTGGCCCGTCGGTCGACGCCGAGGGCGTGGCGTACCTCATGCTGGCCAACGAGATGATCCGGCAGGTGCTGCCGGACGCCATCACGATTGCCGAGGACGTGAGCGGCATGCCCGCGCTGTGCCGGCCCGTCGAGGAGGGCGGCATGGGCTTCGACTACCGCCTCAGCATGGCTGTGCCTGGTGAGTGTCGGCGCAATGGCAGTGCGGACTCGTTACTGACTGCTTGCACTCAGATATGTGGATCAAGCTGCTCAAGGAGACGCAGGACGAGGACTGGGACCTGGCAAACATCTGCCACACCCTCACGAACCGCCGCCACATGGAGAAGAGCATTGCATACGCAGAGTCGCACGACCAGGCGCTGGTCGGCGACAAGGTGCGCACAGAAAGCACTCGTGTGCTTGACGCCAGCTGACCTCTCCGTTCGCAGACGCTGGCGTTCTGGCTCATGGACAAGGAGATGTACACCAAGTGAGTTTGAGTGCGCTGCTCTCTTGCGTACACTCGCCGACCACGCCTGCCACAGCATGTCCGACCTGTCTGAGCGGACGCCGATTGTCGACCGCGGCCTGGCGCTGCACAAGATGATCCGCTTCCTCACGCACGCCCTCGGCGGCGAGGGCTGGCTCTCGTTCATCGGCAACGAGCACGGCGAGCCGGAGTGGCTCGACTTCCCGCGCGAGGGTCGGTAGCCTAGTGCAGGGGCTCGCAGACTGCACTGTGCTCACACGCGCATTCCGCAGGCAACGGCAACAGCTTCGCCCACGCGCTGCGCCGCTTCGACCTCTCCGACGACCCGCTGCTGCGCTACCGCTACCTCAAGGCCTTCGACAAGGGCATGAACTGGCTGGAGGACCAGTACAAGTGGCTGGCGTCGCCGCAGGCCTACGTCTCGCTCAAGCACGAGAGCGACCGCGTTATTGCCTTTGAGCGCGCCGGGCTCATCTTCATCTTCAACCTCCACCCGACCAACTCGTACACGGGTGCGTGAGCTGCCGCGATGCTGACCACGCTCCTGCTGACCCGTTCTCGCGCAGACTACCGCATCGGCGCCGATGTGCCGGGCGAGTACGTCATTGGCCTGGACAGCGACGCGGCCGAGTTCGGCGGCCACGCGCGCATCGACCACGCCAAGAGCCGCTTCTTCACGACGCCGATGGGCTGGAACGGCCGCGCCAACTTCATCCAGGTCTACCTGCCCTCGCGCACGTGCCTCGCGCTGCGTCTCGCCTAGACGGGCGGACGGACCCTCACGTCCTCTGTCCCAAGGTTGCTCTCGGTCACTGTGCTCCCATACACTCCGTCATGTCTTCCGCTCTTCCAGCTGCCGCGGTCTCTCGTCATCTACCCATGCCCCTCTTCAGAAATGATACGCTCCGTGCCATGACCAGCAGCCAGCCAGTGCGCCCTTGGTGAAGTCGTGCATTACGGGAGAGTGAGAGTCGTCTACGAGTAGTACGCGAATTCGGACTGCGGAGGGATCGTGTGTCAGCGCTCGCACCGCGGACGAGCAAAACGGCACCGCGCTCACCTTCTTCTTCGATTGCACTTCCATCTGAGGCGCACGTCTGGTGAGCAAAAGTGGCGGGAACTGCAGCCACAGGGACTCACAATGCCGCCGAAGAAGTGCTCGTGGTCCAGGATGTTCGCGCCCTCGCGCAGCGCAATCATGCCCGCCTGTGGACGCGGATCAGTCGATGCTCGTGCGCCCCGCACACATGCAACTCACCTCGACGCAGACGGCCTTGAGCTGGGCGCCGTTCATCTCGTCGCACGAGCGCGCCAACTCCTCGTAGTTGACATTGGGTCCGACGGCCATCTTGCGGCTGTGGATCTCCATGATGCGCGCGCGCGCCTCCTCGTTGGGCAGCGGGAACTCGATCTTGCGGTCAAGACGTCCGGAGCGCAGCAGGGCCGGGTCGAGAATGTCGATGCGGTTCGTCGCGGCGATGACCTTGATGCGCTCGTCGGAGCTGAAGCCGTCGAGCTGGTTGAGCAGCTCGAGCATGGTCCGCTGCACCTCGCGGTCGCCCGACTTGTCCGAGTCGAAGCGCTTCGTGCCGATGGCGTCGAGCTCGTCGATGAAGATGATCGTCGGTGCCTTCTCCTTGGCGAGCTCGAAGGCGTCGCGCACGAGCTTGGCGCCGTCGCCGATGAACATCTGCACCAGCGACGGGCCGGCCAGCTTGAGGTAGCACGCGTTTGTCTGCGCAGCACATGCTCGCGCAAGCAGCGTCTTGCCCGTTCCTGCCGCAGACGGCCTCAGCGCGTGCTCGCATGGCTAGCACGCGCGCGCGGCACTCACCTGGTGGCCCGTACATCAGAGCGCCCTTCGGTGGCCGAATGCCGAGGTTCTTGAACTTCTCCTCCTGCTGCATCGGCAGCACGATGGCCTCCACCAGCTCCTCAATCTGCTTGTCCAGACCGCCTGCATAGATGTGTCAGACGAGACGCTCTGCGGCGCGCGCCACGCAGGCGCACTGGCGCTGGCCGCTCGCACTCACCGATGTCCGTGTACTCCTCCGTCGGCCTCTCGTCCACCTCCATTGCCTTCACTCTGCTGTCGTACTCTGCCGGCAGCTTGTCGAGCACCAGGTAGCTGTCCTTGTTGACACCAATCAGGTCGCCCGGCTTCAGCGACTCCGGCGGCACGAGGCCGATGAGCGGCAGGAAGATCGTCTGGCGCGTCGACGTCTTGATCACGGCGCACTTGCCCTTGCGCTGCGCGTCCAAGTCCACATTCGCGCCCTCCTCTGAGTCCTCATCCACGTCCGGGTCGATGTCCAAGATCTGATGACCCACATGCGTCAGATCCTGCCTGCCTGGCGCTTGTCCGACTGGGACTCGTGCATGCCACGCAAGCTGCTCCTGCTTCCATCACTCTTGGCACAGCACTCACCTCCACGACGTTGCCGACGAGGTACGGCAGCACCTTGTTCTGCTTGATCTTGTCGGCGTTGTCCTTGATCTTCTCGCGCATGCTGCTCTGCTCGTGCGAGAGGCGCATCTGCTCCGACTTCATCACCTTGATGTCGTTCTCGAGCAGGCGCGTGCGCGTCGCGATCTCGTCGGCGCTGGCGTTGAGGATGTCGTCGGGCAGCGGCTCCTCCTCGGGCACCTTGGGCTCGGCGGCAGCCATGGCGACATCCTCCGACGGCGGCGGCGCGGCCGCGGCCGACGACGAGGCCTCGGACGAGGACATGCGGGCGGGCAGGGGCAGGGGCTAGCCGGCGCAGGCGGCAGGCGTGAGAGGCGGCGCGTGAAGAGCAAGCAGGTGACGCGGTGTGGTGCGGCTTGCTGGTGCGCTGGTGGGTCAGAGAGGCAGCGAGTGAGTGGAGTGGTGGCTGTGGCTGCTGGGTTGGGATGCTGCTGCTCGCCGTCGCGGTGCTCGAGCCACTCCAGGCGCGCCGCTGTGCTTCGCGCAGCGCAGCCGATCACCTGCAGCGCCGCCTGCTTACGTAAGGCGCGCTCCGCCTGGACACCCTCCAGCGTGCCTTGCCTCCGTCGACGCCGCCGCCTCCGCCCGTTGCATCCAACCATGAGCCGCCTCCAGACTCGCAAGACATTGCCGGCGCCTCGGGCGCACACGTGCCGGTCTCGGTGCAGCCCGGCATGCGGTGCGCTGCACTGCCAACGGCCTGGCTGAGCAAGGTTCCACCGCCCAACGGCCGCGTGCGAGGCGGCGTCGCGAATGCCTCCGCCTCTGCCTCCGCCAGCTTCCGCACTGCCTCCGCCACAGCACCACACAGCCGGCACCAGCAACGGCTGCGGCCCATGTGAGGCGTCCCAGAGCTGCTCTCGAGGTCGCCCGGCCGCCGCAAAGGGCAGGTGGCACATGCTCGCTGAGAGCGTCGCAGCGCAGCGGGCTCGGCCTGCCGAGCCTCGGCCGCTGGCCCGCCAACGGCCGCCCCGCTTGTCCGTCAAGCGCCCTGAGCCTGCGGCACTCAAAAGGCAGGCACCCCTGGCGCAGCTCGCCCTTCCTCCCTCACTTTCGTCTTCTGCTTGCCCTCGGCCCTCTTCTTCCCGCACCATTCTGCCCTTTTGCCTCGCCCTTGCCCCACTGCTGCCCGCGACGCCGTCGACTGGTTCGACTGCCGCGCGTGTTCTCGTCTCAAGTCCTTCAAAGCCCACAAGCCGCTAGCTCCTACCTTCTCGACACCTTCTACTCGACTTCTCCCCGCGCACGTCCATTGCGCTCCTTTCAGTCGCCCAGCTTTCAGATCCTGTCGCCTTTGCTCTCCGGCCTGCCCGTCTTCGCTTCGTTGCTTCTTGATTCTTTCCGCGCCGCCTTTCTTTCTTTTCTTCCTCTTCCCTACTCCTTCTTTGCCGAGGCCACCACCTGATGAAGTCCAGCTCGGCACTGCCCACCAGCATCGAGCCGCGCCGCAACCGTGAACGCACCTCGCCGCCCGCCAAGACCGTCCCGCTGCCGAGCTCGCGCGAGGCGACCATTGCCATCATCGCTCAGGCACCGTCCTCCGACGTTCGAACAGACCAGCACGCTGCAAGCTCCTCCGGCCGTGTGCCCCGCGTTACTGTTGCCCCTCTCCTGCTCAAGCCTGCCGTGCAGTCCTGCCTAAAGAACGGCTACCGCCTCTCGCTGCCTCTCGCCGCCTCTCTGCCGTACCCGAGTCCGAGCATCATCTTCCCCTCTGCTCTCGAGGTCTCCGCCGGCGCAACTGCAGACACGTCCGCCCCGTACGCACTCCAAGAGCTCACGCGCACCCTCCGTGCTCTCGACGACGGCCGCCGCGCCTCCGATCCCGACGTCAAGTCCGACTTCGAAGCCGCTCTCTTTGCCTGGGTGGAGCGCGAATCTAAAGCTGCCGCCATGGGTCTTGCAATCGGTCAAGGTTTCACATCCGACCTCGGACCTACCGAGGGCGCTCGCTCGCCCCTCGACGAGGGCTACGGCGCGGATCTCGAGGACTCGCCGTGTCTGGGTGGCGAGCAGTACCGCCGCGGCTCGAGGATTCACACACGCACCGTTGGTCTTGCCAGCTTCCACGCCAGAGCCAAGGCTCTGCGCCGCATCGAGGACGTAGCCGCCATGAATGCCGACGTCGCCATGTCCAGCGAGGGCACCGCTGCGGCAGATGTGATGGCCACCGCCCCGACGACGATTAGCAAGGAGCCGCGCTTCACGCTCGCAACGGAGGTTATTCCGCGCATCGGATCTCCGGGAGAGATGACACCGGAGCGGGTAGAGGAAGCAGGCGAGCCGCAGAAGCCGCAGATCGTCCTGCCCCGCGAGTCGCCCGAGCAGGAACAGCGTCAGCGCCGCAGCACCATCACTGGCCCGCCGACGCCCTACGCCTTCCTGCCGCGTCGCCGCAGCCTCAAGAAGGCCGGTGAGGCGAGCACGGATGTCAAAGCCACCGCCGCCATCGATCCATTTGCCTCGCTCGACCCCTTCGCACTCAGTGTCAACGACAAGCAGCCCATCACTCGTCCCCGAGCCTTCACGAGTCCGCCGAGCGGCAGCGTCTGTCCCCGCCAGCCTCTTCCGACTTCCGCATCCGGACCCACACGCTTCCAAGCTCGTCGGCCGCCGAGCCTGCGCCTCTCCAATCTGCCTCCGTCCGGCGCCTGGGCAATGGCCGAGATCCGTGCTCACGGTAAGGGCCTGCAAGGCAGAAACATGCATGCTATGCCCGTCTTCGACCCTCGCATCCACGGCCCCACGGCCAAGAGCGCTCCGCCCCAGATCACGACCTTCGCAGCTGCTCAAGCCGCTAGCCAGCAGGAGCCGCTCAGTCCACCGCAGCGCCTGCGCTCGAAGACGATGGGCCAGGCACAGGCGTCCTCTTCGTCCAAGTTGCGCGACCTGATGGGCACCGCACGCAAGGCATCGACCGAGAAGGCCATGCCCGAGCGTGCGCGGCCCGCCATCCCTGCGTCCTTGCAGATCAAGTCTGAGGACCGGAGCCGTGGCCAGGCCACCATGGCCGGGCTTGGCCTGGACTTTGGCGGCGCAGACATCGATGCCTCGAGCGGCTTCCCGCGCACCCTGCCGTACCACCGCGGCCTGGACGCACCCGAGAACGGCATGCAGGACCGCGACGACGCCGACACGGCAGCACAGCGCGAGAGCAAGACGGCGGCAAAGTCGCGCAAGCATCGCAGCCTGCCGCTCAAGATCGAGTCGCTGTTCACCGACCTGGTCAAGCCATTCGAGGCCGGTCGCAGGCGCAAGCAGTCTGTCGGCCCGGAGATGACGCCCGTCCTCGAGTCGGGCGTCGAGGCCGCCACGCCGGCCGCTCCTCTGCCGGCGACCGCACGCGAGGCCATGACCGCGTGGGCCAGGCGTACCTTCGAGGCCACCACCGCGAAGGGACGAGCCGCTGGCAAGGTCGACCAGCCGCCGAGTGCATTCCTTGCCTCCGCTCCGGTGCTGCCTTCGCTTCCACTTGACACCGACAAGAGCAGTGCCTCTCTGCTTCCCGACATCGACATCACAGCAGAGACTACGGACAACGAGACCGAGACGCTCATTCACATCGTCGATATGACTGGAGCTGCGCCTGCAAACGTGCAGCTGCTCTCCGAGCCCAACTGCTCTGCCTCGCAGTACCTCTCGGTCACGCGCGCCTCGCCGGTGCCGTCCTTCCGGCGCCAGTTCCGGATGGACAACAACGCACTCGAGCCGTCGAGCTGCGCCATCACGCTTGCGTCAGCTCAGCAAGACGAGGAGGACAACGAGAATGCTGCCCTCCTTCCGGCGCTGCCGGACGACGCCGTGCCGACAGGCCAGCGCCAGCGCCGTGACGCGCAAGGCGCCGGCATCATCGCTGCGGCACGCAGCGCCGCTCTGGCTCCTCCTGCACCTGAGCAGCGGCTGCGGGTCGTCAGTGCAGACCATGTGCGCAAGCCCAGCTCGCCCCGCCAGAAGGCGTTGCCTCGTGCGCCCTGCGACCTGGCGCCATGCGAGGGACGCAGGGCGGTGTCATACGGCGCCCAGCCCCGTCCGCGTGGCCCGCGCCGCCCGTCGTCGCAGCAGCGCCGACGCATCCCGTCGTCGGGCCTCTGCACCGATCTGGCCATGTCCCGCGAGCCGAGCGTGCACAGCGTCGCGCGCAGCTCGCCCATGATCCGCGAAGGCAGCCAGTGCTCCTTCGGCAGCTTCCAGGGCAGTCCGCGCGCCGCACCCGCCCAGCCGGCCAAGGGCACGCCGCTGCTCATCGACGTCTCCTCGCCCATCTTCAGCACGCCGGCAAAGCTGCGGCGCGACGTCGCCACTTCTCCACTCCTCGCCGGCCAGCGCTCGCCGCTGAGCCGCATCTGTGACGAGGCCAGTGCGCTCATGCACGGGCTTGACGCCCCCTCTCCGGCAATGAGCGAGCAGGTACGAATGCTCGACCTGCCGCCGCCGCGCACGCCCCGGCGCCGCGCAGCGCCCAGCCCGTCCGTGGCGTCGTCGACGCCGTCCTCGGCGGCCGGCCTTATGCGCCGTCGGCGTGCCAGCGACCGCCCTCCGACGCCGCTCGACATGCTGCACACGCCGCGCTCCCGCGTTGCTTCGCCGCTCGCCGGCGGCACGGTGGACCCCATCCTGCAGTCTGCCTTTGGCGGACCGCGGCCCAGCGCCGCCGTGCTCGCCATCGCGCTGGCGGCGGAGGCGATCTGCGACGACGCCGCCAGCCTCATGTCTGCCAGCACCGCCGTCGAGTCGGCGGCGTTGGGCACTCCAGCCATGGCGCCTCTCCTGACAGCGGCTGCTTGAGGCCACACAAGCACGACCCTGTTCCCCCCCCCCCCCGGATCCCATCTGACCCCACATCTATGCTCGCCGTCTATGCCCTTGCAGCGGCGGATTTGCACCCGCTTGTCAATGAATGTATGTAATGCCCCTTTGCGTCCGTATGCGTGTGAGAGAAGAGGTAGTGCTTTGCGTGCCTAGCCGGCGACATTGTAGCGGCCGCCTGCTCGCCGCGATGCTCTTGTCCGCAATTCGGGCACGGCTGGCTCGTCGCGCGCTTGCTTTGCGCTCCATCGCCCCTCGACGTCCCATGTCCTCCGCGCCTTGGACGTCATGACGTGCACCACGCACCAGTCCGCGTCCACGGCGCACCACTCGCCATCGCCGCGCGACGCAGGCGTGCTCTTGCGCGGCGTCGGGATGTCGGGCCCAACAAGGCCTTCGTACACGACCTTCTGCCGATACCGCTTGGCGGAGGGCTCGTCGGCGTCTGGCTCCTCAAGCTCAAGCTCGTCCGCCTCGGCGCCGGCACTCTCGTCGCCCAGCGCACGCCACACCGACTCCATCTCCTCGCTCTCGCGCTGGCGCGCCTGGTAGCCCGCCTTGCGCTCCTCTTCGCGCTCCTGGGCCCTGCGATTTTGCCGGCCGACAACGGCACCCGGCGCCTCCCAGCGGCTGCGCAGGATGCGCCGCACAGCCTCGGGCGAGATGCGGAAGTGCTCGGCCAGGCGCGCAGAGGTCCAAGTCGGGTCCGAGTCGGCCAGCGCGCGCAGGCCGTTCTGTGCCTCGCGCGAGATAATGCGCTTCGGCCGCCAGTTGCCCTGCTCAGCCTGCGCCGCCTTGCGCAGCTCCCAGTCCTCGAGGTCACGGCCAGCGTTGTGCGCCGCCCGCGGTACGCCGGGAGTTCGCGGCTCTGCCCGGGCTTCAGCCTGCCGAGGCTTCAGTGGCGCTCCAAGCGCGTCAAGAGGTGAGCCGGCACGCGGTGGCGGAGGTGTTTGCCGCAGCTGCGCATTGGAGCAATCGGCTCAGTGTCGGCAACAAACGATGCAGCCACGTAGCCCATGCGTCCGGGCTAGCAAAAGCTGGCACGTGGGCGGCCCTCTCAGTGGCACTCACGTAGTCGCCGGCCACGCGCGCCAGGCCCGCCACGGCGCCTCCACTTGCGCTCTCCACCTCGACGACGACGATCCACTCGCACCACGCCTCGTGGTCGACGGCGCGCGCGTGGATGAAGCGCAGCACCTCGCGGTCCGTGCTCTCCTGCGGCGTGAGGAGGCGCGAGAAGGACGAGGCCTGCAGGGCGGCGCGCAGGCCGTCGAGCGCCGGCGGCAGGTCAGACGCGGGCGCCACGGGTGCGGGCGGTGCCTCGGGCACGGCGATGGGCGGAGCGGCCAGGAACCACGGCAGCTCGTCGTCCTGAGGCAGTGCCTGCGACGTGCTGCTAGAGGCGACTGCGCTGTGCGCCGAGCCCGACGGCTGCGCCTCGTGCGGCTCGCCAAACGCGGCAGCGGCGTCCGACACGGGCGTGAGGCGCGCACGCGGCGAGGCACGCGGCAGGGCGAGGCGCGCAGACGTGTGCAGCGGCCGCGCGAGGCGCAGCAGGACGGCCGGACGCATGCTGAGCAGAATGTTGGTGGCGGCAGGTGGTGGTGGAGGGGGGGACGGCTGGGCAGCAGGGGCCACTCAGCCACAGCACTTTTCTGCGTCACGGGACCTCAGCGCGGCACGGCGCATGCCCGAGTGCCGAGGGGCGCGTCGCGAGGCGCGCCACTTTAGCGCGGCGCGCGCGCGCGGCGGCCTCCACCCGACCCTCACTCCCGTCTGCGTCAGCCATCCGTCCCTCATCTCGTCTCGCAGCCCACGCCTCAGCAGCGCCTTGACACAACCTCTCGTCCAAGCCTCCCAAACGCTTCCTGTCCGGCTCTTACCTCCCTCGTCGGCCGCGCCATGGGCATCAAGTGAGGTGTGCGCGCACCGACGAGCATGGCCGGGGCTGACCCGCGCCGCGCAGAGGCCTCACGGCCCTCATCACCGATGAGGCGCCCAAGGCAATCAAAGTCCGCGACTACAAGTCCTACTTCGGCCGCAAGGTCGGCATCGATGCCAGCATGTGTCTCTACCAGTTCCTGTGCGTGCGCCCGGCTGCCCGTGCATCGGTGCAGTGCTGATGTGTGTGCCGGCAGTGTGGCCATCCGCGGCAACGACGGGCAGAACCTGATGAACGAGGCGGGCGAGACGACTAGGTGCGTGCGGCGAAGAGCCGGACTAGTACGCGGCTGCTGATGTCCGCACAGCCACCTCATGGGCTTCTTCTACCGCACGCTGCGCATGGTCGACAACGGCATGAAGCCCATGTACGTCTTCGACGGCAAGCCGCCGGACCTCAAGGCCAAGGTGGTGAGTGCGCCGTGAGTTGTGCTGCATGACAGACGCTGAGCCTCACTCGCGTCCAGCTCGAGGCCCGCTTTGGAAAGCGGACAGAGGCGGCAGACCAGGCCGAGGAGGAGAAGGACGTCGGTGAGCGCCCGTGCGATGGCACACATGCGGGCGGCGCTGATGCGTGAGCCTGCGCCCAGCCACAGAGGAGCGCGCGGACCAGCTGGCACGCCGCCAGGTGAAGCCGACGAAGCAGCACAACGTCGAGGTGCGCGAGCTGCTGGGTCTGATGGGCATTCCTTGCGTGACGGTGAGTGTGCCAGCAGGTTGCGAAGAGCGTATGTCTCACACAGATCCCGCAGGCGCCGTCCGAGGCCGAGGCTCAGTGTGCCGAGCTGGTCAAGGCGGGCAAGGTGCGTGCATGCATGCGCACCCTGGCGGCGCGCTGCTGACCAGAGCCCGCGGCAGATCTACGCTGTCGGCTCGGAGGACATGGACACGCTCACATTTGGCTCGCCCGTGCTGCTCAAGTACCTCACGATGGCTGAGGCGCGCAAGATGGCCATCAACGAGGTCTCGCTGCCCGACACGCTCGAGGGCATGGGCCTGACGATGGACCAGGTGCGTTGCGCTGCATGCCCAGAAAGCCGCCCTGCTGAGCACCTCGGTGCAGTTCATCGACCTGTGCATTCTCTGCGGCTGCGACTACATGGAGCCGATCAAGGGCATGGGCCCCAAGACGGCGCTCAAGCTCATCCGCGAGCACGGGAGCATTGAGAGTGTCATGGAGCACATCGAGGAGGTCAACTCTAAGGCGGCCGAGGGCAAGAAGGGCAAGTACACCGTGCCCGAGTTCTTCCCGTACAAGGAGGCACGCGAGATCTTCCGTCACCCGGACGTGCACAAGGGCTCGGAGGTCGAGGTGAGAGCGGTGCAGCGATGAACACGTGAATGCCTGCTCATCTTATGGCTGCAGCTCGAGTGGAAGAAGCCCGACGTCGAGGGCCTCGTCAAGTTTATGTGCACCGACCGCGGCTTCAGGTGAGCTTGCCTGCCGCCCGGACTCCCTGCGCGCTGCTCACCAGTCTCGCCTTCTAGCGAGGACCGCGTGCGCAAGGGTGCCGAGCGCCTGACCAAGTCGATTGGCACCAAGCAGCAGGGCCGCCTGGACGGCTTCTTCACGTGCGTTGCGCTGCCGCTTTGCACACGTTTGACTATGCTCACGCCACGCAATGCTGCAGTGCGGCGCCGAAGCGCAAGGCAGAGGACGAGGAAGACTCCAAGGCCAATGTCAAGGGCAAGGGCGGCGCGGCCGCCAAAAAGGCCAAGTCGGGCGCTGCGGCCAAGGGCGGCAAGGGCTCGAAGGCAAGCGGCAGCAAGTGAGCGCTCCGTCTCTACATGGCGTGGCTGCGACACGGGGCGAGACTGGTGATGTACTTCTAATGTGACGTGGTTCAAGCGCAGCGGCGTGATGGTGCTGCCCCTCGACGCGCCCTGAGGAGCACACGCAAGGCAGGCCAGGCGTGCTGCCCTTGCTGGCTTTGCCTGTGACTGCACAGGCACACACGAGGGATAGCTTACTGCATATGCATTACTCCAGCGCAGCAAGCTCCTTGCGCAGCTCGGCCTCGGCCTCGATTTTGGCCACCTGCGTCATCTCGAGCTTCTCGCCCTTTGCGCGCTTCTCCTTGAGCTCCTGGATCGCCTTGAGCTTCTTGTTGAGGTTGCGCAGCTTCTTGTCGATGGCGCCCGCGGCCGCCGCGTTGCCGCCCACGTCGGCGGGGCCCGAGACGGCAGGCGCCGCGGCGGCCTCAGGCTCCTCCTTGCTGGCGGGTGCCGCCTTGGCGCCGCCCTTCTTGCCCGGCTTGGCAGCCGGCGCACTGCCTGGCGGCGGTGCAGCACCTGGCACCGTGCGCTTGCCGCGCGGGCCCGCGCCCGGCGGCACGTACTGGCCATTCGGGCCCGGCGAGGCGGTGCGCGTCGGCGAGCTCGAGCCGCTGGCGCTCTCCTGGTAGAGACGCTGGAACTCGCTCGAAACAGACGCGCCGTTGCGTGCGCCGGGCGGCCGGTATGCGCCAGCCGGCTTGGCCGCCGCCTTGGCCTGCTTCGCCGCGAGGATGGCCTGCGCAGCCTCGGACGGCTCGGGCGCAGCAGGGATCGCCTTCGGGAAGGGGTGGTTCGCCATCGCCTCGGACGGCAGCTCGGGGCGCCACATGGCCTGGTACATCTCGTCCTGCATGTCGACGTGGATGAGCTTGCCCGTGCAGTGCCATATCCGCACGCCGTTCTCGACACGCAGGCGCGGGCTGAGCGTCGCGGTGAGCAGGTACTGCCCGTCGGGGCTCCACTGGCACACGCTCGAGTTTGATGCGTCGAGCGAGAAGAGCTTCGCCTGCGCGCTCGCCTCGGCAGACGTGCCCGCCGAGCCGCCGAGCAGCTCGCGGTCCCAGATGTCGACGGTGCCGTTCAAGTTGCCGAAGCCGGCAATGACAAAGAGGCGCCCCTGCGGGTTGAAGGCGGCAAAGTTGCGGCCCGCCACGCCCAGCTCGGCGATGACATTGACGCGGTACGAGAAGAGCGTCACCTTGGCCGGCATGTAGCCGTAGATGACGATGAACTCGCGCCCGTTGGGGTTCCACTCGAAGTCGTGCACCGGGCCCTCCTTGTCGAGCCCGACGCGGCAGTCAAAGTCGCCGCGCGTCGACATCATGTACAGGTTCGTCTCGCCGTAGTACGACTTGCCCGTCTTGTCGTGCTCCGTCGACGTGAGGAAGAGAATCGACGTGCCAGCGCTGTTCCACTTCATCTGGATCTTGTCGGCCTTGAAGAACATCTTCTGCGAGATGGGCGCCGGCGGTGTCTCGGGCGCCGGGATGAGCGACGCCAGCGAGTAAACGCGCACCGAAGCAGGCGCGCCCTGTGCAAGATGGTCAGCACGATGCGCGCAGCGACGCGGAGCGGCCGATGCGCACCTTCTTCTCGCCGCAGAACACCGCGATGGACGGCTTGTCGCCGGGCCCGACCTCGTAGCTCGTCATGCCCTCGAGGCGCAGACGCCCGACAACAGGGCCGCTCATGTCGCTGGCATCGAGCACCTGCAGCTCGGTCGAGTTTTGGCGGATGGCGTGCGTCTCCGAGACGGGAAACTGGAAGTGGCTGCAGACGGCTGTGCATGAGCAATGGAGACGCGAGGCGCGGCGAGCTCTTCAGGCGAGGGCTCGCAGCGGCCGCCGTCACTCACCAGCCGTCCTGGCTCTTGCGCTCGAAGCTGGCGACGCGCTCGCCGGTGCGCGTATCCCAGATGCTCAGGTTGCGCGTGTTGTTGCCCTCGGCGTCCTTGCCGGGGCGCTCCCACGTGCTGAGGAAGCGGCCGCGCGGGCTGAAGCGCATGTCGACGGCCTTTGCGGCGGCGAGCGTGTGCAGCACGGCGGGCGCGCCGGCAGCCTGCGCCGTGGCGACGAGGCGCACGGCATCCTCGAAGGCCGCGGCAAAGAGTGAGCCGTCGGGTGCGTATGCGACGGTGCGGGCGCTGGCGCGCAGCTCGTCGAGGCCGTGCGGGCCGTAGGCGGGCTGCGAGTGGGCGAGGGTGACGCTCTTCTGCGTGCGGCAGGCCCACTGGTGCGGCAGCGCGGACGCGGACGCGGCCATGGCGGCGGCGAGAGGGTCCGGGGCTGAGAGGGAGAGGTGGACGCCGGCTGAGGTGCGGCGGAGGAAGGCGTTGCGAGGATGGAGGGACGAGCGTCCGCGATGCTGCAGCCAAGGCAAGGCCGCTGCCGTCGCACACCGCCGGCCGGCCGGCGTCCAGCGAGCGGCCAAAGCGCCGCCCAGCATCAGTCCTTCCAGGAGGCAGCCGCACGTGACGCGCCCCGAGTCTTGCCTGGCCTGCCTGAGCCGGCCGCGGCTTCCGCGGAGCAGCATAATTTGCCCTCGCACCCTCGAAGACGCCCCTTCCAGCATCTGCTCCACCACGACGGCGACGACCGCATCGCACACACCCGGCCATCACGCCCTCCAGCAGGCCGCGCTTCACTCCTGCCCGTGCACTGGTCGCCATAGTCGCTCGCCACACACCTCTTCGTCCTCCTCCGCCATGCCGCCGTCGCGTGCCGCCTCCGGCTCGCGCAGCGGCTCCTCGTCGTCGGGGCCCAGCGCCCGTCCGCGCAAGAAGGCCAGCCGCGAGACTGCCTTCGCTAAGCGTCTGGCTGCCGAAAAGGCTGCGCGCGTCGCCTCGCTCGCTGCGGCGGGCGCCACCGCAGCCGCCAGCAGCAGCAGCGCCGCCCGGCCACGCTCGGCGCTCGCCAAGGGCAAGGGGCGGGCGGCGGCATCTTCGTACGACGACCCGCACCCGTACCGCTACAAGTCCTTCACCGACCGCCTCGCCGCCGTGCACATCGATGCGTCGCGCTCGGCACGCACGCACGCGCTGGCGGGTCTCGACGGCCAGGGCGCCACCGCCGCAGCGGTTGCGACGGCGCCGAGCTCGTCCCTGGCCGCCGCCGCCTTTGATGACGACGAGTCGGAGGACGAAGATGCGCTCGCCGCCATTCACGCCCGCACCTCGATCGGCGTCGCGCTGGCTGCCTGGCGCGAGCTCAACCTCTCGCTGCCCTTCACGTCCTTTGCACAGCAGGCCGCGCCACTCGTGCAGACGCTGCCGCTGCTGCTGCACCACCTGCCGCGCCTATCGTCGCTGCTCGCGGGCCTCCTGACCTCGTCGGCGCCGGACGCACACCTGGCCTACGAGGCGGCGCTCGACCTCATCCCGCGTCTCGCGCTCGATGCCTCGGCAGAGTTCCTGCCCGTCTTTCCCGAGCTGCTAGGTGCCACGCTGCATGCCGCCACTGTCGGACGCACACAGTGCGGCGGCGACGAGAAGGCGGCAGCAAGCGTAGTCGAGAAGGCGTTCGAGTCGGCTGCCGCCACGCTCAAATGCGTCGCGCCTCTGATCCTGCGCGGCCAGGCAGCGGACGGGCTGCTCCAAACGTGGACCCTCGTGCGTCCGTACCTTGGCGGCAGCGCGTCAGAGGAGCCAGTTCCCGGCGATGATGTCGCTATGCTGCCTCTCGGCGATACGCAGAGCGCTCCAGAGCTCGTGGAGCAGGACGAGCAAGAGGATGCCGAGGCAGACGATGACGAGATGTCGAGGACGGTGGTGTCGAACCGGCGACGGGGACGGCGCGTCGCACCGCACGTCCGCCGCTTCGCATCTGAAGCACTCGCACACCTGGTGCGGAAAGCCAAGGTGCCGCAGCTCCAGAGCCTCGCGTCGCAGATGTTCGCCGACCTTGCGGACGCAGAGAGTCTCGACTTCGCGCGGGGCATCGCCGGCGTCTGGCTTGAGGTATCGAAAGTGAGTTACTGTTCGATGCTCCCCGGCCGGGCCCAGCTCACCTAGTTCGTGCCAGTCTATCGACCATCGACTCCAGTCGAATGCAGTCGCACAGGTGTCCGCGCTGCTGTACGCGCCAGCTTCGTCGTCTGCGCAGCGTCAGGCGCGGTTGCAGATCGGCTCTCTCGTGCTCACTGCGCTGGTGCATCACTCTCAAGCTGTGCATCTCGCGGAGCTGCTCGACGTCCTGCTCGACCTCGTGTCCGCGGCGCTCGACAGCTACGCCGAGAGTGCGACGGCAGAACGAGCCATTGCGCTGTCCGACGGCACAGAGTGGCTTCGCGTGTTGGCCGGCACGAGGAAGGGTTCGCGCGTCGCTGGTGAGTGCTTTGGCAAGGGTGCGGGTGGACACCGGCTGAGCATGCTGTTGCAGACACGAAGAAGCCTGCGCTCTTTGCGCTCTTGCCCCGCATGGCAACTCTGGCAGCAGAGCTCTCGCAGACCGCGAGTGGCGACCGAGAGCGCGCTCGTCTGGCCCAGAGTCTCGTCACGTTCGTCGCCGTCATCCTGCCGATCGGCCGCATCCAGGAGCTCGTCGGCACGGGTCTGAAGACCGTCGAGGCGCTCAGTCCTTCTTCCGCACCCGCCGGCGGCACTCTGAACCCTGCCTTCTCTGCTGTGGTCATCGCGCTGGGACTGTCGAGTGTCGGATGGTCCGGCTTCGGGCAGTTCGTCATGCCTGCGGTCATCCGCAGCACCACCGACATCCTGTCGCAGGAGGGCTCAGCAGAGACCGAGGCAGCGCTCGATCTTCTTGCCGCGCTGCACGAGCAGAATCAGCTCGTGTACACTCTTCACGCCGCGGCGACGCCAGCTCTGGCTCGCTGGCGGACGTCGATCAGCCGGGTGGTGCTCTCGCAACTGCGCGACCTCGCCGACGCGCTCGATGCAGGCGCACAGCTTGACGTTCTCGAGGCGAGAGCATCCTCCGACGCCTCAGCACTGCGGCTCGTGTCGCTGTTCCCCGACGAGGCTGCCGGCGCCGCAACCCAACTACGGCGCATCACTAACCTCCTGGTGGCCAAGGACCCGCGCGAGACGTACGACTCATCCGCCTACAACGAAGCCGCCCTCTTGGCCTCCGCTCTGAACGCGTTCAGCGATCTCCTCGATGCTGCGCGCAGTGCTGGTGCGGCTGCTGCACTCCTCGGCGATCTCCTTGCCGACGACGGCGCTCTTGCTGAGGCGTGCCTGGCCTACGCCTGGCATCGCACGGCTCTCTCCGCCTTTGCCCGGCTGTACCGCTGCGCACGGAGCATGAATGTCAAGAACGCGTCGCCGCCGGCCCTCAACCGGCTAGCACCCGCGCTGCAGGACGCGGTCATGTCGTCCGACGATGTTCTGCGCTCGGCCGCTGTTGAGCTCCTTTCGCTAGCTTCAGCGTCTGCATCAACCAGCCTGGCAGCAATGCCGTCGCGTATCGCAGAGATTGAGCGCATCGGCCTTGGCGTTGAGAGCGTGCGGGACCGCAACGTCCGCACGCGCGCCCTGGCTCGCGATCTCGTACGCGCAGCAGAGGCCAATGCTAAGGAGGCATCGCTGTCGGTCGTTGCCGAGCTCGTGATCCGCTTCGTCGTCGGCACATGCAAGCTCAACTTCCGGCCGCTCTGGGACGAGAGCCGTGCCGCCCTCGTCGAGCTGGCTACGCGCTTTGGCGAGGACGTCTGGCGCATCGCATTCTCCGAGCTGCAGCACGCTGCGCCACTGCCTGCTGCCCCTGTCAACTGGCAGCGAAGCGAGCTCGACGAACTGGAAGCAGACTCGGACGTACTCGACAGCGCCGCGGACGAGCAGAGCACTGATGCCCGCGCAGAGAAGCACTTCATCGACCCGCAGCTGAGCGCCCGATGTGCAATCATCAAGGCGCGGCTGGATGCCTCGCGCCGTGGCGCCGCCGGACGGCAGACTGCAACTCTGCGCACGCTGGCCCGGGAGCAGACGCCCGAGGGGCGCCTCGACGTGCTCAACTACACGACGCAGATCCTCAAGACCTTCGGCGACCTAACGATCTTGGTCGAGCGCCACAACGCTCCACTCATGGAGCACTTCTTTGCCGCAATCCGCGACGACCGAGTCCACGACGAGGACGACGAGGCTGACGCGCCCGAGGAGGAGGCATCTCGAGTCGCTGCTACGGAAGGCGGTGTGCGCCTGACGCTCCGCGAACGTCGCGCCCGTCTGTGTGCCTATCTCGAGCTCTTCTCGCGCTTCTCGAACCCCAAGGCGCTGCTGCGTTCGGAGGAGCTGCACAGCTACCTCTACTCGCTGTGCGCTACGGGCGACGAGAAGGTGCAAAAGCTCGCACTGGACTGTGTCCTCTCGTGGAAGGACCCTGCCCAAGTGCCGTACAAGGCGCGGCTCCACACGCTCCTCGACGCGCCACGCTTCCGGGACGAGCTCACTGCGCTCAATCTCTCGCCAGACGGCGACACGATCCAGCCGGGTCATCGAGCGCGCCTGATGCCTCTCCTGCTCCGCCTCCTCTTCGGCCTCATGATCTCTCGGCGTGGACGCAGTAGCTCCGCCGCGGGACAGGGTGCTCGCAAGGCAGCGATTCTGGCTGCTCTGAGGGGCTGCGACTCAGGAGACCTGCGCACGCTGGTCGATCTCATGCTCGCTCCGTTTGCAGAGCAAGTTCCGACCTCGGCGGGCACATTCACCTTCAGCGAGACTGCATGCACTGCGTCTGCGCGGCGCCAAAGCGGCTTCATCTCGCTTCTCGCCGATGTGATCAAGCACCTGGGCCTGGTGACTGTGCCGCTGTGGCCTCTGCTCATCGGCACCACGCTTAACCTGGCTCGACATGCGGATCTTGCAGCACGAGCCAGCCGCGGCAAGGCTACGCTTGGCTTGCGCGCGCTGCGTCAAGCGGCCATCCGCCGGATCGCCGAGTTCTTCAGACAGCCGACCACTGCATTCGACTGGGAGCCGTTCCTTCCGGCTCTCTTCAGCGGTCTGGTCTCTCCGCGCCTGTCCTTGCTCTCGTCCGAGAGTGTGCAGAGTCCGTCTGCTCTGCTGGAGCTCTTCCACACCTGGACAGGGCGAGCCGACACGGCGCCCTACCTCGTGCGCTTCGACGCGACGCTGCTTCCCAACGTCTACGCCTGTCTGGCTGCTCCCACCGCCAAGCCGCCGGTGATCAGCTGCATCCTTGAGCTCCTCGAGAGGCTGCTCTCTGCCGACAACGACGCCCTGGCTGGAGACGCTGCGGCCGCCGACATCCGGTCCGTCGTCGTGCGCCCGCACATCTCCCCGCTCCTCGCCGGTATGACTCCGCTGCTGCGCCGCTATGCAAGCGCAGGCGGCATCGACCGTGCGCGCGACGAGCTCATGCGCCGTCAAATTCGCATCCTTGCGGATGTCGGCCCGCTCGTCACCGAGGCCGGCGACGCGAGCGCTCTGCTCGAGCTCCTCGGACCGATGTTGCGCAAGAGCAATCATGTCATCCCCGAGCGCACGAAGACGGACCTGCTGCAGATCTTCTGTGACCTGCTGCTGCTCACGCCCGAGTTCCAGGACCCCACCTCGGAGACCTTCAGCCGCCACTACGCCCTGTTCTCTGGCGCGTTCTCCATGCTGCGCTCGCGGCCTGCGCGCACGACGCTCGGAGGGCTCTTCCGCCAGTTCTCCAAGATCGACCCGAGCCTCGTGCGCGTCGCCGGTTGGCTCGAGGCGCTCAACTCGTTCAGCACCAAGCGCATGGAGGAGCCGGACTTCGACCGGCGACTCGCTGCGTTCGACGAGCTCAACGACGAGCGGGCGCTGCCTGATCCGCCCCTCAGCCCGGCGGAGTGGCTGCCCATCGTGCACAACATGCTCTTCTTCATCCAGGACACCGAAGAGCTGGCGTTCCGCACGAACGCCGGCCTCTCGCTGCGCTGCTTTGTCGTCGCGACCGAGAGCTGCTGCGATGCCGAGCAGACCACGAAGATGCGCGAGCTTTTCCACAACGTCGTGTACCCGGGCTTGCGCAAGTGCCTGCGCTCGCGCTCCGAGCTCGTGCGACGCGAGGTGCTCAGCGTGCTCGGCACTGCGGTTCAGCACCTCGGCCACTGCTTCGAGACGCTCGGCGAGATGCGCGGCCTGCTCGCGGACGGCGACGAGGAGGCCAACTTCTTCAACAACATCCACCACATTCAGGTGCACCGTCGCTCGCGTGCTCTGCGCCGACTCGGTGATCAGGCGGCCCAGGGCACGCTGCGCAGCAAGGCCATTGCCGAGATCTTTGCGCCGCTCGTCACGCACTTCCTGCAGAGCGGCAATGTGCAGCTGCACGACCACAACCTCGTCAACGAGACGATTGCATGTCTCGGCCGTCTCGCCCGCCAGATGGTGTGGGGCGCCTACAACGCACTGCTCTGGCGCTTCCTCAAGCTGGCCAACGAGGCCTCGGCGGCGCAGAAGGTCTTTGTGCGCGCAGCCATGGCGCTCCTGGACGCCTTCCACTTCGACATGGATGCGCAAGCGCAGCTCGAGACCGCTGACGATGGGCGCGAGGAGGAGATGGACGATGAAGGCAAGCCCGTAGACCCCGCCGCTGTCGACAGCTTGCCTGTAGCCGAGGAGCAGTCGGCCGAGAAGGAAGCTGCGCGGGCCGCTGCGAAGTCGACGAAGATTCTGGACGCCGTGACGGGACGTCTGCTGCCGGCTCTGATGGGCTACCTCGAGCAGAAGGACGAGTCCGACGATGCTGTGCGGCTGCCTGTTGCCGTGGGTGTCGTGCGTGTGGTGCAGCGGCTGCCGACGCACGTCAAGGAGACGCACATTCGCAAGCTGCTCAACACGCTCGCCAAGGTGCTCAAGAGCAAGTCTCAGGAGACGCGCGACCTCGCGCGCGACACGCTGGCGAAGGTGGCGACTGCGCTCGGCGCTTCGTACTTCCCCGATATGCTCAGAGAGCTCCGGCGAGCGCTCGTGCGTGGCCCTCAGCTTGCTGTCCTTGCCTTTACCGTGCACACGCTCCTCGTGCACCTCACCACCATGGCCGAGTCACCCCTGACGCTGCTGGACGCCGGCATCGATGACGTGGTGCACGTTGCTACCGAGGATGTGTTCGGACACACGAGCGAGGACCGTGTCGGCATCGAGAGCCGCACGAAGATGCGCGAGATGCGGCAGAGCAAGTCGCTCGACACTTTCGAGCAGCTGGCTCGCATCGCCGCACCTGCGCGCATCAGTGCGCTCCTCTTGCCGCTGCGCGACATCATGCAGCAGACCGAGGCGCACAAGGCCATCGTCAGCGTCGAGGACGTGCTGCGGCGCATCGCCTCGGGCATCAACGCCAACGTCCACCTCGACGCTGCGACGTTCCTGGTACTGTGCCACTCGCTCATCAGCCGCAATGCCGTCTTCCTCCAGCCGCGTGCCACCGCGGGAGAGGGACGCAAGGGCAAGTCGCTGCTTGGCTATCGCTTTGCCGTGCACATGAAGCGCGCAGACGTGGAGGCCGGCCTCTCGGCGCAGGACCACTACGCTCGCAACGCGCACCGCTTCGTCGTCTTTGGCCTTGACCTCCTGATCGTGGCGATGCGCCGCGCGCGCTTCGACTTCCACAGCGCCGACACCCTGGCGCGCCTTGATCCGCTCGTGTCCGTGGTTGGCAACACGCTCTATGCCTCCGACGCATCGGTCGTCAATGCCGGCCTCAAGGGCGTGTCGGCGCTCGTCAAGTGCCCACTGCCGGCGCTCGAGACAGCTCTGCCGGTGTACATCAAGCAGATCCTCGCGGCCATCAACCGCGAGGGCAGTGCACAGTCAGACATTGCTCAGGCGGCGCTCAAGGCGCTGACGTCGATCCTGCGCGAGGCCAAGAGCGCACACTTCAAGGACAGGCAGCTCGGCGACCTGCTCTCGCTTGTCGTCGTCGACATCGAAGAGCCCGGCGCCCAGTCTGCCATCTTTGCGCTGCTCCGGGCGGTCATCGCTCGGCGCCTCGTCGTTCCCGAGGTCTACGACATCATGGACCGCGTGGCAGAGATGCTCGTCACCAACCAGAGCGCCCAGGTGCGCGACACTTGCCGCGCCGCCTTCCTGCAGTTCCTGCTGGACTTCCCGCAGGGCAAGCAGCGCCTGCGCAATCAGGTGCGCTTCCTCGCCAAGAACGTCTCGTACGACTTTGAAAGTGGCCGCCTCAGCGTCATGGAGCTGCTCTCGGCCGTGCTGACCAAGTTCGACGACGGCGTGCTTCGCGAGCACGCCGACGTGCTCTTCGTCTCTCTCGTCATGGCTCTCGCCAACGACGACTCGGCGCTCTGCCGTGCGCAGGCGGCGAGCCTCATCAAGATGCTCATCAGCGTCGTCGAGGTCGATCACCGAGCTCGTCTGGCTCAGCTCACTCATTCGTGGGCCGAGCAGAGCGAGCGCAGTGAGCTTGCCCGCGTCGCCATGCAGGTCTACAGCCTCATGCTCGAGGCTGCGCCTGAGAACGCCTCGGCGTGGGCGTCACGAGCCCTCGTCGCAGCCAGCAGCTGCCTCGCAGACGCTGCCAGCGCGCTTGTCGAGCTCGAGAGCGACCAATTCTTCGACCCGATGGACGTCGACGGCGGCCTCGACTGGCAGCTTCCGTACCAAGCGCTGCAGACCGTCGAGGGGCTGCACGCTCATGTCGCCGCCCTGGTCGATGCACGCGGATCAGCTGCGACGTGGTCCTCCGTCCGCGAGCTGCTGCTCTTCCCTCACGCTTGGGTGCGTCTGGGCGCCTCTCGGCTGCTCGGGCTGCTGTTCTCCCCGGTCGATCCGTTAAGGCCCGCCGCCGGCAAGGCGCTGGAAGAGAGCCCGTTCAGCCTCGAGTCGCTCATCGACATCGCGCGCAAGCTCACTCTGCAGCTGCGCGCTCCTCGCATCGACGAGGGCGCCTCGACACAGGCCGTCAAGAACCTGCTCTACATTGGGCGCTGCTTCGCGCTCTGCCCGGCACCCTCGCACGCTCGGACGGCCTCGCCGGCGCAGGCCGACGAAAGCGATGCCGAGGACGAGGACGACGAAGGAGTGGACGCAGCGCGAGGCGTGCAGGAGAACCCGCTGGCCTGGCTCTTCACCAAGCTTTCGTACACTGCCCGTGCCGCGCAGCTAGCCCGCGCGGACATGCAGGTGAGTGCGAACCTGCAACCGCTTGCGCACAGCATCTGACCTTGCTCTTGCAGCCCCAAACCGAACAGGCTGCTGCCGTGCTGCGGTGGTTCGCAGCGATGGCCATGCACCTGGAGCCGGAGCGCACGGTGGACTTCCTGCCGCACATCCTCGGCCCTCTGTTCCGCATCCTGGACGACGAGGGCCTCAAGGGTGCCAAGCTGGAAGAGCTCAAGACGCTCGCCACAGAGGTGCAGGACGTCATCCAGAGTCGGGTGGGCACGACGCGCTACGCCTCGGCATACACGAGCGTGCGCCAGCGCGCCCTCGAGAAGCGGCGCGAGCGCAAGACGGCCAAGCTCATGCAGGGCATCGCGGACCCGGAGAAGGCGGCCAAGCGCAAGGCGCGCGACAACCTCAAGAAGCACGACGCTCGCAAGAGGAAGAGCAACGCATATGCGTGAGTGCCGCCGCTTCGCACCTGGATGGCCCTGATCTGACTCTTCGCCATGCAGTGAGACGAAGCAGCGCACGCGGCCCCTGAAGCACCACTAGACCCTCACCATCAACCCCCATTCCTCTGCATTCTGTAACATGATCATTCCCATGCCGCATGAGTCGTGTCCCGTGTCGCGCAGCCGCGCGCGCCTCAGAGCTCCAGCTTGGCCTTCGTCGAGCTGATGGCGTCCTTGGCCAGGCCGGCCGCCTGCGCGGCGAGGTGGTAGGAGGCGGCGCGCGCCTCGTGGTATTGCTCGATGAGGAAGAGAGTGAGCGGGTCGGTGCCCGTCTGTGTCCAGTACCACTGCGCGAGGAAGCGAGGTCAGCCGTGTTGGCGTTGCCTTGCGCACCGAAGGGCCACGCACCGCCGCGTACCAGCCGGCCAGCGCGACGACGAGGATGCTGCAAGCGCGAGACGTCAGCAGGGGTGTCTCACAGGACGCGGAACGAGGCCACACGCACAAGCCCGTCATGGCCAGGAGGATGAGGGAAAAGAAGCGCAGCAGGTCGGCGCGGTCCTTCTTCTCTCGTGCGGCGCGCTGTGCTCTGGGCGTCAGCGTGCTGTGACGGATGAGCAGCTGCTCTCGTGCGCACCTCTGCATCGCTCATGGCAGTGAACTTGGGGTCGTCGTCATTTGGCGCGGCGATCTCCTTGCCTGCCTTGACCGCAAGCTCCTGCGCCAGCTTGACGCGCGCCTCTGAGTACCGTTGCAAGCCGCCGATGCGCACGTCGTCCGACGTGCCCTCCGTTGCGGCAGTGACGAATGTTGGATAAAAGGTCTCGGCCCACGTCTCGATCTGAATGCCTCCGTATAAGCAGCGAACGCTGCAGAAGGAGACACTGCCTGACTCACACGTCCGAGCTCGACGGTCCACCGGACAAAGTGCGGGTCGGCAGGGTCGAGGCGGCTGCGCATCTTGCGCGTGAACTCGACAAAGAGGTACGCCACGTCGCGCGGGTTGATCGACTTGAGGATCAGCTGCGAAAGCGCCGTCAGGAGGGCACCAGGGACGAACGCAGCTACCGACGCACCTGCACCGCCTGGCTCTTGCGGATCTTGACGTTCCGCCGGAAGACGTCGGGGTTGGCAAACATGAGCTCAATGGTGGCGATGGCCATGACCTGCGGGATGGCGCAGAAGTTGAAGACACTCTGGTCGCGCAGCAGACTGAGGTAGTCGAGGGCGCGCGTGGCGTGCTGCATGGCGTCGAGGAGCATGTCGCTCAGCACGCCCATGGCTGCCTTGCCGTCAGGGCCCTGCGGCTTGAAGTGGCCCGACTTGGCCGGCACGATGCCGCGCGCCACGTCGGCCTGCGTCTGGAAGCCGGCCTTTTTGTACGCCTCGGCGGGCCAGAAGAAGCGCCCGTCGCGGCAGTCCTCGGCGTAGTCGCGGATGATGTTGGTCTTCTGCAGGAAGAGGCCCATGTGGTTGGAGAGCGAGAGCTGGTCGCACAGCCAGCGGCGCTCGATGCCCGACGAGCCAAAGAGGCGCGACAGGCCCTCGCCGACGAGGCCGGCGACAAAGTGGCAGTACAGGTCGTAGTCCGCAAACGTAGCGACGTGCAGCGACGACTGCGACGAGGCGAGGATGTAGGAGGCCATGCCGGCGCCCATCTTGGCGGTGATGTCGGAGATGACGACGCGGTACCTGCCGCGGCGTGAGATGCGTGTGTCGGGGTGCACACCGGCGGACTCACTCAGGGCCGAGGCGCTGGTACTCCTCGATGACCTTGTGGAAGTCGACGAGCAGGTGGCGGTCCTTCTCGTTGGGGCCGCCTGCCGTCGTGTCAGTCGACGGTGCGCCGCATGCACCGTGCCCTCGCCAGACGCCGCACCCCCAGCGCGCCCACGCCGCACCACTCACTCTCGGTAAAGTTCCAGCCGGGCTGCTCGAGCTTCGTGTAGAAGTCGCGCAGCAGCTGTACCTTGCGCGTGTTGTCGATGGTCATGTCGTCCTCGACGGTGTCGAGGGCGCGCAGCACGAGGTAGAAGAGGCAGATGACGCGGCCCAGCTCGCCCTTGAGCTCCTTGATCACGGCCGCAAAGCTGCGCGACGTCTGGTCGAGCAGCGTCCAGCAGTCGCGCATCGTCTGGCGCTCCCAGCCGCTGTCGGCGCTGCTCTTGATGTCGTTGAGCGGGTCGCGCCAGACCTTGTAGGTGATGAGGGAGCGCAGCTCGAAGGGATGCGTCACCGCGAGCGCGAGGAGCTGCAGCGCCGACATGCTGGGCGGTGCGGGCGGGGTGCGAGGCGGAGGTGGGTGGCGCTGGCAGTGGGCAAGCTGCGTGTGCTGTGCTGTGTGCGCGAGAAGGCGCGCGAGGCGAGGTGCGAGGTGCGGCCGGCGTGGAGGGAGTGGCAGCGGGAAGCACACCAGAAGCAACGCTGCTGGCTGCTCCTTCGGCCATTTCGAGCTTTCTGGCCCCGCCGCGCCGCGTGCACGTGACGCGCGTGCGCCTGGGCCACCCTCTCACCTCCGCATGTTTGCATCTCTCTGCCGCTCGTGAGCGTCTCGCTGAGCAGGTCGGAGAGGGCCTGCAAGGTGCAGCCGGCGCTGCAAGTCTGACTCATGCGAAGGGCGAAGCGCAGGAGACGCGTCTACGGCCAGCCTGCACGCCCTCACAGGCGAGAGCGCGCGAAGCGCGACCACAGCACGTCAAGGGCAAGCATCGCAAGACTGGTATCGCTGGGCATACGCAACAGGGTGACAGGAGATCTACAGGTAATACAGAGGCGCAGGCGGTGTGCGCTGCCTCAGCGCAGGTTGGCAAATGTGACGCTCTTGGCGTCGAGGCTGAGCCCCGTGCGCGGGTCGATGCCGTTGTCGCGCAGGCGCTGCTCGTGGATGTGCAGGCGCGCCTGGTCGAACGTCTGGCGCATACCAGTGTCAGCACGGGCGGCGTGGTTGCAGCACAGGTTGTGCGACTGCAGCACAGGCAGTCCCAATGCGCCGCTGGACAGGCAGCGCCGTGTCCGCACGCACACACGCAGGCCAGCGCACTCACCATGTTGCGGCTCGCCATGACGGCGTTGACCTCGAGGCTGCCAATCTCATCCAGGCCGGCGCGCGCATCGCCGTCGCGCAGGTTGGCCTCGATGTCGAAGCGCGCCGAGCTGAGGCCGGCGCGCGCCTGCGACGCCCAGTCGAAGGCCGAGAGGCGCGAGTAGCGCGCGCCGCTGGGCGGCGCCCGCAGCGCCGCCGGCAGCCGCTCGACGATGTGCTCGGGCAGCAGCGGCAGCAGCGCGGCGCGGTTCATGTAGCCGACTGCCGGCGGGGTCGCGTCAGAGTGGCGTGCTGTGGCCGGCGGCGCGTGGACACGCACTGATGAGGAGCACCACGACGAGCGACGAGAGGAGGAAGGAGTAGAGCATGGCGGCCGGAGACGCTGCCGCCTGCGCGTGCGGCCGAGGCGGAGGCTCGACGGGTGATGCGTTGGGCGCGCTGTGCGGGCAAGAGAGGCGCGGCGAGATGGAGGTCGGGAGGAGAGGCGCCGCACGGCCACGCGCCTCGGGAGGCGGCAGCCGCGCAGCCGCAACCCCGCGGCCTTGGCAGTGCGCGTGGCGGCTGACTAAGCAGCGCCTCCACCTCGCCCTCGACGAGCCCTCCCGACAGCCTTGCTCGCTCCTCGGCAGCGCATGGGCCACAGCAGGGCAGGCGTTTGGCATCAGAATGTCAGGAGAAGCGATGGAGGCATGTCCGCCTCTGCCTCGCCGTGGGCTGCAAGGTAGCTTAGACGTGCGCCCGCTGGCTCGACCGCGCAGTGACGCGCGCGGCGCGCCAGACACCAACAGCCTGCCGGTATGGGGAGCGCTCTCACCCTCCCGCCTCCATCTGCGACCCTCTCACGCCCCTGTTCCCACGCCGCCCAGTCTCCCCTCCGTGCTCCACCGGGCTCTCCCCGCACACACTCTTTTGCCTCTCTGCCGCACCATGGCATCATCCACCTCCGACGGCCATGCCGCGCTCGCCTCGACAGCACGCGCCTGGCTGGCCCTCGACCCCGACGCGAAGTCACGCGCCGCGCTCGAGCAGCTCCTCGCCGACGCCGAGGCCGAGCCGGCTGCGGCGGCCGAGCTGCACGCCGCCTTTGCCTCGCGCCTCGAGTTCGGCACTGCCGGCCTGCGTGGCGTCGTGGGGCCTGGTCCGGCGCGGATGAACGTGAGGAGCACGGCGGCGAGGGCTGGCGGCACGACTGACGCTGCCGACACAGCGCCTCGTGGTCATGCAGACGACGGCCGGCCTGGCGCGCTATGTGCGCGAGCAGCGCCGCGAGCAGGCCGGCGTCGTTGTGGCATACGACGGACGTCTTGACTCTGAGGCATGTGCGCTGCCAGCACCACCCGCCCAGTGGCTCCTCGACTGACGCCTGCTCCAGTCGCGCATGCTGCCGCGGGCGTGCTGGCCGCGGCCGGCGTGAGGGTGCACCTCTTCACCGTGCCGGCGCCGACGCCCATGTGCGGCTTCATGGTGCGCCGCCTCAGCGCCGCCGCCGGCATTGTCGTGACGGCCAGCCACAACCCGCCCGAGTACAATGGCTACAAAGTGAGTGCGGGCGGCCTGCTCACTCAAGCAGATCCTCTGACACTCCGTCCATCAGGTGTACTGCGCCGCTGGCACGTGAGCAGACCGGACTGCGCTGTGTGGAGCGAAGTCTGACGTGCCCACTCGCGTCCAGCCAGATCAACGACCCGGTCGACGGCGAGATTGCCGCGCACATCGACGCTGTGGCCCAGGAGGGCCGCACGCCTCCCGCATGCACGCTGGTCGAGGCACGCGCAAAGGACATGCTGTCGGATCTGGGAGAGGAGGACTTTGAAACCTACATCGGCGAGGTGCTTCGCGTCACGCCGGCGCCGAGCGCGCCGGCAGCGGCCTTCAAGGTCGCCTACACGCCGCTGCACGGTGTCGGCGCCCACATTGCAGAGCGGCTGCTCAAGCGCCGCGGCTATCAGGGCTTCACTGTGGCCGAGCAGCGCGAGCCGGATGGCCACTTCCCGACGGTGAAGTTCCCGAGTGAGTCGCACGCGTATGATCAGCACTGCGCATGCTGACGCGCCGGGCAGATCCCGAGGAGCCTGGAGCCATGGACCTGGTCATGGCGCTTGCTGACGAGAAGCAGTGCGCCGTGGCTATTGCAAACGACCCCGACGCCGACCGTCTGTGCGCAGCTGCACGCGACAGCACGGGCAAGCTGCGCCAGCTGACCGGCGACGAGCTGGGCACACTGCTCGGCGACGCCATGCTGCGGCAGCTCTCTGCCGACAGTGCTGCGTCGCCGCCGTGGGTGCTCAGCACCATCGTCAGCTCGCGGCTGCTTGCGCGCCTGGCGGGAGCGTACGGCGCGCGGCATCGCGAGACACTGACGGGCTTCAAGTGGCTCGGCCCTGCGGCGTCTGCGCTGACGTCCAAGGGCGAGCGCTTCGCCTTTGCGTACGAGGAGGCGCTCGGCTACATGGCCTGCAGCCTCGTGTGGGACAAGGACGGCCTCTCGGCACTGCTGGCGCTGGCAGACCTCGCCTGCGCGCTCGATGCCGAGGGCAAGACGCTGCTCGGCCGCCTCGAGGAGATCCAGCGACGCGTCGGCGTGGCCATCACCACGCAGCGCACGATCCGTCTGCAGCCGGGCACGAGCGGCAGCAGCATCATGAAGCGCGTGCGCGCCCAGAAGCCAGACCGCATCGGAGACTTTGAGCTGGCCCTGGTCGAGGACCTCCTCGACGGCCGCCCGCCGGCGGACACGCCCGAAGGCGAGATCCCGAAGAACGACGTGCTGCGGTACTTCTTCGCCACCGCAGACATCTCCAAGGAGAGCGCGCGGAAGGAGATCATGCTCGGCGCGCCCCGCATCCAAGTCCGGCCAAGCGGCACAGAGCCAAAGGTACGTGCGTGCGGCTCCTCGCCGGGCGCTCCTAGACTCACTCGCCCATTGCAGGTCAAGATCTACTGCGAGGCACTGGGCGAGGTGCGCGCAGGCGAGTCGTTTGAGGCCGCTCAGCAGCGCATTCGTGCAGAGCTGGACGCCATCGTCGACGTCGTGTACGCCTGGCTGGTCGCAGACGCATGAAATATACAAAGCGCTGCATTGACACATGCGCCATCTAGCCCTCGAGCAGCTCGCGGAACTCGCCCGTCTCGATTTGCTCCTGCAGCCAGGCATTAGCCATGCTGCAGAGCGGCGTTCAGGCGTCTCGCCACTCACCTTCAAGATATCCAGCCCACCAATCAGCTCGCCCTTGACCACAATCTGCGGGAACGTCGGCCAGTCGTTGAGCTTCTTGAGCCCTTGCCGCACGGCCTCGTCCTGCAGAATGTCGAAGCTGCCGAAGCGCACGCCCTCCTGCCGCAGCAGCGCCACCGTCTTTTGCGAGAAGCCACACTTCGGGTTGTCGGGGTTGCCCTTCATGAAGAGCATCACGTCCTGGCGCTCCATGAGCTTGCGGCAGCGCTCCTCGAGCTCCTCCTGCGTCTCCTGCGCCGGCACGTGGTGCTCGTCGTACGCGCCCGGCGCCGGTGCCGGTGCATTGGTCGAGGAGAGCGGTGCGTTGGCGCCGGTCGCTGCTGGTGCCGCGTGCGAGGCGACGGCCGCCGAAAGCGCCGCAGCGTTGGCGCCTGAGATGCGCGAGAGCAGCGTGTGGCCGCGCAGCAGGACGAAGGACGGCACAGAGTCGATGTCGAAGGACTCGGACACGTCTGGCAGCGATTCTGCCTCGATCTGGGAGGGGCAGGGCATCAGATGCGATTCAAGCTGAAGTCCCTCTCTCCGCAACAGCTGAGCTGGAGGACAGCATAGCTGCATCTCCAGCAGCGCTTGTAGGTCAATCGAGCGTACTTGACAGCTCAAGGACTGGCCAGCGATCAGGACCGCTGCGCAGACGCTGCCACCTGCCGCTCTCTAATACGCCCGAGCTGCGCAGTGACTCGGGTGGCGCAGCAGTCCCATCTCCACCGAACGCTATCGCCGAGCCAGCATCCTAGTCATCTGGAACACCGGCACCGCACCCCTCCACGCCTGCACCAATGCTCACCATGAGCACGAGCAGCTGCGGGTACTTGGCCGCGAGCTCCTCGACGACGGCGTTCATCTGGCCGCACGGCTCGGCCCACGGCGCCCAGAAGTTGAGGAGCGAGACGCGGGCCAGGTCGGCCTGCATCTGCTCGGTGAAGTGCTCGGGCGAGGTGACGTGGACGAGATTGGACGACATGCTGGGCGGGGGTGAGGTGGTGAGAAGGAAGCGGCGCGGCGAGTGAGAGGAGCGGCGCGGGCAGCTCAGGCTTGGTTGATTTGATGGCGTGCCGGTCACGTGCGCACCGCACCTCCACCTTGGGGCCGCGGCTTGCGGCCGTTAGCTGCCGGCGTGCACGTCCCTGCCGCCGCTGCTGCGCCGTCCTTCGCCCTCCTTCTCGCTGCTGCTCGACGTGCACACCCCACCACCATCACACAATGTCGATCCCCACCGTCACGCTCGTCTCTGGCATCAAGGTGCCGCGCCTCGCCTTCGGCGTCGGTGAGTGGTCAGGCGCCGCACGACGCGTCTGGCGCTCACGCTCGTACAGGCACCGCGCTCTACAAGTCCGACTGCTCGCAGCAGGTCGAGACGGCCATCAACGCTGGCTTCACGCATCTTGGTGAGCTGCGCGCCCGGGTACTGCAGCGCCCCGGCTGACCCGGCGCAGACCACGCCGAGGTGTATGCCAACAGCGAGGCGTCGGGTCGCGCCATCGGCAAGCACCTCGACGGCGGCGCGGCGCGCGAGTCGCTCTTCATCCTCACCAAGCTCATGCAGCGCGGCATTCCCGATCCCATGGGCGAGACGCAGCGCGAGGTCGAGCTGCTGCAGTGCAAGGGCTACGCCGACGCCGTGCTGCTGCACCGCCCGCCGCGCGGCGAGAACGGCCTGCCGAGCAACGTCGACGCGTGGAAGCTGCTCGAGGCGGTCAAGGACAAGGGCCTGGCGCGGTGAGTGTGGGGTGCACAGAAGGTGTGACCTGCAGGCTCACCCCTGCACAGCGTCATCGGCGTGTCGAACTGGATGGCGTCGGACATTGAGGAGGTCATCGCCTCGAAGCCCAAGGTGCGTATTGCCCTTGACGCGGCGCATACATGCCTGCTCATCCCTGCGCCTGCAGCACCCCATCGAGATCAACCAGATCGAACTTGTGAGCGAAGGCGCAGTGTCACATCACTACGGCGAGCCGAAATGCTGATGTATTGCGCAGAACCCGTCGCTCTATCACCACCCCGAGTACCAGTCTCTGCTCAAGGTGCACGAGCGCGAGAACATCAAGGGTGAGCCTTGCAGCAGCACTTCACACCACCGCATGCTCACGCACTTCTGCAGCGATGGTCTACGGCAGCCTCACGTCGCTCTACAAGGACCCCGAGCGCAATGCGGCGCTCAACAAGGCGCTCGAGGAGGTCGCGGCCAAGCACAGCACGTCGCCCGCGGCCGTGCTGCAGGCGTGGACGTACGCGCGCACCGACGGCATTGTCGTGACGACGACAAGCAAGGAGACGCGTGCGCGCGAGTACGTCGCCGACGCCGCCAAGCTTGCGCAGCTGAGCGAGCAGGACCTCGGCGCCATCGAGGAGGCGTCGCGCCAAGGCCCGCCGCTCAAGTACTACATGACCGACGTCTTTGACCCGAGCAAGTGAGGCGGCGCGCGCCGGCAATCATGGCATCGCTTCTCCATTTAGACTTGGCTGCCGCCGTAGCGTGTGTGCGCGAGGCGGGCCCGCCCGGGCTGCTCGGTCTGTTCGGCGGCGCTTCGGGCTTTTCTCCGCCTGTGAGGAGGAGGGAGGGATGCCGCGGCTTCCGGATGCAGCCGCACAGATAGGCGGCCAGCGCGACGTGGTGACGAGTGAAGCGAGAGCCGCGGAGGGGACAGATGTGGCGGGCTGCTGCCATGCCGGCGGCGAGCACCCTCCTCGGGCGCGCTGTCCGCGCGAGATGCATGACAAAGCGCATCTCTTGCGCGCTGCGGGGTTATCCTGATGCGCAGCAAGCGAGCGGCGAGCGAGATGCCAGCAGGCCAGCCGAGCGAGATCGCTGAGGAGAGCGGGCGGCAAGAGTGCCGCTGCCCGGCGGCCAGCACGTCCGGCACCGGCGTGCGGCGTGGCGTGAGCTCCAGCGCTAGGGCTAGCGCGCCTTGGCGAGCGGCGCTTCCGCCGCTAGCGCCGAGTCTCATGCGCGCGTGTGCGCCCCCAGGGACCTTCCTTCTTCGCGCGCTAGGCGCGGGCAAGCGCTGCATGCTGGGCGCGACGCAGAGGCGACTCACAGACTGAAGTGTGGCACAAGCTCACCTGCAGCCGAGCAGCGCTCAAGGAAGAAGATTGGCCTGCTGGCGCCGCGAGGACGTCGTTGCGCGGCGCCTGTGCACGCGCGACGCGGTGGCACCGCCCCCTGGGGCACGGCGCCCGTGTGGTGCGGCGCAACAGCCTCCTTGGCCGGCCCGCGTCTGCGCCTGCGTCACGGCGACGCGCCTCAGACTTGACTCGGATCACTCGCCAGGGCGACTCAGGGTCGTGCGCCACGCTTGCACTAGTGTGGTGTGAGCGGACGGCAGTCCGGCGCTAGAAGATCGCTGCTTGGGCCGAGCAAGGGCCCGCAGCCGCGTTGGCTGGTGCAGGTGGTGCGCACGGCCGCACATTGGAGCGCTCAACCTGTACTGGAGTGGTGCTCGCCACCAAGTGCCACTTCCACCTCGGGCGTCCCCAGAGGCTGCACACTAGACATGCTGGACTGCAGCTGCATGCTAGCCGGCTGCACGCTGCGACCCCACAGCGGCTGTTCGGGGTGCTCGGAGATGTGTCCGTCACTGCTGCGCCTGCAGCGAGCATCGATAAGCCGTCGCTGCCGCTCCGAGAAGCAGGTGCAGGTGCCCCTTGCGTGGCGGCCAATTGCGCGACTCGCTCCACCTTCGAGCTGTGTGGCACACGACATCGGTATCGCTGCGCACGACAGCTCCCGCAGCGACTGACGAGTCTGTGGAGAGGCTTGGCACGCGGCGTTGATGAGGCTGGCAAAGGTATAAGAGGCAGACCTTCTCGCCTCCAACAGCCGTCCCTCATCACCTCCAGTTCTCTCTCCTCGACCCCAAGCATCCACAATGGTCCGCATCTCGATCGCCGCCTCGCTCCTGGCCTTTGCCGCCTCGGCCCTCGCCCTCTCGACGGAGCGTGATGCACCCACGACGCTCTGCGGTGCCACGCAGACGATCGCCGCGGAGGACGAGGCCGCGGTGCAGCGCCAGATCAGCAACATGCGCTCGCAGCGGTGAGTCGCGAGGCGAGATGTCACCTTGATCGCAACTGACGCCCACTGCAGCAGCGCTGGTAGCACGGCTCTCCGCGCTGGCACTGTGCCCGTCGCCGTCCACATCATCACCTGCAACGGCCGCGGTGACATTTCCGACTCGCGGATCCAGCAGCAGATTGGCATCCTCAACTCAGACATGGGCAACACTGGTTACTCGTTCAGCCTCTCGTCGATCGACCGCACGGCCAACTGTGACTGGTTCAACGGCGTCAACCAGGGCACCACTCAGGAGCGCCAGATGAAGTCGGCGCTGCGTCGCGGCGGCGCCTCGACGCTGAACTTCTACACGGTGGAGTTCACGTGTGTACGGCGCCGCAGATCAGTTTTTCTCGTACTCACTCTGCGTTCATAGCGGCGGTCTCGTCGGTTACGCCACGTTCCCGAGCTCCTACCGCAGCAATCCGACCAACGACGGCGTCGTGAACCACTTCGAGAGCGTTGTCGGAGGCTCCCTCTCGCCTTACAACCTTGGCACCATCCTGACGCACGAGGTCGGCCACTGTATGTGCCCATGACTTCTGTCCAGCGCGGAGGGTACATGCTGACAAGTGCCTGCTGCAGGGGTTGGTCTCTACCACGTTTTCCAGGGCGGTTGCTCGGGATCGGGCGACCTGGTGTCGGACACGCCTCCGCAATCGACCATTTCGCGCGGCTGCCCGGTCGGACAAGACTCCTGCTCGGGCGGAGGCGTGGACTCCGTGCGGAACCACATGGACTACAGCCAGGACTCTTGCCGCAACCAGCTGTGAGTTTCGGGGTCGGTGGAGTCGCCTCTCGACATTCCGAGTGCAGCTCCGCTTCCCGACCACCGTTCTTTGTCACTGACGCTCTCTTCTTACCACAGCACGGCCGGTCAGATCGAGCGCCTGCAGGCCCAGATGAGCCTGTACCGCGGCATCTAAGCTCGGCGCCGCACGCGTCTCGCACACGCCTGGCGGGCTCGCTGCAGCACTCGAATGCAGCTCGCTGCAGACCGTTCTCCTTCTCCACCTGTATCTCCTACTTCTGCCCTGTCTTGAGCCTCCTACTGTGCTCGGCAGCCGCATAATCTGTACTTGCGCCCGCGTAGTCTTGCAATGCATTCCTCGCACGCGACTCAAGCCGTGACGCGCATCGCCTGCGCCACAGCTATGAGGAGGAAGTCTCCGAACTGCGCGGCGCTTCATACCCGTGTGTCTGGGACAGTACGGCTCTGAGACACGGCGGATGAGGCGGCCTCCAGGTGCAGTCGAGCGAGGCCGCGGTTGGTGGTAGGTGCCTTGAGCGCGTGACAGGTGCAAGCGCCGGACATGCGATGACGACTAGGGCGATGTAATGCCATGATGAGCTGGTATGAGAGCTCCCGTGGTACCCGAGACACTCGCATACTGCGTGTGACGCAAGCGAGAAGCATCTGGCTGCGCACAAGACCGGCGGGCAGGGGGAGTGCGTCGCACCACTTCGGACACGCTCAAGAGAGTATATACCTCTACATGTGAGCAGCTATCATATAATTCCTAGTTAGTACAGTGGTCAGTATATCCGCCTCTCATTCAAGCTCCGGCTCGGTGGGCGCGGATGGCCGGGGTTCGATTCCCCGACTGGGAAACCTTTTTGCCTCCTGCTCTCGCAGCCTTTTTGCCCCTGCCCTGCGTGGGTGTGGCGCGGCCCTTTTGCATGGCTGGGCACTCGAGACTCACACCACCATGTGCGACAAAGCAAGACGGCCAACGCTGGGTCGCCGGAGCTGCACCGCTCGCGCGCGCGCGTCATGCGCGACGAGCTCTTTGTCCTAGACACGCGCGCGCACGTCTTGTCTTGTCCCCGTTGTGCGCGCCGGAGTGTCTCGCCATGCCGAGCGCCGCTCTCAGCATCTCTCATGCGAGATCAGACTAGCGCCGTCTCTCGTTGCTGCGCCTGTCGCGCCATCTCTGCCTACGCCGCGAGATCAGCCGCTGGCCCGGCACACTGGCAGCGCTGGAGCGTCGCGCTTCTCTCGTCCCCGTCCCTGGGGTCGGCCGTCGCACGCGCGCGCACTTCCCGATCGCACAGCGCCGCCGGGCAGCAGGCCCGGGGCCGAGCGAGGCTGCACACTGCAGCTGCTGTGGGACAGCCGCTCGTGCGCTGCACGCCTTAGCACTCCGGGGCACCGGTGCAACCTGGCTCGGCACCGTCGTGCCTTTGCCTTTGTTCTCCTCGGCGCAGCCCATCCGCCTCGGACTCCGCCGCAGACTGGCCCGGTGCCGCGCTTGCCCTCGACTTCCTCGACAAAAGGCACGGTGATGCGCGTGGCGGCCAAGCGGCATAGCTGCCTCGCCCATGAGAGCGCAGGAACAGCCGCCATCCGCGCTCCTCGGCAGCGCCAAACGGCCGTGGCGCTCGCGTCCCTCTGTCCATGGCCGCGGCAGCCATCATGCGCCATCATGCTGCTTGTCGGAGGTCGCCGACCAGAGCCAGCGGCGAGCTCGTGCTCGTCGCCTCCTTTGTTGTCCGCTCTCGTCTTGTCCTCGCCGCCGCTCACTTAAGAAGCGGACCCCTGCTCATCCGTGCCCGCCACATTGCCTTGCCCCTGCCGCCGTCACTCTAGCCCGCCACTCTCACGTCTCTGTCTCTCTCATACCCGGCACGCCACATTGCCACCCTGACCACTCCCACCATGTCAAGCTCGTCTCGAAGCTCGCACCATGCCCACCGCGCCGCGTACGACGGCCCGGCTGGCGACTCGGCCATGCCCGCCATCGCCGAGATCCCTCCGACGCCGCAGGACGCGGACGACGTCCCAGTGTCCTTTCAGCGGCAGCAGCGCAGCCACTATCCCGAGCGCCTCTCCTCGACAGAGATCTACCGCAGCCCTCAGCGTGCCGGGCCGATGCGCTCTGAAGGCCCGAACCACCGCCTGTCGCCGTACCTCCGGCCGCGTCGAGAGGGCTCCTGGGGTGAGTGCCGTTCGTGCCGTGCGTCTCTTCACCACTCATCGCCTGCCATACAGACGGCAGCGACAACAGCTCGGCGAGCATCTCGGACATCGGCTCGCCGGCGCTGTCCTCGTCGTCGGGCTGCTACTTTGCGCGCGACGACGCCTCGAGCCGCAGCTCGTGGAGCAACGCCGACTGCGTCGAGCGTGCCGGCGCGCCGTCGCCCAGCTACGAACGACACAGCGACACTCGCCACGTCGAATCGCAGCGCCAGCGCACACCTCCGCTGCCGCAGCGGCAGACGCCGCAGCCCGTCTCGGTGCTCATCCCCCGCACCAGCACGACGTCGCACGCGCGCAAGAAGGACCCCAACCACATCCCGCGCCCGCGCAACGCCTTCATCCTCTTCCGCAGCCACGCCCACCGCATCGGCCTCGTGAGCAAGGACGTGACGTCGAACCACTCCAACATCAGCGTCATCATCTCGCACATGTGGCGCAGCCTGCCCGAGGAGGAGAAGGCGCAGTGGTACCAGGAGGCCGAGCGCGAGAAGGAGGAGCACCGCCAGATGTACCCCGACTACAAGTTCAACCCCGTGCTGCGCCGCACCGCCGTCGTGCGCCGCAACGTGCGCCGCGAGGAGGGCGACGAGGAGCGCTGCCTCGAGATCGCCGACCAGATCCTCAAGCAGTACGGCCGCGAGGGCATCGTGCGCGTCGCCGACGACCCCGCCGCCGGCAGCGCCGCCGAGCAGAAGGCGGCGCGGCGTGCGGCCACCAAGGCCGCCTCGCGCCAGAAGGCCGCCGCCATCAAGGCCGAGAGCCCGCGCAAGGCCAGCAAGCCGCGCAAGGCGCAGGCCCGCAGCCACGGCTCGTGCACCTCGTCCGACGGCTCGCCCACGCGCAAGATGCCGCGTGCGACGATGCGCCGGTTGGCAAGCGGCAGCGCCACGTCCGGCAGCCAGAGTGCGCCTAGCGCAGCCGAGACGGAGAGAGCCGCACGCCCTGTACCGTCATCACCGATGCCGACGGTCGAGGCCGAGGTGCGTTCCGAAGCCGTACCGAGCCCGAAGTACGCGATGCCCGGCTTCTTCGCCGGCCGTCGCCGCTCCATCTCCGTGCCTCTGCTCGAGCCAGAGGCTCGCCTCGCACCAGGACCGTGGAAGACGGAGGACGCGCCGCAGATGGCCCACGCTCGCGACGACGACACCGTCATGGCAGACGGGCTCGGCCACTGGCAGGACCGTGCGCACCGCACCGTAGACGTGCCCGTCGACGTCGATCGCGACGAAGCTGCGGCGCCGCGCAGCCCGGCCGCTCTGGGCCACTCGACGGTCCGCAAGGGCCCGCCTGCACCGCTCGCTCTCGGCGCCGCCGAGCACCGCACGTCGCTCTCGCAGGCGCCGATGCAGGTCGTTGCCGTCCAGTCGCCAGTGGAGCGTCCTCGCCCGCGCAGCGCCGAAGGCGCCACGCCGCTGAGCTCGACGTTCCGCGGCGCCGCCGTCGCCGGGCTGCACTGGCACGGCCTCGGAGGGCACGAGATGCTCGTCTCGCCCATGCGCGCTACCTTTGGAGCATCGCGCCGCCCGAGTGTGTCGGGCTGGCAGCCGTGGGCCGCACGGGCGGTCGATGTGCCGTCCCGCGGGCGCGGCTTCTCCTTCACCACCGACGTGTCGCGCGCCATCGAGCAGCAGGACGACGTCCTGTTCGGCCAGGCAGCTCGCATGGCGGCGGCATCGATGGGCGGCCGCTACGACGAGTCGCACCTCTCGCTGTACGACCTTTATCCGTATTCGCCGACCATTGCGCATGGCGGCCACGGCAGCATCGGCGCCGTTGCTTCTGCGCCATCCTCGGGCCTCGACTCCCGCGCGCAGCCGGACTTTGTCGAGATTGAGCGGTCGCCAGCGGCCGGAGCGTCGACTGCCTCTTACACGTCCAGCCTCGATGTGGCCGACGTGGCGCCGGGCACGGGTGGCGCGCGCCTGCGCTACCACATCGACGACGAAGAGATGTTCACCGAGGGCCCTCGCCCGCCCATGCCGCCGGCGGCCAACCAGCGCCGCGGCAACCGCCCGCGCAGCACGTCGAGCGCCCCGCCGCCCGAGAGCCTCATGCCTGCTGCTCGCAGCGATGGCGCCGTGGCGTGGGACGTGTACAGCGGCCTGCACGTCGGTCGTCCAATTGAGGCCGACGCGCTCGACGCTGCCTTCTCGCAGCTGCTCAACGTGCCCATCACACCGCCGTCGGGCAACAGTCCGGCCGGCATCCACGTTACCTTTGCGCCACTGCAGCAGAGCGCGCCAGCAGCGCCGGCTCCCAGCGTGTCGCCGCTCGCGCTCGCCCTGGCCGACGTGCACTGGGAGGACACTCCCTCGAGTCCCTCGGCGCGCCTTGCCGCACGGCGGCCCTCCATCCGCACCTGCTCGTCTGAGCGGTACATCCCGCCCTCTGGCCGCTAATGATCCGGGAAAGCTGGCTCTCTCCCATGCACGACTCTGTCTTCTTCTGCTATCTTACCTCTTTGGACACGCTCTCGCTAATGCACCGACCTCGGATACTTGTGTGTGACGTGCATAGTTGCGGCCCTGCTCTGCTCACTTCTTCGCCGCATCCTTCTCCGACAGCTGCACCGCGATCTTGGTGGCGCCGAGCAGCGCACTGAGCTGGATGCGCTCTGAGCCGCCGGTGCTCAGGCGATGCCTGCGAGCTGGGGTCAGCTGGAAGGCCATGTCACCGCTGGCGGCGGCGCTTACTCGATCTGGCCCAGCTGGTCCAGCAGGTATATCCGCGACTGCGCCGGCAGCTTGACGGTCATCAGGAAGTCGTAGATGCCGTTGACCATGTCGGCGAGCGCCATGCCCTTGCTCGTCTTGAGCGCCGAGACACCTGCAGCGGCGGGTCAGCGCAGGCCCCGCAGGACGAGGCATGTGGTGCTCACGGTTGTACGACGTGGAAAAGTCGTCGTTCATCATGCTGTTGACGATGTCCTCGATGTCGGACGGGTGCGGGTTGCCCGTGCAGTTGTACACGGCGCTCTCGTCAATTCTGTCATAAGCAGCATGGCATGCCTCGCGAGCCCAGATGCATCAGCATGGCAGGCGGCGGGGAACAGCCAGATCGCTCACCTGCAGGACGTTGAGCGCGCGACGCATGTCGCCCTTGCTCAGCTTGATGAGCGCTTCCTTGCCGTCCTGAGTCACGTTGCAGCTGCGGGGTGTCGCAAGTCAGCACGGACGTGGCCCGCTGCGTTGCGTCACGCACCCCTCGTGGTCGATGACGTGGTTCAGCCGGTCCTCGACCTGGTCGAGCTCGAGCGGGTTGAAGCGGAAGCGCGTGCAGCGCGACTGGATGGCCGGGATGATCTTGTTGACGTAGTTGCAGATGATGCAGAAGCGCACGTTGCGCGTGTACTGCTCGATGACTGTGCCAAGGGTGAGCTCTCGAACGACGCCTCCTGCATGCCAAGCACGTACCGCGGCGCAAGGCGCTCTGTGCCGCCGTCGTCATGGCGTCCGCCTCGTCCAGCACGATGAGCTTGAAGCCGCCGGAGTTGCTGCACGGGACTGTCAGCCGTGCAGCGCAGAACGATCGCTGTAGTGTGGGCGCACCTGAAGACGTTCTTGGTGCTCGCAAAGCTCTTGATCTGCTCGCGCACCACCTCGATGCCGCGGTCGTCGGACGCATTGAGCTATGCAGAGCGTCAGCGAGACAGCCTCTGCAGATACACGCGCTGCACAGTGGCGCCAGGCGGTTCCCGACGCCACATCACCCCACAGCATGGCTCGCTCGAACTCACCTCAAGCACGTTGTTGCGGAAGCCGTCACCGTAGATCCTACGTGCCATCGCCAGGATCGTGCTCGTCTTGCCCGTGCCCGGCGGGCCGTAGAAGAGCAGGTGCGGCAGGCGGTTTGCCTCAATGAAGCGCTCGACTGGAGTGTGGCGTGAGTGACCAGGCGCTAGAGGCCGAAGCAGCGCTACCCACCGGTGGCTGTGATGTCCTTGTGCGAGACGAGGTCGGAGAGCGTGGCGGGCCGGTACTTCTCGACCCTAAGCCGCGCGGCTGCCGTCAGCCTTCCAAGCCGAGCATGTGCGAAGCAGCCGCCTCTCAGCGGCACGCGCTGGGCACGCACCAGGGGAGCAGGTCGACGGGGTCGGCGGCGGCTGCCTCAGAGTCGGCGGGCGCGCGGCCCTTGCCCTTGGCGGCGGCCGAGATGGAGACAGGTGCGTCGCTCATCTCGGTGTCGGCCGCGTCGAGGCTCGGCATGGTGAATGAGGGCAAGGCGATGCGGAGGTACTGCGACGGTGCGGTGCGGCGCTGCTGGTCCGAGAACGTGGGTTGCGGCTATGAGGAGCGGGTGGAGAGGAGGAAGGGAAGGAGGAAGCCGTGCGTGCGCGTCCCTGTCCAATGCGCACTCAACGCGTCCGACTACAACAACGCGTCATGCAGACACTACAACAATGCGCGTGAGCTGTAGTCTGCAGCGTGGAGGAGGTTGAAGCGCGGTCTCGCCGGCGTGCTTCAAGATTCTTCCTGCCCACCGCATCCCCCCAATTCTCTCCACGCCTCCACGATGCCGGCCGCTGCCGCATCGACGTCGAGCCTGCCGCCGGCACCGGCGCCGAGCGCACCCGTGCATGCGCCGCTGCTCGCCGGCGTCTTTGCCGGCAACTGGGCTGCCGACGAGTCCATCGCGGTGAGCCGCACGAACGGCGCGCACCGCTGCCTGCCATGCTCATGCCGCTCTGGCAGTTCCTCGCCGAGTCGTACACCGTCTTCTCGACGCTCGCTACAATTGCGCAGCACCCGCTGCCCGGTGCCGTGTGCGTCACAGGCGCGGCTCCGCAGCACGTGGCCCGCAGCTGACAGCTTTGGCCTCGCAGTCCTTCGGCACAGACGCTGCAATACCTCTCGCGCGTTGCTGGGCTCTACCGCTCGGCGCTCAGCCGCTACCTCGTAGCGCTTACAGTCGCAGATACGGAGGGCGATGATGCTGGCGTCGACCGACCAGCACACGCGGCACGGCTCGAGGCGGCTTTGCACCTGGCGCAGACGGTCTTCCTGCCCGCCGACGGCGAGGGGGCCGGCGTCGTAGGCGAGGAGCTGCTGCACTGGGTCAACTGCACTGATCCGGGTGAGTCGGAACACTGCAGTGGTGCTACTTGCTCTTGCTGATCCGCGCTGCAGCGCCGAGCACCGAGGAGGGACAGGACATCGCCTCGTCTGCGTCTCCGCACGAGCATCCGGCGTACTGGGACTACGTCCTCCGGTGAGCGTGCGGAAATTGAGAGAAGAGAGGCCTGCGGTCTGACACCGCGCTTGCGTGCCACAGCTGCGTTCTGCGGGGCTTTTACACCTCCGCCTCGTCCATGCTCCGCTCGCTCTCCTCGCACCCGTCGCGTACCATCTCCTCGCTCTCGCTGGAGATCTCACAGCTGCTCTCCACGCTGCCGCGCTCGTCGGCCTTTCCGACCGAGGCAGCCTTTACTGCTGCGCGCCGCTCGTGGCAGTCGTCTGTGCGCGCGCTGCTCACGCGGCTGGAGGGCGCCATGGACGACGCAGAGGCCGAGCTGGGCGGCAACGAAGACGCAGAGGACCAGCGCCTAGAGTACGAGGCGCAGTTCCGCTGCCTGCTGCAGCTCGTCGCGGGCGAGCGGCAGCGCGTCTTCGAGGCGTGCGAGGACTGGCGGGAAGCGCTGGGCGCCTGGGGCACGCTGGTGCAGCCGACGATGCGTCGCGACGATGTGCCGTGAGTCGTTGAGGGCAGATCGCGAAGTAGAAGCGGGCTGACGGGCCTGCCGGCACAGCGAGACGATGGCCGTCATTCTGGAGCAGTTCCCGGTGGATGCCAAGGTACCGGGCGAGACTCTGCTGTGCGCTCTGGCCAGTGGCGACGTGCGCGAGGCATGCCGCATCGCCAAGGATTTCGACGCCTGGCTTGCAGCGCACCTCATCGATCTCTTTGACAAGGCTGGTCTGCTCGATGCGTCCATGGGGTGAGCTGCTTGGGCCCTGCCAGCAGGACTTCCGCTGACAGCATTTCTAGCATGTCAACCGACGCCAGGACAGACGCGCTCCTGCAGTATGCCGAGACGCTGCTGGATGACTCGGGCCTCTGGCGCATGTCGGTCGACTATCTCGCGGCAGTAGGCACAGCGACTGCTGCGACGCGGCTGCGCAACGTCATCCTCGACGTGCCGCTCAGCGACGAGGAAGCAGGCACGACTGTCCCGGCGCGCACCCTTGATGCCCTCGAGGACGAGGCCCGGGATGCCGAGATGATTGACGATGCGGACGACCCGGAGGAGGCAGCCGAAGCGCTGCGCCGCGAAAAGGAGCGCCAGCAGCGCGAGAGCGGGACAGGTGCCGGCTTCCGCGGCGTCGAGGAGGTGCTCAAGGCGTGTGTCGAGCATGGCCTGGAGGAGGAGGCGCGTGCCGTGTGCAAGGTGAGCCTCGCCGCTGTCCGCGCGATGGGCTTCAGCTGACGTTGCTTCCTGCAGCGCGTGGCCAAGCTCACCGCAGCTAAGCGGCAGTACGGGCTGGCGATCGCATACTGCGTCCGCGCAGGCGACTCTCGCCAGGTGCGGCGCATCGCAGATGCGCTACTCGACGAGTACATCACGCAAGGCGCAGACGAGTTCTGCCGCCTCGTCGACTCGGTTCCAGCCTCGCTTCTTCATCCCGCAGCTGCACGACCGCCGCAAGGACCAGGCAGTAGCGCATCAGCCGAGGGCATGGAGCTGGATGCCGGCGACGCGGCCAACGACACAGGCTACGGCGTCGGGCGCAGCCTCTTCTCGTCGCGGCTCGCATTCCTGGCGGGCTACCGAGACTTCCACCGGCTGTACGCCGAGGGCCAGCTGCGGGCGGCTGCCGAGCTGCTCGTCGTGCTCCTGACCAGCAATGCGGCGCCAGAACGCTTCTGGGCGGTGCTGCTCGTCGATGCCATTCCGCTGCTGGAAGGTGCGTGCAACGCAGCTGGCGTCGCCGAGCTCTCACTGACAGCCGACGCAGGCGCCGACAACCTCTTCACTGCCGACGAGACCTTTGAGCTGCTGCGCTTCCTGGAGCAGATCAACTCGGGCCTGCTCTCGGGCAGCAGCGACGCGCAGCACTTCCTCGGCACTCTCGAGCAGCTCCTGACTGCGTCCAGCAGCCGCGACGGCGCCGACGGCAGCCGCAGCGTCGACGTCGGCGCGGCACGCAAGCGGCTGGACATTGTGCGCCTCGGCCTGGCACGGCAGCTCGCACGGGCGAGTGTGACGGGCGTTGGCGTCCTCTAGCTCGCCTGCAATGCATCAAAGTAAAGCATCTGCGCCTTGGACGCGAGCCTGCAGCGCAAAAGCCCCAGCCTCCTCCCCTGTGCCGCGCGGAACGTTGCGTGTGCGTCTCTCTCGGTGCACGGCGTGACATGCTTTCATTACTACTCATCGTCCTCGCTCTCGCCCGCAAAGAAGTCGTCGTGCGCGAGGCCGGCCTGCGACTCTCCGTCCGAGGAGCCCGCATCGCTGTCCTCGTCGCCGCTGCCTGCCTGCTTGCCGCCCTTGCGCAGAGCGTCGCGCTTCCGCTCGGCACCACTCTCGGCCGCGAGCTCCTCGTCCGGCTTCGCGCCCAGCGAGCCGTCTGCCATGCGCGACACGATCAGCGCCCGCACCTCGTGAGCGCGCCGCACGCTCTCGGATGCATCGGCCGGCGGCGCGCCAGGTGCCTTGGCGTCTGCAAACGGCCCCGCGCCAACGGTGGGGAAGAGGCTGACGTATGCGTGCTCGTGCGGCCAGTTCTGGCAGGGAGGCATGGTCAGCCATGGCTCATGGCTTCGGGCGGTCGATAGCTCACCAGCACGTATGCAAGCCTGACGCGCGCTTCTTGCAGCTGCTCCTGGATCTGCGGCGAGTCTTGCGCCCCGGCCTTGACGAGCTTCTTGATCTGCCGGACGAGCTTTTGCCGTTCTGCGGACCACGCCTCAGCGCTGATCCCTGCACCGGACCTGAGGTGCGACTCACCAAAGAAGCGCGTAGCATGGCTCTTGCGCGCGTTCTCGCGCTCCACGTTCGAGCGCTCACGATCGGCGATCTCCGTCTCGAGAGCACGCGCTCGCCGCTCGGCCTCTTGGCGCACGGGCGGAGCGACGTTGTCCTGAGGGGCCGGCGCTTAGTTGCAGCGAAGATGCAGAGCGGGCGCCACTGCTCACCTTTGCCAACAGTCGGCGCGTCTGCCGCAGGCTCGCCTTGAGCTTGCTGACGCCCAGCGGCTCGTCTGCTGCATCGGGGTCCTCTTCCTCCTCGGTGCGGGCGGCCTTGCGGCTGCCGCCATGGCCGCCGCGCGATGCGCCTCGCCCGCGTCCGGCGCCTCGACCGCGCGCCGAGCCGCGTCCTCGCTTGGCATGTCCTCCGCGAGCGCCTCCCTCGCCGCTGGTGGATGCCTGGCCGGAGCCGCCCGCAGCCGGGGCGTCTGGGCGCTTGCGCTTGTGCGAGGCGCTCGGCCCGGCGTCTGCGCCCTTTGCCATGGCGCAGTGTGTGGAATACGAGGCTGTGGATGGGTCCTTGGGGGTGTGCGGCTCAGAGCAAGAGCAGAGAGCGATGTGGAGAGCCAGGGCAAGGGAGGTGGTGGAGAGAGCGCAAAAGACACCCCTCGAGTCGGCGCCCTCCAAAGCCGCCAGGCCAAATTCTTCGAGTGGAGCAGCATCAGGCGCGGCGCGGTCACGTGGCGCGCATGCGGAGGCGCTCGAGCCAGGGCAGCGCGGCGGCGCGGCGACCAGGACCGCCAAGCCGCGGAATGTGCGCCGCTCGCGGCCTGCCTCCCGTCCACGTCCTTCCCACCCCTCGCTGCTCCACCTCCGCCGCCTGCGCGTGTCTGCCAGTCCGCAGCACACCCGCAGCGGCACAGCGCACGCTGAGCTCGGCCCTCTGCATCCTCTGAGCACGTCTGCGCCCCATTGCGGCACATCTCTGCCCGTGCCTCGGCTGAGCACGCGTCGCGTGTGCAACTCGCACCCGCTCTGCGCCGGCAGCACGTTCTGGCCGCCGGCACGGCACACGCGGCGCCATGAAGTACCTGCTCGCCGCCATCGATGCGCGCCGCTCGGCGGTGCCGCTCGATGACGCCGAGCTGCGCAAGCTGCTCACCGACGTGCGCAAGAGCAAGGACGACAAGTCGGAGATGAACGAGGCTATGGAGCGCCTCATCACCGAGCTCAAGGGATCGGTGAGTGCGGGCGGAGGTGCCGCCCAATGTGTGCGCATCTGAGCGCGCTGTCTCGCTCTGCAGGAGCATGCCACGGCCTTCTTGACCCGTGTCTCGAAGCGCGAGGCGCCCGACTACTACGAGGTGATCAAGCACCCCATGGACCTTGGCACCATGCTCCGCAACGTCAAGGCGTCCAAGTACAAGAACAAGAACGCCTTTGCCGCCGATCTCGAGCTGATCTGGTCGAATTGCGAGATGTACAACATGCTGCCGGTGCGTGTGTGCCGCAGCATGCGAGGCAAAGGCTATGCGACTTCTTCCTCTCCTGCTGACGCTGTCTGACCCCGCAGGAGCATGCGCTGCGCAAGGCTGCTGCCCACATGCGAGCCCAGTCGCGCCACCTGCTCGCATACGTGCATGAGGGAGACGAAGTTGGCGAGGCGCTGCGGCTGTGGGAGAAGCGGAGCGATGCTGCAGCCAAGGCGAAGGTGTTTGGGACGGATGGCGCTGGACCGCGAGTCGCAACTCGAGTGAGTGTGGGCTGGGTTCTGCCTGTTCAGGCCGCTGCGCTGCGATGTGGGCTACGCGATGTGGATGCTTGCCTGCTCCTCTTGCCGAGACAGGCCACTGACTGCGCCTGCTTGCCCCTACTTTTACTTCAGCTACCGCTCGCCCGGCCTCTCGTGCCTCCGCCTCCGAGCAGCGCCGTGACGATCACGCCTCTGGCCATGCGGCCTGCCCTCGTGCGCGATGCTGCCGATATGGCGCGCTTCTCGCAGCTCGAGTCTCTTGACTTTCTCGAGGAGGACGCGTCGCAAGCCACGACGTCTGCCAACGGCGCGCGTCTGCTCGCAGCGGCACGAACATCTCGCAGCCGCGACGACCTGCTGCGCCAGTCTGGCTCTGGACCAATTGCGGCATCAGTGCCAGACTTGGCCGACCCGTCTGGTAGCGCTGACGGCGCATGGTACTCGCTGTCCAGCGGCGACCTTCTCATGGCTGGCGTCCCGCATCTGCCGTCGTCGGTGCGGCTGCCGCTGGAGGACGAGGAGGCCGGTGCTTATCGCGTGCGGAAACGCAACGCCTTTGGTGGTCAGGCCATGGTGCGCCGCAACATCAGCACGATCGCCAAGTTGCGGCACACAAGTGCCAAGCTTGCAGCGCTGGCCGCGCACACAGACGTGAGTTGCGCCGTCGCTGAAGCAGCGCCGCTGGAAGCGCTGACTTCGTCCGGTCTCTAGCTTGATACCCCTCTTCCGGCGTGGCTCGCCTCAACTTCGTCCGACGAGGAGTCAGAGGATGACGAGATGCCTGTCCGCACGCGGCGGCCAGTTTCCGGCCAGACGCCAGAGCAGACGCGGCATCCAAAAGGTGCAGTAGCGCTCGAGCCCGGTTTGAATCCGCTAGGAGGCATCAGCCCGCAAAGCGCACGGGAAGGTCTGCACTCTGCAGCGATGCTGCTTGGCGCGCATGTCGGCTTCGACGGTGAGCATTGCGCGGCTCTCCTGCCTATAGATCCACGCTGACTGTGCCGTCCGACACAGGCGCGCACACGTCCTGCATGGATGTCATCACCGACATGGCGGGCGAGTTCCTGGGCAACCTCGGGCGCACCCTCCGCCTCTATGCCGACCGCTACTCTCACGAGATGAGCGTCGAGGTCAGTCGAGATCGCTGCAGCTGCGCTGCTGTGGCATGGCGCTGACACGCTGCTTCAGGAACTGCTTCTTCACACGTTGCAGGAGAATGGCGGCGCGAGTGTGCGGTCACTGGAGACCTACGTGGTCGACGATGTCGAGCGACACGGCACGCGCCTCACGGACATGCTGCGGCGCAACCGCGCGGCATATCGGGAGCGCCTGCAGGCGAGTGGTCCGCCCCGAGGCGTCTCGACGCATCTGCTGACACCGGACTGCTGCAGGCCAGCTCCGCTCCGATGGCCGACGACGCGTTCTTCAGCGCGAGCAACGACGTGCTTGTCAGGTAAGAGCCGCAGCGTCGCGCCGAGTACGCTCATTGCTGACCTGCGACCTGCACAGCGGCGGCTTTGCCGAGGAGCTCGGCGACGATTTTTTCGGCTTCAAGGCCATGGGCCTCGACGCCGAGACGGGCATGTCTGGCCTGTCCGTCCCGGCGCGTCTCTTCCGTGCCACCGAGGCGCCCGGCCAGCGGCGACACGAGGCGGATCCGTGCGTACTCGAGCTCAGCGTTCGCGCGCACTCCGCTGACTCGCGATCTGCAGAAGCTCAGCGGAAGAGCCGCTCGCGTTCCCGCCGCCGCCGCCAGCAGTGCCCATCTCCGAGTCAGCAGTCGGCGCGCAAATCGGCCTCCTGCAGTCCTGGTACCGCGACCTGGTACGCACGCGCGGCGCCTGGCGTGCCCACTCGCCCGGCACGGCAGAGGCCACCGGCGTCGCGGGCGAGCTGTGCATCTCCGACGACGAGCAGGAGCGGCAGCGCTTCAAGGTCGGCCCCACGGGGCGCCTGCCGAAGCGCACCATGGCCAGCACTGCTGCTGCTCAGCGCGGGCAAGGCGCCGAGACTCTCGTCGCCGCGCCCCCTGCTCGCAAACGCAACCGCCCCTGATGTCCGCATCGCCGCCACCCCACATGTATCATCAGCGTCTCTGCACATTTAGCATTTTGCAACAGACTGCGGGGTCCACGCGCGAGCTGTCGTAGCGGCGGACGCTGCAGATGGGAGTCCCTTAGAACCGCTTGGCCTGGGAGCGGCGCAGCTCGTTAGCGTGACCCAGCGCTCAGTGCTGCACGCTCGACTCACGTCCTTCTTCTTCTGCCACCGGAAGTAGCCGTATGCCGCGCCCGCGATGACGCCCAGCACAGACGCCCACTTGAGCACGAACCAGATGAGGCTGAACAGCCCCGAGAAGAAGCCTGCGAAGAAGCCCGGCCCGCTCGGCGTGTCGCGGTTCGTGCCGCTGCTGGGCGTGCCGCTGTCGGCCTGCTTCTTCTTCTTCGAGAACCAGCCGCCGGACTTCTTCTTCTCGCCGGCCTTGGCCGCGCCGCCGGGCGGGAAGTGCTCGAGGCGGTGTGCCTTCTTCTCGGCGGCCGTGCGCTCCTTGTAGATGATGTTGCTCGTCGACACGGAGACAATGTCGTGGTTGTCGCTCACGTCGCCCGTCGCGGCCGAGAAGCCGAGGTACGGCCGAGCTGGAATCGTGACGTTGTCCAGCTTGCTATGAGCGCGTGGATGGTCAGCAAGGAGACTCATGCAGGACTGCAGCGCTCGCCTCACAAGCACGTGTCCCAGTCGTCCCACTCGTTGTAGTGCAGGGCAAGCTGTGCGGCGCGAGTCAGCGTGGCCGGGCTTGTCGCAAGCGCCGCCAGACTCACCTCGAGGAACACGTCCTTCACATAAGTGAGTCTCGCCTTCGTCGCGACGGCCGCGCGCCTGATGGACACGGAGCAGCCAGCCACCTCCTGCGGCGCGCCGTCCTTGCCGACGTTATACCGCTCGATGCCGTTGCCGTTGATGGCGAGAACGCGCGGGAAAGTGTAGGGCTGCCATCGAGCGTCAGCCACGAGGAAGCCAGAACGGCGCGCTTCCAGCTCACATGTCTCGAGTTGGCGAACGTGTCAAACATGATGCCCAGGCCGGTGAAGTAGTCCTTCGAGCCGAACACCGGGCCGGGCTGCGCGCGCTCCGTCGTGAGCCACATCGCGAAGCTGCGTGATTGCGGTCAGCAGCCGGACATGGAGCGAGCGAAGCCGAAGCAGGCCAACAGCGCATTGGCGGTGTCTGACTGCCATCCAGCGCCCTGCTTGGGCTCCCTTGAGCTACCTGCACGCGACACTCACCCATCGCCGTACGGCTTGTGGCCCGCAGCCTTGCCGTCGATGCTGAACTCGACTTGGATCTCGTAGTTCTCCGGCTGGATCTCCTGCAGGCACACTGTGTGTCAGAACTGCTTACGACGCTGGGATGAAGGGGCACCACATGGCGCATGTGCGAAGGCGGCCCGATCGCACCGACGCTCCATGCACGTCTCGCAAAGGCAGGCACACTCACCGAGCGCGTCCACAGCCATCCCGCCTGGCTGCCCCGATCCTGCGTCAGGCGGATGTGCTTGTTCGTGTCGACGTAGGCGTCGCCGCCAAAGTCCCAGAACTGCACAGCGCGGTCAGCATCGCACCGGCGCGTACTCGCTTGCCGAGGCACGCACCTTGTTCTGCACTGCACGTCGAACAAGCAACAAGCAAGAGGCGTGACATCAGAGTCGGCGCGGCCAGTGCGGATGCACGGCGCGGCAAGTGCGGATGCACGGCGCACTCACAGTTGGAGTCCACGTAGGGCGCGTAGAGCGAGTGCGAGCGCAGCGGCACGATGGCGTCGCTCTTCAGCAGGCGGTTCTGCGCCGCGACCTGCGCGACGACGCTGAGCGGCGCCGCGACGAGGAGCGCCAGCGCCACTGCCAGCGCATGGCAGACGACGCGCGACATGGTGGTGCGTCTGCGTCTGCGGATGCACGAGGCGAGCACGGGCTGGATGCAAAGTGTGGGGCGGTGCGGCGCGTAGCAGCGGCGAGCGTGGGCGTGGCCGCAGGGCGTGGCGGTCGTGCAGTGCGTCGAGGCTGCGCGGCAGGGGTCGTGCCGGGTGCGTGCACTGCAGCCGGCGTGGTCGTGTCGGAGCGGGTCGTGGTGAGAGGCGAGGCGGAGGCGAGGCTTCCCGCCAAGCCGCGTCGCGCTCGGGGCGCCGTGGCCAGTGCGGCGCGGCGCTGGCAGGGGGCGTGTCACGTGCGCGCGCCAGTTGGGCCGCGGCCTGGGCTAGGGCTCATGCGCCAAAATTGTACGCGCCGGTAAGTCCGGCCGCCTTCCTTCCTCCCTCTCTACTCCACCCACCCGCTCACTGCACCTTGTCCCTGCAGCTCGCCTCGCTGCAGCTGTCGCACCGCGCTCTTGACGGTCACTCTGCCGCCAAGCCGTATATCGCAGCACGCGGCGCCTTCAGCGAGCCTCTGCCTGTGCGACCTCCTCCACTCGCAGGCGCGTGGCGCATCAGCTGCGATGGACCTCTTCGCAGACGACGCCGCACCGGCGACACAGTCACGCGCCTCGTCGCCCCAGGCGTTCCAGATCAACGAGGAGTATGCGCGGCGCTTCCAGCACAACAAGGAGCGCACCGAGCTGCACCAGCTGCAGGAGCGCTACGGCAAGAGCGCAGACGGCGCCGGCGTCGCGGGTGCGGCCGAGAGCGACGGCGACTCGAGCAGCTCCGACGAGACGGAGGACGACGACGGCGAGCAGGTGACGGCCGACGTCGACGCCGCCATCCTGCGCACGCTGGCCAAGATCCGTGGGCGCGACGAGAGCATTTACGACGTCTCGAAGCGCGTCTTTGATGGTGAGTGTCACGGCTGCAGCGTCACAGACGTACATGGCAGCGCTGGCAGGGCCACACGAGTCTGGCTGTGTTCGTGCAGCTGACGTGCCGGCACCGCAGATGAGCGGGCACTCGCTTCGAAGCTGCCTGCCATGCCCTCGAGCTCCCGCTCGGCGACCGGCAAGCGCGTGACGCTTGCCGACTATCAGCGCACGCGCATCCAGGACCTGATCAAGACGTCGGACGATCCTGCACGCGCGCTCGCCGAGGCGACGACGGCCGTGCCTCGCGGCCCGATGGAGGACGAGTCTACGCGGCTGGCACCGGCAGCCGAGGCAGAAGCGCTGCGCAAGGAGGTCACCGCAGCATTCCACGCCTCAGACGATGATGACGGCGACGATGGCTTCTTCACTCGGCGGGACGGCGCTGGCGATGAGGAGGACGACCCAGCTGCGTACAAGCGCTTCCTGCTCGGTGCTCTGGGTGAAGACAACGAGCGGCGAGTGCGCGAGATCCTGCGCGCGCAGATGGACGAGGCGGGCGAGGGTGATGATGCTGAGGGCGAGTCAAAGCTCTCCCTCACAAGCAAGGCCAAGGAGGAGCGCCGTGAGCGGAAACGCCAGGCGAAGCTGGCCAAGGCGGAGGCACAAGATGCCGGCAGCAAGGCGGCTGAGCGGGCGAATGAGGACTTCTTGATGGAGTGAGTTGACCCATCTGTCCACTGCGGCCCTTGTCTGACGATGGCCTGCGCAGCTACATCCTCAATCGAGGCTGGCTCGACAAGGGTGCTGCTCCATCGCGCAAGCCTACGCGCCTCAGCAAGCCTGCTCCGGCAGCGCCAGCGGCGGTCGACAAGGATGAGGCCATGTCTGTGGACGAGGCGTCAGACGGCGAGGGCGGCCGAGACTGGGACGCCGAGGCGGCCGAGCTCTCTTCGGAAGCGTCGTTCGACTCGCGAGCTGAGGCCTACGAGACTGCCTACAACTTCCGCTTCGAGGCGCTGGAGGCAGGCGATGTGGGCACGCAGATCCAGAGCTTCGCACGCAACCCGGTCGGCACTGCGAGGCGTGTGGACGACAAGCGCAAGCGCGAGCGAGAGGAGCGCAAGGCGCGCAAGGAGGCCGAGAAGCGGAAGAAGCTCGCAGACCTGGATCGCCTGGCCGACCTCAAGCGCCGCGACATCGTGGACCGCCTGAAGAAGCTGAAGGAGATGACGGGCAGCGAGAGTAAGTCTGCTGCCAGGCCACGTGCAAGGCTCATGTGCTGACACTGCCGCCAGACATCGAGCTCGGCGGCCTCGACCTCGACGGCGAGTTTGACCCGGAGGCGCACGACCGCGCCATGCAGGGCGCATTCAACGACTCGTACTACAACGAGATGGACCCGACACTGCGCGGCATCGACGACGACGACGCGTACCCCGAGAAGCCCATCTGGGACGACGACATCGACATCGGCGACATCCTGGCGGACGAGGAGGCGCGCACTGCGCACGCTGGCTCGTCCGGCAAGGACAAGAAGGCCAAGGCCAAGTCTGCAGCGCTCGCGGAGGGTGAGGACGACGGCCCGATCTCGATGGACGCCGACTTCCTGGATGGCGAGCAGGATGGCGCGGCCTCAGGCACGCTCTCCAAGAAGGACCGCAAGAAGCTCAAGAAGAAGCTTAAGGCGGCCGAGAAGAAGCTGGCCAAGCCAGCTGCGCAGGGCGACGCAGGCGTGGAGGCAGACGACATGGATGCCGATCTCACCGCTGCGCAGCCGAGCGATCCGGCCGAGCGCAAGCGCAAGGTGCAGCAGGCCGTCGAGGAGTACTACAACCTCGACTACGAGGACGTGGTGGGCGACGTCGCCACGCGCTTCAAGTATGCGCCGGTCGAGAAAGAGACGTACGGCCTCACGCCCGTCGAGATCCTGCTGGCCGACGATGCCGAGCTCAACGAGGTCGTCGGCCTCAAGCACATCCAGCCGTACCGCCGCGGCGCGAAGAAGCCGGCGGACCACGCGCGGCGCCTGGCCGAGTTCCGCCGCAACTTCGCTCGGCGCCACGCCGACGAGCTCGCACTCACCGGCAAGGACGCCGCGGCCAGTGTGCCGCCGCCGCCGAAGAAGCCTCGTCTCGGCAAGAAGGAGCGTGAGAAGCTCAAGGCAGCGGCTGCCGCGTCGCAAGGCGAGGCCTCCAGCTCAGGTCCGGCGCCAGCTCCGGCGAAGGACGCGGCCGCAGCTGCACCCGCAGCTGGTGAGGATGAGGAGGCTCGCGCGGCACGCAAGCGCGAGAAGAAGGAGCGCAAGCGGCTTGCCGCACAGCAGGCAGAGGCATGATGATGTGCAGACGAATCGCATGCTATTCGCGCGTGCCAGCGCCCTGCGATCTCCATCATGTCTGCGCTCTAGATGTCCCAGCCCAGCCGCTCCGCCCATCCCTGTGTGCTCAACGCGTTTGCGATCTGCTCGACGTCCTTGTCTGTGAGCGTGAAGGTGTGAGCGAGGGACAAGCGATGAGGGCGATTGGGAGGGCGTGGACGCACCTCCCCGCCCAGACAGCGACACCACGAGGTCCTCCGTCTTTGCCATCTTGCCGGCAATGTGGAATGCAGACCAGAGCGCGTGGCTCGTCTCCAGCGCCGGAATGATGCCCTCGAGCTGCGTGCACATCTTGAAGCCGCGCAGCGCCTCCTCGTCGGTCGCCACGGTGTACTCCGCGCGGCCACTGTCCTTGAGCCAGGCGTGCTCAGGGCCGACGCCGGGGCTGAGCAGCAGCGCGTCAGTACATGGTTCGTGCAGCAGTGCTCCCTCGAACTCACTAGTCAAGACCGGCACTGATGGAGTGCGTCTCGGTAATCTGGCCGTCGGCGGCCTGCAGCAGGTAGGTGCGCACGCCGTGCAGCACACCCGGCGTGCCCTTGGTGAGCGTCGCCGAGTGCCGGTTCGTGTCGATGCCGTCGCCGCCGGCCTCGACGCCGATCATGCGCACGCTCTTGTCGTTGATGAAGGGGTGGAACATGCCGATGGCGTTGCTGCCGCCGCCGACGCACGCAATGACGGCGTCCGGCAGCTTGCCGACCTTCTCCTGCAGCTGCTGCTTGACCTCCTTGCCGATGATGCTCTGGAAGTCGCGCACGAGCGACGGGAACGGGTGCGGGCCGATGGCCGAGCCGACGAGGTAGTGCGTGTTGTGCAGGTTCGTCACCCAGTCGCGGTTTGCCTCGTTGATGGCGTCCTTGAGCGTCTTGCTGCCGCTCTCGACGGCGACGACCTTGGCGCCGAGCATCTTCATGCGGAAGGCGTTGAGCGACTGGCGCCGCACGTCCTCGGCGCCCATGTACACGACGCACTCCATGCCGAACTTGGCGCACGCCGTCGCCGTGGCCACGCCGTGCTGGCCGGCGCCCGTCTCGGCGATGATGCGCGTCTTGCCCAGGCGCCGTGCCACGAGAATCTGGCCAATGGCGTTGTTGATCTTGTGGCTGCCGGTGTGGTTCAGGTCCTCGCGCTTGAACCAGATGCGCGCGCCGCCGGCGGCCTCGGTCATGCGCTCGGCCAGGTAGAGCTCCGAGGGCCGGCCGATGTACTCGTAGTACGACTCAAACTCCTTCCAGAATTCGGGGTCGTTGATGCAGCCGAGGTAGGCTTTCTCGAGCTCGGCGTGCGCGTCGAACAGCGCCTCGGGGATGTACTGGCCGCCGAACTTGCCGAAGCGCGGCGGGCGCACCTCGCCCGTCTGCTTGTCGACCGTGGCGTCGAGGCCGGGCACCGGTGGCCGGTCCGCCGACACGACGCCGTCGAGCTTCGGGATCGGCACAGAGTCCGGCTGATCAAGCGCAGACTTGATGCTGACGCCGTTGGAGGCGCTGCCGTTGAGCAAGGCATTCTTGCGCTTGATGCCGCCCTCCGTCTTGCCCGTGATCTCCTCGCAGTATGCCTGCGCAGCAGCGCACCGGCCGTCGGTCGTGGCGGGCTGGGCGTCGCGCAGGTTGGCAACCAGCTTCGAGCCAATCACCACGCCGTCGGCATGCTCGCCAACCTCAACGAAGTGCTCGCGCGTGGCCACGCCGAAGCCGACAGCAAGCGGCACGGATGTGATGGCGCGGATGCGGGACAGCATGGCGGGCAGCGCCTCCGACACGGCAGCGGCCACGCCCGTCGTGCCCATCTTCGAGACGACGTAGATGAACGAGTCGGCCAGGCCGGACAGGTGCTTGATGCGCTTCTCCGACGTGGACGGCGCGATCAAGGGCACATAGGACATGCTGAGCAGGGGCGTCAGCAGACTGCGCGGGCTGAGGCACGCCCGTCCCTGCGCCTGCCCGAAGCTGCCGTGCTAGGCAGCGCAGCAGCGCATGCGGTCCCTTCGGCAGCACGGCCCACGACTCACCCCTCTGTGGTGCAGCAGTTGCGGAAGTCCACTGCCTCCTCCGGCGGCAGGTCGACGACGATGAAGCCGTTTGCGCCGGCCTCGCGGGCATCGCGCACGGCCTTCTCCTCGCCGTGTGCCAGCAGCGGGTTGTAGTAGCCCATGAGGAGCACGGGCGTCTTGAGGCCGAGCTGGCGTGCCTCGCGCACGTAGCGCAGGCACGTCGTGTAGTCGACGCCCTGCTCGAGCGCGACCTGTGGAGACGGTGGGTCAGCACACAGACGCTACGGGCAGCTGCTGCGCACAGCGCAGACCAGGCACGCACCTCATTGGAGCGCTGGATCGCCGGACCGTCGGCCTGCGGGTCCGAGAACGGCACGCCGAGCTCGATGATGTCGGCGCCGCCGCGCTCGAGGGCGAGCAGGATGGAGACGGTGTCATTCTTGGCCGGGTAGCCGGCAGTGACGAAGGAGATGAAGACGGCCTCGTTCTGGAGCAGCGGAGCGTGAGCAGAGGCAAGCGCCGAGCCGCGCCGGCGCACGCACCAGCTTGGCCTTCTCGGCGAAGGTGGCCCGGATGGCCTCGGTCATGCTGGGCGTGTGCGATGGAGCGGCGGTGCCAGATGGCGAGTGGCGAAGCGATGCGATGCGAGGTGTGTGTGGTAGTCTGTTGGCCGCGCGTGCGAGGTGGTGCGGACGCAGGAGGCAGGTGGTGGTGGGTGGAGCAGGAAGGAGCGAGCGCCGCTCCCGCCGGCCACTTTCGCGTCGCTGCAGCGAGCTCGAGAAGGCCGAGGCGTCGCAGCCGCAGGCGGCCGGCCCGCTGGGGGTTGCGCCGCGGCTGGAAGCGGCGCGCGGCGGTGGCGCTGCCATGCTTAGTCAGAGTCAGGCCCAGAAGCTCTCCCCCCCCTCAGTGACTCGACCCGCGGGGCGCCTCATCAGCAGCTTGCCTCGCATGCATTCACAGCACAATCAGGCGCTCGCTCTGATGAAGCTGCGGGCTCGTCGAGAATGTGTCAAAAGCCACAGCGTGATGCCCGAAATAGCCCTGGGGCTGAGGTCAGCTGCTTCCTCCGCCAGGGGACCGTCCGCATCTGCCGCTCTGCCTCGGCGCCTGGCTGACGCTCTTGCAAGCTGACGACGCCTGCGCGTGAGGTTCGGCACGCCTCTGCACAGGCTACGCATGTGCCCGGTTCTGGCATTGCTTGTTCTGCTGCCTCGGATGGGTGATGATGAGACTAGGATGGGCAGACACGTGACAAGGCCGGGTGAACGAGGCGCGCGCGCGCGAGTCATGGGAAGATCCGCTCGCCGCGGCGGCCGGCGATAAAGAATGCGTGGCGGCCGTGCGCTGCTGCCAGCCAGTCCAGGCCACAGCCGCGCTCCTTCTCACCCCACCACATTCCACACACCATGACTGCCTCTGCCATCCCGGGCCTCGCACCGCAGGCGGCCGCCGCCGTGGCGCAGCTCAAGCCGGCGCACTTTGAGCTCGAGCGCATCATCCGGCCCAACATCCTCAGCCTCGCGCCGTACCGCTGTGCGCGCGACGACTACCAGTCGGGCATCCTGCTCGACGCCAACGAGAACAGCCTCGGCCACAGCCTGCCCGGCGCCAGCCAGGCCAGCGGCAGCGGCAGCAATGGCGCCGGCGCCGGCGCCGCCTCGCTCACCGCCAGCCCGGCAGCGGCGGCGGCCATCGACGCCCTCGGCCTCAACCGCTACCCGGACCCGTCGCTCTTCGGCGTCAAGCCGACGCTGGCGCGCCTGCGCGGCCTGCCGAGCGAGGACCACGTCATGCTCGGCGTCGGCTCGGACGAGGTGCTGGACCTGCTGCAGCGCATCACCTGCCGCCCGGGCCAGGACAAGATCATGATCTGCCCGCCGACGTACGGCATGTACTCGGTGTGCGCCGCCGTCAACGACGTGCAGGTCGTCAAGGTGCCACTGAAGACGGCAGGCGGCGACTTTGGGCTTGATGTGCCGCAGGTACGTGTCGTGCAGGCAACGCACTTCCTCTGCCTGCCGCTCACTGCGCCTTCACAGATCCTCAAGACGCTCGCCTCCACGCCCGACATCAGACTGCTCTTCCTGTGCTCTCCCGGCAACCCGACGGGTACACTCCTGCCGCTCGATGCGGTCCGCGAGATCCTCGAGTTTCCAGACTGGAGTGGCCTGGTCGTGGTGGATGAGGCGTACATCGACTTTGCCGAGGAGGAGCTGCGGCTCGGCAAGCGCGCCGAGCAGCCGTCGGCGACGAGCCTGCTGAGCGAGTACAAGAACGTGGTCGTGACGCAGACGCTGAGCAAGGCGTTCGGCCTGGCCGCCATCCGGTAAGGGCGATTTGTGGGACATGCGCAGTGCTGTGCTGACTGCGCGCTCTGCAGGCTCGGCATCTGCTACGGCTCGCCCGCTCTGATCCAGATCATCAACAACACCAAGGCGCCGTACAACATCAGCGTGCCGACGGCGCACCTGGCCTCGCTGGCGCTCTCGCCAGAAGGCCTCGACCTGATGCGCAGCAACGTGCGCCTGCTGATGGAGAACCGCGACGAGCTCATCGCGGGCCTCAAGCAGCTGCAGTGCACGGGCGAGATCCTCGGCGCCAACGACGCCAACTTTGTGCTCGTGCAGGTGCTCGACAAGGCACGGGCCGACGGTGGGCGGCCCAGCGGCGAGCGCGCAGAAATGTGCTACAAGCGCATGGCCGAGGAGAGAGGCCTTGTGGTGCGCAACCGCAGCAAGGTGCGTATGCGGCGGCGCGTCTGGCTCAAGGCGCGGCTAACACCCCACTGCAGGAGCTCGGCTGCGCTGGATGTCTTAGAATTACAGTGGGCACCAAGGAGGAGAACGCGAAGTGTCTAGAGCTGATGGCGGAGCTGCTTGGGTGAGCGGGTCAAATGAGATGCAGTAACACGGCGCGCGATGGCAGGGTGACGGAGGGCTAGTCGCTCGGCGGGCTGGTTGTTGCCTCGAACGCCTCAGACGGAAAGGAGAGGTCGCTCGTGTCCGCTGGAGCTGCGAGAGGAGCCGCCGGTGGCCGCGGCATAGACGGAGTGGGTATGAGAGGCGCAGCGAGCGGTGCCAGATACATGGCCAGATGCGCAGTGACGAGGCTGGCCGCGTGCGCGCGGTCGATGGGCCGCAGATGCAGGTGGTCCCTCTGCAGCGCTGCGTCAGAGCAGGAATGCATGGCCAGCGGCGTGAAGGACTCACAAGAGCGGTGCATGTGCCCGCGCAAGTGACGTTGTAGCAGGCCAGGTACGCCTCGTCGCGCTTCTCGTAGCCGCGGCCCAAGAGTTGGTGATGCACGAGCTTCTTGACGGCCGCCTTGTTTCTCTGCTCTATGGCGTTGACAGCCTTGGCACCGTCTGGCACATCGCTGCTCGCGCCTGAGACGGACGGCAGATCGAACGTGTCGGTGGCAGGCGAGAAGATCGATGCAGATCGCTCGCGCTTGATACGTGCTTGAAGCATCCCGCCACTGCCACTAGCTGCGGATGATGGTCTCGCGCGCTTCTCGCCGCGTCGACCGGGCGTGTGATTGCCGCCTCGCTTGCTCGGAGACGCAGACGTCTCTGCGCGAGACGGCGGAGGCGGAGAGGCGAGCCCTAACGGACGTTCCTCCTCCTTCACTGAGGCAAGGCCCATCACGTTTGGCGTGCTCGCGCTCTTTCGCAGCATCGCAGTCTTCGAAAGCGCGCGGGATGCGGGTGGCGCTGCCTTCGCGGCAGACCCTACCGCCGGTACGGCGCCAGAGGCTGTGCTTGCCCGTCGTGGTTGCGGCACGGCTGGCAGAATAGAGGCTGTGTCTTGACGGCCAGCACCGCTGCGCGAGCGTCCGGCCAGCATGGCTGACAGAGCGCCTGGCGGGCCATGCCTGTCAGGATGCGTTCGCGTAGCCGACCGTAGCAGCCTGAACTCACTGCGCGGTGCCGGATCTCCAGGTCTCGAGGACGGCCGCTCGGAGCGCTCAGGCCTACGCACGACGGTGCGGCCGACGATCATCTTCACCTTGCCTGCATCACTGTCCACGCCCGGGCGGGCACAGATGGCCAGCTGCAGGCCACCAGGCAGCGCAGCGGTTCGTGTGGCGCTGCTCGTGCTCGGCTTGTATGCCGCAGAGAACGGATCGTCGGCCTGCGAGGCCTCACGTTGGCTGCCGTCCGCCTCTGGCGCTGGTGCGCCGGCCTGCCCAGGAGGACCGCTCGCGTCATGCAGCGTGTCGAGACTGAGCTCGAAGATGCGAGAGCCGTCGTTGGCTGCCTCGGACTAGCAAATGCAGACTCGTGGTCAGATCTGTACTGGCTCACAACGAAGCACCTCATGCTGCACCGCTCGCGTAGACACCGACTCACCGGCTCCTGGCACCAGTGCCGCTCGAACCACGCCACCGTTGAGAGGCAGCGCGGGTCGACGTACATGCGCACGTCGCCGCTGCCGCTGAAGCCGACGCGCTGCTGCTGCGGCGCCAGCACCGCCGCTGCGGCGCGCAGCACGAGCGGGCGGTGGCGCAGCATCTCGAGCGCGAGGCACAGCTCCTGCTCGGGCGACACGCCGGCGGCGGCAAATACGGGCGAGCGACGGCTGACGAAGCACACGCCGGGCAGCGCCGAGCCGTCGCTGAGCTGCAGCTCGCCGCGCCAGAGCAGGCGGGCACGCGGCGGCGTCGGCTGTGCGCTGCCCGGCGGCGGCGGCGGGGGCTCGGGTGAGGGTGCCGGCCGCACAGGCTGCGCGAGCATGGCAGGCGACAAGCGAAGTGCGGCGGAGATGTGGGCGGTGGAGGAGGCGAGCTCGGAAGATGGACGCGTGGCCGGGACGCGTAGAGTGCGCGGCGCGGCGCCGCTCTGCTGCTTGCTCGCGAGCGTGGGAGCAGCTGGTGTTGGAGTTGGCGGCGGGCGTGGAATTGCCAGGCGCCCTGGCACCTGCTGCCGCACCCGGGCCTGCTCTCCGTTGAGCCCCTGCACCTCCCCTCAAGCAACGCCCATGCTGAGGCTGCTGCTGTGGCTCTGCTCGCAGCTGACACAAGCGAGGGTGCCGGCGGCGCTGCTCAGCGAAAGGCCGCTGCCAGGCGCGCTGCTGCCCTGTGCGACGCATGCGGGGCGCGCGCGGGTCCCTGTCCAGCGGAGCGTCCTGGTCGCAGCGCCGCGCTGCTGCTGCTGGCGGGCGCGAAGCTCGGCCGCAGGCAGGAGAGCAGCAACGCGCCGCACGCGGCGGTGCTTCGCTGGTTTCTACGCCGCGCGGCGGCACGCCAGCAGAGGACGCGGATCAGCGTGCAGCGGCAGGGCGAGATTGCGGTGCGGCGCGCCGGTCATTCAACTGCGCCGCGCTCCGCACACCGCACTCGCACTGACCCGCCGGCGGCCCAGCAGCTTGCTTCTCGTCCTCACACTGCTCGTCCATCATCGCTGCTTCCACAGGCTCGCTCCCACCCGCTCACACAGCGCGCCGCCATCTCGCTCGCCAGCGCACGCCGCATCACTCGCCGCCGCACAGCCAGCGTCGTCTCGCGTCGCGCGCCTCGCACTTCGCCGCCGCCGCCGCCGCCGCACCTTCTCGTAGTCCGCCGCTTCGCCAGCAGCAGCAGCCGCCGCGGCCATGGATCCCAGTGTGGCCCTGCAGGCCGCACCCGCCCTCGTGCCCGCCGGTGCCACGCCGCGCAAGCTCAGCGGCCGCTATGCGCTCGCCGACTTCAACATTGAGCGCACGCTCGGCACCGGCTCCTTTGGCCGCGTGCACCTCGTGCGCAGCCGGCACAACCTGCGCTTCTACGCCGTTAAGGTGAGCGCTGGGGCGTCGTCGCGCGGATGACACCGGGCATGGAGCTTGCGGCAGACTCGCCTGTGCGGCGTGTGCAGACCGTGCGGCATGCTTGCAGAATGTGACGCAGCGAAGCGCTGCTGGACGTGCAGCAGGCGGCCGTGGTCCGCGCGTGCTGACGCTGGCCCCACACAGGTGCTGCGCAAGGAGCAGGTCGTGCGCATGAAGCAGGTCGAGCACACCAACTCGGAGCGCGCCGTGCTCGAGGTGATTCGGCACCCGTTCCTCATCAACCTGTGGGGCACCTTCTCCGACCCAACGTTCCTCTACATGGTCATGGACTTTGTGCCGGGCGGCGAGCTCTTCACGCTGCTGCGCAAGTCGCAGCGCTTCCCGCACCCCGTCGCCAAGTTCTACGCCGCCGAGGTCGCGCTCGCCATCGACTACCTGCACCAGAACGGCTTCGTGTACCGGGACCTGAAGCCGGAGAACATCCTGCTGAGCGCCGACGGGCACCTCAAAATCACCGACTTTGGCTTTGCCAAGTACGTGCCGGACGTGACATGGACGCTCTGCGGTGAGTGCCGAAGAGGCGCGACAGATGCCCGTCTGCGAAGGCATCTCAGCTCACGCGACACGGCAGGCACGCCGGACTACCTCGCGCCTGAAATTGTCTCGTCGAAGGGCTACAACAAGTCGGTCGACTGGTGGGCGCTGGGTGTGCTGCTGTTCGAGATGCTCGTGAGTGACCGTGCCGCGCGAGGCGGCCCGTGCTGGCGCTGACACCGAGCGCAGGCTGGCCACCCGCCGTTCTTCACCGAGGACGGCAACCCGATCAAGCTGTACGAGAAGATCATCGCATGCAAGGTCCGCTACCCGCCGTACTTTGAGCCCGCCGCCAAGTGCGTGTCGCGCGTGCGCACAGAGCCTCGCAGCCCTGGCTGACATCTCCGCGCAGGGACCTGCTCAAGTCGCTTCTCACTGCCGACCTGACCAAGCGCTTCGGCAACCTGCACCGCGGCTCCAAAGATATCTTTGGGCACATGTGGTTCGCCGAGGTCGACTGGGACCGGCTGTACCGGCGCGAGATCCCCGCGCCCTACCTGCCCACGGTCACGGCCGACGGCGATGCCTCGCAGTGAGTAGAGCTCGCGCCGCTTGCTCACTTTCGCCCTGCTGAAGCAGCCGGCCGCCAGATTCGAGCGGTATCCCGAGAACGACCTCTCCGAATACACGATGCTCGACGCGCCCGACGTGTACGGGCACCTCTTCCCCGCCTTCTAACCGCCCTGCCGCCCGCTGCACTTCTCGTCGTCATTCCTTTCTCGCCTTCGCTGCTACTGCCCTCTTCCATCGCAATGTCATGCCACTGGAACGCATTGCATTCAGTGCCGCGCACGTCGCGCAGCCGCTAGCGTCGCTCCTCCCAGGCGTCGTCGTGCTGCACAGTCTCCTCGGGCATCAGCGGCGTGATCCAGCCGATGAGCTGGTCGTCCACGATGCGCCCGTCGCCGGCACGCTTCTGGAAGCGCCGCTTGACTGCCGCGGTAATGCGCCTGGCGCGTCCCGGCTCATCGTCCTCGTCCTGGCCGTCGGCGAAGAGGCGCACCTCGCCCGCCTCTGCGCCCGGCCCCAGCGTGTCTTTGCGTCCGGCGCGCCGGTTCGCCTCGCTGCGCTCGGCGCGGATGCGTTGCACGTAGCTGATGTCGTGCGCCTCGACGGCATGGTGCAGGTCGCGAGGCGAATGCAGCGCCGTCGAGCTCGTCGTGGGACATGCCGCGCTGAAGCGGTGCGCCGCATGGACGTGCTGCGCCAGCTTGACCATGTCGACCGGCAGCGAGGGCGCCTGGCGCGGCAGCGTGATGACTCGGCGGGCAGAGCCGCGCCGCAGGTACATCGTGTCCAGACTGCGGCTCGACCGCTTGAGTGCCGCCGCCAGACACGCTTCCGAGCCACGCCGCGTGCGCGCAGGCGTGACGAGTGAGAGGCACAGCGAAACGTGCGCCGCGCGTCCATGGTCTCCGTCCTCCGACGCCAGAAGACTCGGCGCGTACGAGGCGTCCTGCAGACGCGAAGGCGTGACGAACTCGATCTCGACTGCAAGGCGCAGCTGACCGGCGTCCTTGTCGCGCGGCGAGGACTCGGCGGCCAGTGCGGCGTCTGCCACCTCCTGAGGCCCTGCGGAGATCAGCGTGTTGCCGTACCACGCCATGGCACGCAGCAGTCCTTTCCAGCTTGGCGCGCGGATGGTGAAGAAGCTGGAGAGGTCTTCGCCGGTCACGACGCCCGAGCCGTCCGCTGGCGGCATGGTGAGCTGGATTGAGTTGGGGAAGCGTGCCTTGCCGTCCTTGCCGCTGCGATTGCGCGGGCTGGCCAGAAGCTCGGGCGCGAACGGCTCGCATGCGTAGCCCCAGTCCGTGCCCGACATTGTCGTCTGCGCGAACTCATGGACGCTCAGCCGCGAGCCCGAGCCGGATGGGTCCAGGCTGGTCGCGGCCGTGGCAGAGGAAGCAGACGAGGTGGAACGGCGGCTCGAAGTGCTCGCGATGCTAGACTGGCGCTCGAAGCTTGTTGCGCCGGAAGAGTCTGCTCGCTGTGACGGTCGGGCGTCGTGCCCCGCAGATGCAGACTGCTCCGCGACGGGCTGCGTTTGGTGTGAAGGACCTGCTGCGGGCGCGATCGGCGAGATAGCTGGTCGCTGCGCGTGTCTCTGGCTGCTCTTCGGGCTGAGCTGGGCTCCTGGCAGGATGTCGGGCTCGCCCTCCTCGCGAATCGCATCGTCAAAGCTGCCAATCGAGATGGTGGGTGACTCCGGCTCTTCGCTAGATCGCCCGCGGTCCCACTCGCTCTGCGTCAGCGCACGATTGGACCGAGCACGCGCAAGATCTGCGCCCGTTGGCTCCTTGGGCGGGGTTGGCGGACCTGCAGCGTCCTCTGCTGCGGCTGCCATCGTGCGTGGAGATACGAGGCGCGGCAGACGCATGGACGAGCCGCGCGGCTGGATCGGCGGCTCCCCTGCCTTCTCAGGTGGCCGAGGCGGCTCAACAGAGTCCGCTGCTGGCGGCGTGCTCTCTTGCACGACTGGCCGGAACTGTACATGAGCCGGGATCTCCGCCGGGGCTTCGGGTGGGCGATCAGCGCCGACTTCGGCGTACAGCGGCGGGGCCTCGGCGTCGTCGCCGAATGGATCATCGTCGTCGTCGCCGTCATCGTCGTGTCGTGCGTCGTCGGCGCCAAGCTCCGTGCCGGTCTCCGAAGGTGGCTCGACGATGACCTGCGGCAACGGCGGGCGCGGCAGCGGGCCGCGTGCGCCCATAGCGGACGACTCCGCCGCCGGAACGGGCGGCAGCGAGGCGTGTGGATCCGTCATGCGCATCGCAAGGCTGTACGCGTGGTCGTGTCGCAGGTGTTGCCAGTACGCAGCCTCGCCGACGGCGCCTCCGCGACTGACGAAGTCTTGAAGTGCCCGCTCCTCTTCATCGCGGCGACTCCACTCGCGCTCCATCTCGCGTCGGCTCTCCTGGAGCACGCGCTCCTCGATCTGCTGAGCCAGCGCCTCTTCCTCTGCGCGCCTGCGCTGCTCCGCCTCTGCCTCACGCCTGCTGCGCTCCAGCGCTTCGAGCTGCTCCCGCTCCAGCCTCTCCCGCTGACGCAGCCGCTCCTCGCTCGCTCTCGCACTCTCTGCCAACGCCAGGCGATGCGCTTCTTCCTCGCGCTCTCTGGCCTCTCGAGCGCGCTGCGCAGCTTCCTCGTCGCGGAGTGACGCCTCCATGACCTGTCGAATCATGTCTTCCTCCTCTGCGGCGGCGCGGGCTCTCTCCTCCGCAGCTGACTCTTCGATGGCGCGGATGTGCGCTCGCTCTTCATCCGAGAGGCCGTCGTCGCGCGCAGCGCGTCGTGCGGCGTCCGCTTCGGCCGAGCGACGCGAGGCTTCGATGGCAGCCTCAAAGTCGGCACGGCAGCCGGGACAAGCGGCGGCGTCATGTGGCACGCCGGAGCTGTCCTGGCGGTGCGGCGCCGGAGCCGGAGCCGACGCCGGCGGAGCGCTGCCGGCGACCTGGTAGCCGCCGCTCGCGGCGTGGAGCGACTGCGGCCGAGATGGAGGGTGCGGCGAAGGAGCCTGGCTCTGAGGGTGCCTGTACTCCTGCCGGCCGGGCTGCAGAGCATGCGGCGGCGAGGGCGCAGATGGCAGCCGTCCGTGGAGGGACTGCATCGACTGCTGCGAGCTCGATGCATGAGGGAGGCTGGGCCGGAAGTGCGGGCTCGAGCCCGGACTCGGGCCGCCAGGTGGCTCAGGCCAGCCAGGCGCGGGAGAGGAGGAGTAGCGCGAGTGGCGGCTGTTGTGCGCGACGCTGCCAAACGATGGCTGGCGCTGTGGAGCTTGTTGCGGCGGCGCATAGGACCCTGGCACTGCCGGCGCGTTGGTGCCGTACGTGGGGTAGTGGTTCACAGCCACCGTCGGCGGAGGGTAGAGCGCAGGCGCAGGCTGCTGCTGCTGCGCAGGTGGGTAGGGCGCCGCGCCGGTGGCGTACGGCGGCAGCGCCATGGCGCTCGACTGCGGGCTCGGCGGGCCGGAGTGCGGCGGACGGGCCTGCCACGGCTGCTGCGGAGGCGGGTATGGCTGCCTAGGCAGTGCTGCGATGTGAGCGCAGTCAGGACGCACATCACAGCGCAGCACTCACATACTGACTCGGGCCCGGGATGCAGGCGTGTGGCGAAGCGGGAGAGCGGTTGCGGCCAGCGCGTGGAGTTTGAATGGATGGCAGCGACGGGCGCAGCTGCGCTCAGACGTGCCGCACGCTCGTGAGCGCGGCGGAGGCGGTCGAAGCGTCGCAGTCGCGGCGGAGTGAGAGCGTGATGGTGGAAAGCAGGCGGCGAGGATGATGTGGTGCTGAAGGTAGCTCTCAGCACGCCGGCCTAAGTCGAGCACGCTGGTGCTGCGTGCGTGGTGGAGGTCCCGCGCTCCGGCGCCGGCTCGCCCTTCAGGCACGCGGCCAGTGTGTGCCTGCATGAGCGTGCCGCGGCAGCCCTCAGGCCAAGCGCTAAGCCTGCGCCGCGCGTGAGCACAGCCTCGCTCACCTCCGTCCACGCAGCCCTCTGGGTGCTGTCAGCCGTTTGCAGTCGTCAGGTGTGGCTCATATCCATTCAGCTGAATGCAGAGTGTTGAGGCAAGAGGCCGCACCAGCTAGCAGCATCATCATCACCTGATGAGCCTCGCATCGCGCTCGAAGCAGCAGCGTGCTCAGCCACTTGCTGATTGAGGGCATAGGGCGGGGCCGCGGCGAGCTAGGGTGCCGGCGGCGCGCGCCGACGGCGGGTAGAGTCTTAGTGGAAGCAGCAGCAGGGCGCAGCCGGACCCCTGAGGCACTCTACAGCACCGCCTCGGCCACCGCATCCTGCAGCAGGGGCAGAGCTGCATCTGGTGCTGCACCAGCTGCAGGGCTGGAGCTCTGCAGCACGTCAAAGCAGAAGGCGGCGTGAAAGATAGGGCATTCAAAGTACAGCGAGGACGAGCAGCGCGCCGAAAGGGGCCGCAGGAGGATGCCGGGCCGAGGGGTCGTACATAGAGAGCGCGGCGCACAAGAGACGGGGGAGGCGGAAGAGGGCGGCGAGATAGAAGGCGAAGGCGTGACGAGTGGGACAGCGAGGGAGACGCAGGCGGAGAGGAGAGGGCCGTGTCGAAGGGGGCTCACTCGAGCGGCGAGAGGAGCGCGTTGAGCGCCTTGAGGCCCTTGGCCACGCCGTAGCTGGCGCTGGCCATGGTGCTCTTCGTCGCCTTGTCAAACGTCGGGCGCGACTGCATCTCCGAGAGCTTCTCGCAGTCGACCGTGAGCGCCTGCAGGATGCGCTCGCCCTCGGCGGCGCGCGGCCCCGCGGGCAGGTTGTCCTTCGAGATGGCAATGATGGACGAGACGATCGTGGTGATCTGCTCGAGGTTCTCGTTGAGCTGCACGCCAGTCGCGCCCTGCAGAGTGAGGCGTGAGCATAGGCACGGCGAGGCAAGGCCGCACCACGCACCTCGCGGATGGCCGACAGGAGTGCCTGGATGGCGTGCACGATGCTCTCGGTCTGCACCTCGATGTAGTTCTGGCGAAGAGGCGAAGAGTCAGTCGCGCAAGCAAGCCGCGCTGCAGCGCTCGACACTCACCCGCAGCTCGGCCCAGTTCTCCTCCGAATCGTCCGTGCCCGGTGCGGCATCTCCGTTGCCGTACCGGCCTGGGCTGCGCGGCGGACTAGCGCTCGACGAGGAGCGCCGCGTCGTGGTGTTGCTGTTGATGCTCTTGGAGCGCAGCGCCTGGTGGATGTCTGGCACAGCCGGCGGCGCAGCATTCCCGTTGGCTGCCGCGGCACTCGAGGTGCTCGAGATGCTCGCGGCACGCTGGCGCTGCTCGCCGCGCCACGAGACCTCGCCGCCGTGGCTGTTCTTGCGGTTCACGTCGGGCCGGTAGCCGACGGGCGAATAGCGACCCAGCGTGCCGTGCGTGCGCGGCGAGAAGCGCGCACCGTCGCTCGCAGAGTTGGGGTTGAGCCGGTCTTCGGCCTGCGTGGCGGGCACGCGAGGGCGGAACTCCGCGCCTGCAGACAGCGAGCTCGGTGAGAAAGGCGTCTCACGCGAGGAGCTGGCGCTCGCCACGGCGTTGATGTGCAGAGGCTTGAGGCCGTTGGCCAGCGTGCCCTGCGCGAACGTGGCCTCCAGCTCGTCGGTCTCCGACTGGCTTGCCTTGCGGATTTTGAGCAGCTTGGCCAGGTCCACGACGGTGGACGAAACGTGGCTTGCAGCCGCATCGAGGAGCGACACGGGCGACATGCCGTGCGACGAGGCGTGGTTGCGGCAAGCCGTCATAAGGTTGTTCAGCGTGCCTGAGGCCTTGCTCTTCAGCAGCACCAGCTGCTCGCGCTCCTCGGGCGAGAGCTCGCTGCCGTTGGTCGTCTCCCACTTGATGGCGTCGTCTGTCACGAGGGTCGTGGCAAGCACGACCGTCTTCATCGACAAGAGCACGCTGCCGGGGCTCTTGGAGCGCGCGGCAGACAGCAGCTCGTCGATGGAGCTCTGGAACGCCGTCAGATTGATGTCGGCAATGGCTCCGCGCTCCGTCGTCTGCATCACGTCGTCCGCCTTGGGCGGCTGCACGAAGAGCTGCGACGTGGCCTTGAGGGCGCGCAGCTCCGTCTTGGCGCTCTCGTACTTGCGCTTGTAGCCCTGCATCTGGTTGTTGAGATCGCGCACCACCGCGAGATCCGACTCCTTCTCCGCCTGCATTGAGTCGTTGCGCGCCGAGAGCTGCCGCAGCTCGTCGAGCAGCGACGTGACCTCTCCGCGGAGCTCTTGCACGAGCTAACAGAGCGCGTTAGCAAATGCGCGACAGGCTGGGCGCGCACGGCTGCTCACCTCTTCCTGATGGCTGTACTCGCTCTGCAGGCTGGAGAGCTCCTCTCGCAGCTGCTCGACAGACTCAGAGTCGCCGCGCGCCTCGCGCTCAGTCTGGAGAGCCTCATGCTGCGAGCGCAGCTCGTCGAGCTGGCGCAGCGTACTCTGCAGCTCGGCACTGGACTTGTCGTGCCGCTCTCGTGATCGCGAGGCATCGCGCTCGAGCTCTTCGTGGCGCCGCTTCTCCTCCTCGACGTCCTTCTCCAGATCCGCCTGCCGCTCGCGCGCAGCGCGCATGTCGGCCTGCCACCGCTCGCGCTCGCGGCGGAGATCGTCAGCCTCCTCGCGCGCCTCAGAGGCTTGCGTCTCCAGCGTGCCGACGCGCTGCTGCAGCGTTGCGATGCGGAACTCGTAGTCTGAGCGCAGCTTCTCGATACCAAACGTTGACGGCGGCTGCGGATCGAGCGTGAGCCTCGCTGGCTGGTGCTGCGCGCGCAAAGGAGTCACCACTCACCTCGCGTGATCCGAGACTCGGGCTTGCGATGCTCTCCGTGCCCCGGCTGGCGGCGTAGCCGTTGAAGAAGCCCGTCCCCACGCTGCTGGCCTGCGAGTACATTGTCTCGCGGCGCTCCTCGTGATCTGCTGCGTCGTCCGAGTCACTTGCGCGTGCCCGCGCGCCGTTGCTCGGCCGTGCAGGACTCAGCGGGGCATCGCGCGACGTGCTTGCTGCACTCGTGTCGCCCTCTGCCGTCGAGTAGGGCACCGCGATGTCCTCCGACACCAACGTGCTCTTGGCCGGAATAATGACGTCTGCCGTCGTGCCCGCCGCCGACGTGGTGGACGCAGAAGCAGCAGCAGCCGCGGCCGCCGAGAGCTCGTCGCGCTCGCGGTGCATCGCCTCTGGCCGGAACTCGTCGCGCAGCTCCGGGAAGCGCCGCTCCAGTTCGAAGAAGACGTCTGAAGAGAGGTCCTTGAAGCGCGTCTTTGGCAGGGTGGCCAGCTTCTGACGCGCCTGGTTGCGCTTTGGATGGAACTCTTCGCGCACTGCGAGATGCGGCATCTCTGCGCGACAGGGCCTGCCTTCAGCAAGGGCGCATGCGATGCGCGCGCGCGCGCGCGTTGGCTGCCACTCACCGACACCGCTTCTGCCATTGCTCAGCCGCCGCATGAGCTCATCGTACACATCCGTGCTGAGCTCGGTGAACTGCTGCTTGCTCAAGCGGGTCAGCTTCTCGCGCGCGTTTGAGCGCGGTCCAGTTTGGCCTGCATGTGCGCGTCAGCGTGTCCGGCCGGTGGAGCGTGCGCGTCGGTGCTCACCCTTCTGCAGATGGCTGCGGAGGAAGCCCAGCAGCTCCTGATAGTGCGTCCGTCCCACACGCTTAATCTCTTCGGTGTCCGGGCGTGGCCGTCGCACGCGCATCTGCTCGTCGTCGTGCGCGCCGTGGATGGTCGGGTAGTCGACGGAGCCGCCGGGACCGCCGCGGCTCTGCTGCGAGGACTGGCTGCCGTTGGTGCGGCCCAGGCCCGAGGACGGGTGGTACGGCTGCTGCGCATAGCCGCGCTGCGAGGACTGGCTGCCGTTCTGCCGGCCCAGCGCTGATGAAGGCGGCAGAATGCGCGCCGAGCCGGGCGGCGACATCATGTCGCTGCCCGACGAGGACGAGGCGCCGGGCGCAGCGGATGCATAGGGCACGTAGCGGCCGGCCGCGCCGCCACCGCCGCCGCCGCCTGTGAGAGAAGAGGAGCTGGAGGCGCTGTAGGCATGCTGCGGCGGATTGGGCCGGTAGGACGCCATGGGTGCGGCCATCTGCGGGGACGGCGGCGGCGGCGGCGGCGGCGCAGAGGCACTCGGTGCACGCACAGCGAGGCCAGGAGAGGTCTGCGGGGCGGCAGCAGTCGCAGGCCGGCGCGTTGAGGATGTGGATGGTGTGGTAGAGACGATGGAGCAGCCCGGCGCGCTAGAGGGAGGGCGAGCTTGGCGGTGGTGGGAGCAGAGAAGGAGGCACGGCGGGCCGCGCACCGGGGTGCGGCGGGTGGGCCCAGCGCGCGCCCAGAGCAACAGCAGGAGAAGAGAGGCCGCACGCGCGCGGGTGGCACGCCGCGCGCGCGCCGGTTGCGGCGCGAGGCAGGCACGCGGCGCAAGCGCAGAGGCGCAGCGCGTGGGTCATCTCACGGACAAGAGGTGCCGCACCGCACAACACCTCCTTCTCTGCTGCCCTCCGAAGCCAGACCCGTACCTCTGCACCTCTGCCGGAGCCTACCGTACTCTGTAGACACGCAGAATGCAGCAAGTGTGCAAGTGCAGCCAGCGCACCCGGCGCAGACCGCGCCCGGCACCCGGCGCCAGAATGCTGTGCAGCATGCACAAGCGGCGCGATCGTGCTGCATGACTGCAGCCCAAGCAAAGCACAGGCAGCGGCAGCGCGGCGCGGAGAGAGAGGCTGCCGCTCTGCTCCGCAGCAGCACCAGCACACAGCCGCAGAGCGCAGCAGCAGATGCTGCATCAGGCGCAGCATGCAGCGTCGCAGGAGAGGGGCAACAACACGCGGGCGCGGTGCGGCGCGGCGGCGGCGCAAGCATGCACGTCAGACCGGCGGGCTGCGAACGCTGGCGCGCAAGGCGCAGCTTCAACGAGCACCTCGGGCGGCGGGCGGCCTCCGTCCGAGGCCCACGCAGACGAGGACGCAGCAGCAGCGCAGCAGCTCTGCCATCGGAAGGTGATCTCGGGCTGCAAATTAGAGCGAGCCTGGCCACCTTGGCGTCTTCTCGGCTGACGAGCTGGCATCTCGCACAACACTCTCGCGGCCGCCGGCCATCGCATCTGGCGCCGCGCAGGGGTCCGAGCGCCGCTGTCGTCGATCCTCTCTCCACGCTCTTCGCTGCGGCGCACTCTGACACTCTGCGTCACTCAATCAAGCAGATGAGGCGCTCTGGCATCACAGCCTCCTGAGCGATGCTGATGCGGGCTCTTGGTCGATACTGATTCGCCATCTGCGCCGGCGGAAGATGAGAGTGAGCAGCAGGCGCAGGGGCTTCGGAGGCACGCCGGCTCGCGGCGCAGCCGGTACCACCGGCCCTCACGCGCGACCCCTGAGTCGTCAGCCAGCGCCTCCTGGAGGCCCGTTCACGTGAGCGTCTGAGGCAGGAGAGCAAGGGGAGGAGAGCGGTAACGCATAGGTGCAGGCGGCCGAGACGCTCAAGGCCCGTGGCAGGATCGCGACAGTCGTTGTGGGGACTTGCCCTCGGCGCAGCAAGCTCGCGTGTCACACATGAGCCTTGCGCTTGCTCTGGCCCAGCTGGCAGTGCAGCTGCCCGGCGAGAGCGTGGCATCGCGAGATGCTGCAGCTGACTTGAGGCATGAAGAGCCTTGTCACATCGCTGATCGGGACGGCTGAGGGTCGGACCGGAGGCAGAGAACGGACCGGCGACCAAACGCTGGACGGCGCGGACGGGGCAGCGGCGACGCAAGCAGCGCGCCCAGACGCAGCCACAAAAGATGCAAGCGGCACAGCTTCACGCGAGCGGATCGTGGCTAGTGCACACCCAAGCAAGGCTCAGATGCTGAAGATGCATAGATGCGCCCTCGAGTAGGAGGCAGGAGAAGCACCCAGCACCGGTGACCACACCTGCGGCTATCAGAGGGTTCATATTCTCCAAGTCGCGAGATTTGCTAATTCCGGCGCTATGCCAGAGTGGCAATGGGTGAGACTTGAACCTTTTGCATAAAACAACATCTCATGGCTTTAGCCTCCAGGGTTCGAACCCCTGTGGCGCCTTTCGCTTTTTGCTCTCCAGCCAGTTGCTGCCTTTTGCGCTTGCCGGCGCGCCGGCACGGCCGAGCCGCCGGGCCGTGGCTCTGACTCGGCACGGACGCATGTCCGGCGGCGGCGCACCCCGGCGGCTTTCTTCCCGTCCACATCTCCACACGCGAGCCCGCCCTCCGACACCCCAGCAGCCGGCATGTCGACGTCGCGCTCGGCCTCGCGCGCGGCGCTGCGCCTTCTCCACTCGTCGTCGGCGTCGGCACCACACGCCTCCTCGTCGGTGCTTGCCGTGCGCTCTGCGTCGGCGTCGACGTCGAGCGTCTCCTCCCCTCGCGTCTCCTCCCCTCGCGCCTTCGGCACCGCGGCGCCGCTCAGAAGCGCATGGCCCGCCGGCGCACAGCCCGAAGACGCCGATGCAAACCGCCGTGCTGCGCCGCGGCCGCCCCGCGAGAGCGGTGCGCAGCCAAAGCGCTTCCGTACCAAGGGCGTGCGCGAGCTGCGCGAGCTCAAGAAGGAGGGCACGCCCATGTGAGTGTTGCTGCGACGCCGCGGTGCTGCGTCTGGCGGGCCGCCTGCACCCTGGGCCCCTTCATCCGCTCATCCCCGCGCGCAGTACCGTCATGACGGCCTTCGACTACCCCACGGCGCTCTCGCTGCGCGCGGCCGACGTCGACATCTGCCTCGTCGGCGACTCGCTCGCCAACGTCGCGCTCGGGCACGCCTCGACGCAGCAGCTGCCGCTCTCTGCCATGGTGCACCACGTGCAGGCGGTGATGCGCGGCATCTCGTCGCCGCTGCTCACCGGCCCGTCCATTGCGCCGCCTCCACTCGTCATTGCCGACCTGCCCTTTGGCTCCTTCTACGCCTCGCTCGAGGCCGGCGTGCGTGCGGCCACCGCGCTGGTGCAGGAGGGCGGCGCGCACGGCGTCAAGATTGAGGGCGGCTCAGAGATCGTCGAGCTCGTCGAGCGCCTCTCGTCGTTTGGCATTCCCGTCATTGCGCACATCGGCCTGCAGCCGCAGCGCGTCGCGTCCAGCTCGGGCTATCGCCTGCAGGGGCGCACTGCGGACGAGGCCTCTGCCATTCTGGCGCAGGCGCTCGAGCTAGAGGCAGCTGGCGCCACGGCGATTCTCATCGAGTGCGTGCCAAACCGCGTCGGTGCCGAGATTTCCAAGTGCCTGCAGATCCCTACGATCGGCATCGGTGCCGGGCCGGGCACGGACGGCCAGGTCCTCGTCATCTCCGACATCCTCGGCGACCTCACGTCGCCCGCTCACGTCCTTGCCGATGTCGCTGCTGCCGATGCGTCGACCAGCGCGCAGCTGCCGCTGCCGGGCGCATCCACCCCACAGCCGCCCAAGTTCGTGCGCGCGTTTGCCGCCCCTGTCGCCGGCGGCGTGACCGTCGGCAGCCTGCGCATCGCAGCGGTACGCGCGTACGTCGACGCCGTGCGCGCCCGCACCTTTCCGGACGCGCAGGCGGAGGGGTACAAGATGAAGAAGGAGGAGTTCGAGGAGTTCAAGCGGCGCCTTGGCGGTGACGAGAGGAGACAGCAGGTGTTCGAGCAGTTCATGCGGGAGCACGAGGAGGACTGAATGCGATCGTGCAGGGGCTCAGTGGGCGTGATGCTGGTGATGTACATGATGTGGCTGAGGGAGCGCGGGTAGTGTGTGATGATGGTATACGTGGAGGCGCGGCGAGCAGTTCGGGAGCGACGTAGCACGGGCAGGGCTTCAGCGCCGCTCAGTCGAGCACGATGACCTCCTCGCTCGAGCGCGCCTTTTTCTTCTTGGGCTGCGTCGTCTTGCTGCGCGGCTTGTCGCTCTCCTTGAGCATCGCCGCGCGCCTTGTCCGGCCCATGCCTCTGAAGAGCTCGCCGACGTCGGGCAGCTCTTCGCTGCCGCCGCCCTCACTCTCGCTCTCGCTCATCGCCCGCCGTCGCGAGCCTGTTGGGCGCGAGGGGTCCGAGACAAGGCGACGGTCCTTCAGCGGCGCGAGCGCCTTGCGCGCAGGCCGTGTCTCGAGCACCTCGACGTCGGACGAGGGAGCATGCTGCTGCACTCTAGCGGCGGGTGATGCGCGCTTGTGCACGCGCTGACCGCTCCCGCGCCCAAGATTCTCGGCTTCGGAGTCGGAGGACGTGAGCAGGTGCACCGTCTCCTTCGGCGCCGTTGCTGCGCGCCGTGCGGGCTGCTTAGGCTCGGGTTCGGGCGCAAAGCGCGGGCCCGTGGGCAGGATGAGGCCGCCAGGGCGGACGGGCGCGAACGAGCCGGGCGCGCCTTCTGATGGCTTCGCAGGCGAGACCGATCTACTTGCCTCGCTCGCCCCGCGTGCCGCACTGCGCCCGGCGGCGGGCGACTTGCGGCGAGCCGTTCGTGAAGCTGCATCCTGACGGGCTGCTTGTGGCCTCGACGGCGGCTTCCCGACTTGTATCTCCTCTCCCAGTCCCGGCGCCAGCTCATTTGCGCCCAGCTCCCTCGCCCACCCCTGCGCGCAGTCATTCTCCACCTCGACGTCCTCCAGACACATGCGCACAAAGACGTGCTCTGCCAGCGCGGCCGGAAACTCGATGCGATACGTCGGCGTGTAGTCCTTGTCGCTGAGGCGCAGTGCGGCGCGGCTGCGCTCCAGCACGCGGAGAGGCGGCCGCGCGTCCGTGAGGTACACGAAGCGAAAGGCGGACGAGGCAGCAGCGCTCTTGGCGGGCGACGTGTCTGCAGGCCGTGACGATCCGGCTGTCGATACCGGCGGGTCTGCGGTCTTGCTCTTCGCGGCTCGGACGCGCGAGCCTTGAGCCGGCGTGTCGCTCGCTGCCTCTTCAACGGCGGAGCCCATCTGGACTCCTTCGCGCTGCGCACACTCCGCGGCGATCTCAAAGCCCGCAGAGCTCAGGCCGAAGCGCGGCGGATTGCCGGTGCGGTAGACATAGCCGCGGTTGACGAGCGTCTTCATGCCTGACCACGCTGTGTTGAAGCTCATGCCGTAGGTCGGTGCGCCAGGGATCGGCGCGCGCGGCAGGTACGACGAGTCGGCATGCGGCGTCGCCAGCTCGATGATGCGGCTCTTTGACAGATAGTCGCGCGCATCTGTGCTGCCGGAAGGCCCTGCACCGCCCCCCTCCTCAGGCTCAGACTCGGGCAGAGATGACGTGGCGGCATACATCGCCACGAGGATGCCGTGTGCGCCCGATCGTGCGGCAGGAACGTATGCGCGCGGCGCCTTCTTGGCCGCAGCGGGCGCCTTGTCCGTAGCTCTCGAGGAGCTCGCCTTGCTGCTGCTGCCCGCCTTGGCCGCAGGCTGTGCCTTGCGCCGTGCCTTGGCGCGCGCATGGCCGTCTGCATCGCTCTCGGACGAGGCGTCTGAGCCGGCATCCTGCACGCGGCGCGCTGCTATTTCTCTCAGCGGTGTGGGAACAGACGACTGCGCGGGCAACTCACGTCTCTGCGGCATGGGCATGCCCTGCTCCTCGCACCACGCCTCGAGGCGCTCCGTGAGGCGCTGCACGAGCGTCTTGCCGACGCCCGCCAGCTGCGCGAGCTCGGCCGGGTGGGCAAAGGCGAGCGGACAGGCGCGCAGAGCCTCGTACGCCGTGTTGAACACGAGTGCCGACTGCGAGTGGCGCGCCTTGGCCTCGTCGCGCCACTGCTTGAGCCAGTTGGAGAAGAGCGTGCGGAGCGGCAGCGCCGTGGAGGCGGACATGCTGCCGGGGGCGCGGGATGCGGGCGAGGCAAGCTTGCGGTCGAGCGGCGCTGCACAGTCTCGCGCGGCGCGCTGAGAAAGCGCGGTGTCCAGACGGACGCAGCGAGGGAACGAAAGCTGCGCGAAGGGGGGCTGACGGCGGTGATGGTGGAGAAGAAGACAGCGCGATGCACGCGGCCGCGCGGCGGGTCGAGAGCAACACCAGCAGCAGCTGCTGCCTTGCGCGCGCACGCCGCGGCGCGCGTTTCGATTAGATTCTTATTTGCCCCGTCGCGCCGCCGCGCGTCAAGACGGAAGGCGCGGTCTCGCTCGGGCACCGGGCCGGTCGCGCGTCGGTGTGGAGCAGCGACGCAGCGGCATCGCGCACCTTGCCTTCCCTCATCCAAGCCCGTCTCTCCGTCGTCGCAGCTGCATCTTCGCTTCATGCCGGCAGCGCTGCTGCCTCGCGCTGCGCTCAGCGTGTCGCGCACGGCGCCGCAGCTCGTCATGGCGGCCGCCCGCACGCCGCACGCCAAGCTGCGCAGCTCCAGGCCGAGCCGGTCGGGCAGCAGTCGAAGCAGCAGCAGCAGCAGCAGCCGGCCCAGCCCCCGCTCCGCAGACGTGGCTGCAGATCTGCGCACCCTCATGGCCGCCTCGGCACAGCCCGTGGCGCTGCTTCTGCTCCAGCTGCCGTCCGGCTCCGCGAGCTCGCCGGCCGAGATCCACGGCGCCACGATCTCCTCGCTCGTCTCGCTCTCCGTCTCGCCTGCGCTCGTCGCCTTTAGCCTCAAGACGCCGTCTCGCGCTGCCAATGCACTGCTCGCGTCCGCGTCCTCGGCGCCGCTGGGACCAACGTTCACGCTCTCCATCCTCGCCGAGCATCACGCCTCACTCGCGGGCGCATTCGCGGCGCCGGGCCTCAAGCCGTGCACTCTCGAGGCCGGCGCGCAGCCGGGCACACTGTGTGCGAGCGATGCAGACCACCCGCTGGCGAAGGTCGGACTGCTTGCGTCGGTCGCCAGGGGCCCGTCGCCGATTCCACGCATCGGCGGAATAGGCAGTCTGGCATGCTCCCTCGTGGGCCGCGTGAAGCTGGGCGGCGGCAAAGCCGACGGCGCATCGGCGGACGCAGACGTGCTCGAGGCGCTGTCGATGGATGGACGGCTGGATCTGCCAGGGCACGACCCGGCGCAGGCGGGCAAGGAGGAGGGGGAGAGCTGGCTGCTGCTCGCGCAAGTGTGGCAGGTGGAGGGCGCGGACGACGGCAGCGAGCCGAAGGAAGGGCCGCTCGTGTGGTACCGACGAGGCTTCACCGGCGTGCGGTAGCGCTGTCTTATGCTGCGATCAAACCTCACGAGTGTCACTGCTAATCGCGAGCCGCCGAGACTGCGGACCGAGAGAAGGCGGCACTGCACGACCGGGGACAGGGCGCGGCGCCTGCGCTGGTCTCCCGTGTCCAACAGCTGGCTGAGCATCCCCATTTGACGGCCTTGGTTTCACGAAACGGTCAGCAGACGTCAGTTGCAGGCTGCGCTCACGCCTCGCAGCTCGGCTGGGACGGGCAGCACGCAGGCCGAGAGGCTGCGTATGGCGGAGCCATGCTGCCGCTGCCTGTGCCTTTGCGCCGCGCGCTGCGCCCGAGGCTCTCTTTCTGCGGAACGCGTGCCGGCGCGCCGCACGCCGCAGGCGCGGCCGCGCCGCGGGAGGCTGTGTGAGGGCGCATCATGCACGGCCGGCCAGGCCACGCGCAAGGAGGCGCAGCGTCCTGGCTCCCATCCGTCACACCTGCCGCATCCCGCATCCCGGCTTCAGCGCACTGCACACTCGCGGCATCAGCTCGACCCCCACCGACCGCGCTGTGCCCTCGCAGCGACGCCTCGTGCCCGCCTCTGCTGCGCACGCCTACTCCGACTCGCCGGCCCTTCTCGCCTCCTGCGTGTGCGCCCGCGCTCGGCCTGCGCAGCGGCAGGGCTGATCCGCCGCGATGGATCCATTCAACCCCGGGCCCGGCAGGGGCCCGCCAGAAGGGTTGGCCTCGTCCCGGCCGGCGCCCAGCTTCGGCGCGTCGACCGACTCGCTCGGCCTCGGCCCCTTCGCCGACGACATGCCCGCCGACGGCCGCCGCGCCCGCCCGTACCAGCCGTCACACGTGCTCGTCGACGCCGCAGATCCTGATCTGCTGGGCGACGACGACGCCGACTTCGGCGACAGCTACTCGTTCGGCGGCCGCTCTGGCTATCCGCCCTCGGGCACAGGCCCCGGCGCGGCGCCGCCCTCGATGCGTGCGCCGCCGTCGTTTGCGTTCGGCTCGCAGCCCGGCGCGTCACAGGACTCGGGCCTGCCGCTGCGCAGCCATGCGCAGGCGCCGGCAGGCCATTCGGGCTACTCGGAGCAGAGTCCATTTGAGGATGCCTACGCCTTTGGCGGCGGTGCTAGCTTCAAGACGATCGAGGCGGACGACGACAACGAGGCCTACGACGCCCCGTACCCAACGCGGGCTGGCGGAGGACGCGCGGGCGCGTCTTCCGCTGGCAATCCGCGGCAGCGCGGGGCTGCGGCGCCAGTGTCCGCCTCTGCGAATGCCGGACAGTCGCGGCCGCTGCCACGCGACTCGCCGCTCGACGGGCTGAACCGCTCGCTGCGCACGCTGAAGCAGGACCTACGCAGTCTGCTGGGCAGGAAGCAGAAGGAAGAGGCCAAGGGCGAGCGGATAGTGCGGCTCAACGACCCTGTGACGAACGACAGGGAGGGTGGCTTCGGAGACAACTGGATCTCCACGAGCAAGTTCAACGTGCTGAGCTTCGCTCCGAAGTTCTTCTATGGTGAGTCCGCAGCAGTGTGCCGGTGCGGCACGACACACGGCCGAGCAATGGGACAGCGTGCAGTACCCGCTCGCACATTGAAGGTGCAGACTCGCGACAGCGCTACACCGCTGCGTCGCTCCGCACGTGCCGCTCGCGTCTTTGCTCACACATCGCGCAGAGCAATTCAGCAAGTACGCGAACGTCTTCTTCCTCTTCACTGCCTGCATCCAGCAGATTCCCGGCGTGTCGCCGACGAATCGCTGGACCACGATTGTGCCGCTCGGGCTGGTCCTGCTTGCGTCGGCGTTCAAGGAGATCAAGGAGGATGTCAAGCGCCACCAGTCGGACGCCGAGCTGAACGCACGCGTGGCCCAGGTGCTCGATCCCGGGACCGGCAGTTTCGCGTCTCGTCGGTGGCGCCACATCCGCGTCGGCGATGTGCTGCGCGTTGAGAGCAACGAGTTCTTTCCGGCAGACCTCGTCCTGCTTTCGAGCTCGGAGCCCGAGGGGCTGTGCTACGTCGAGACGTCGAACCTGGACGGCGAGACGAACCTGAAGATCAAGCAGGCCAGCCCCGAGACGGCAAAGTTCACTGCGCCTCCGCCAGTGTGCGCCATGCGCGGCCACATGGTCTCCGAGCAGCCGAACAACAGCCTCTACACCTTCGACGCCACGCTGCACCTGCAGACAAGCGCCACGGCGGGCTTCAGCGGCGTGCCGATGCGGCAGGTGCCGCTCAGTCCGGACCAGCTGCTGCTGCGCGGCGCCCAGCTGCGCAACACGCCCTGGATCTACGGTCTGGTGGTCTTCACGGGCCACGAGACCAAGCTGATGCGCAACGCCACGTCGGCGCCGATCAAGCGCACGGCCGTGGAGAAGCAGGTCAACGTGCTCATCCTGTTCCTCTTTGTCCTGCTGCTGGCGCTCTCCATCGCCTCGGCCATCGGCTCCATCGTGCGCAACTCGGCGTACGCGGGCGAGATGCAGTACCTGCTGCTCAACGCCGACTCGAAGGGCAAGGCGCGCATCTTCGTCGAGGACATCCTCACCTTCGTCATCGCCTACAACAACCTGATCCCCATCTCGCTCATCGTCACGATCGAAGTGATCAAGTACCAGCAGGCGACGCTCATCAACTCCGACCTCGACATGTACCACGCGCCCACCGACACGCCCGCGCTGTGCCGCACCTCGAGCCTCGTCGAGGAGCTGGGCCAGATCGACTACATCTTCAGCGACAAGACGGGCACGCTCACGCGCAACGAAATGGAGTTCAAGCAGGCATCGATCGGCGGCGTAGCTTATACGGACGTCGTCGACGAGAGCAAGCAAGGCACCGGCGAGATCGGGCCCGACGGGCGCGAGATTGGCGGGCAGCGCACGTGGCACGAGCTGCGCGCCATGATGGACGGCAGCATTGCCGACGACGGCTCGAGCGCTGTGATCGACGAGTTCCTCACGCTGCTCGCCGTGTGCCACACGGTCATTCCCGAGGTCAAGGGCGAGAAGATCACGTACCAGGCAAGCAGCCCCGACGAGGCTGCACTGGTCTCCGGCGCCGAGAGTCTTGGCTACCGCTTCACCGTGAGTAAGAGCACGCAGCTGCCAGGAAGCCGCAGCGCTGAGCCGCATACACTCGCAGGTCCGCAAGCCGCGCTCCGTCTTCATCGAGGTGCGCGGCATGCAGCAGGAGTACGAAATTCTCAACGTGTGCGAGTTCAACAGCACGCGCAAGCGCATGTCGACGGTCGTGCGCTGCCCGGACGGCAAGATCAAGCTGTACTGCAAGGGCGCCGACACGGTCATCATGGAGCGCCTGAGCAGCACGCAGCCCTTCACGGAGCAGACCAACATCCATCTTGAGGTGGGTGTCGTGATGGATGGAACGGCTGTAGAAAGGGGGACGACCCGCTGACACTCACGCGCACAGGACTATGCGACGGACGGCCTGCGCACTCTCTGCGTGGCGATGCGCGAGATTCCGGAGCAGGAGTACCGGCAGTGGGCGCGCATCTACGACCAGGCAGCCTCGACGATCGTCAACCGTGGCGAAGCGCTCGACAAGGCCGCAGAAGTCATCGAGCGCAGCATGTTCCTCCTCGGCGCCACAGCCATCGAGGACAAGCTGCAAGACGGCGTGCCCGAGACGATCCACCACCTGCAGACGGCCGGCATCAAGGTGTGGGTCCTGACGGGCGACCGGCAGGAGACTGCCATCAACATCGGCCTGTCCTGCCGGCTGATCTCCGAGTCGATGAACCTGGTGCGCCCCACTGCGCTGCCGTCCGCTCCTGCTGCGCTGATCTTATCGCCGACGTGCAGGTCATTGTGAACGAGCTGACGTCGCACGACACGCACGCGTTCCTGGCGAAGCGCCTGGCAGCCGTCAAGGCCCAGCGCGAGGCGGGCGAACATGAAGAGCTCGCGCTGATCATCGACGGCAAGAGCCTGACCTTCGCTCTCGAGAAGGAGCTCTCGAAGATCTTCCTGGAGCTCGCAGTGTTGTGCAAGGCCGTCATTTGCTGTGAGTGCGCGGACGGCCTGGCCCTGACCGTGCGGCCCGCTCACCGTCTGCGCCTCTGCAGGTCGAGTCTCGCCGCTGCAGAAGGCTCTCGTCGTGAAGCTCGTCAAGAAGAACCTCAACAAGCTCCTGCTCGCCATCGGAGACGGCGCCAACGACGTCAGCATGATCCAGGCCGCGCACGTCGGCGTCGGCATCAGCGGTGTCGAAGGCCTGCAAGCCGCGCGCTCGGCCGACGTGGCGATCAGCCAGTTCCGCTATCTGCGCAAGCTGCTCCTTGTCCACGGCTCCTGGAGCTAGTGAGTGCCTGGGCCGCGCGCTGGCCCATGTGCGCCCAGCTGATGCGCCCCGCCCGCAGCACCCGGCTCAGCAAGATGATCCTCTACTCGTTCTACAAGAACATCACGCTGTACATGACGCTCTTCTGGTACTCGTTCCAGAACTCCTTCTCCGGGCAGGTCGCCTTTGAGTCGTGGACGCTCTCGTTCTACAACGTCATCTTCACGGTGCTGCCGCCGCTCGTCATCGGCATCTTCGACCAGTACGTCTCGGCGCGCATGCTGGACCGCTATCCGCAGCTGTACGGGCAGGTCTTCTTCAACAAGCGCCGGTGAGTGACGCGTGTCCGCCGAGCCAGCGCCGAGTCGCATCCTGACGCACAGATCCAGCTTCTGGGGCTGGACTCTGAACGCCTTCTACCAGTAAGTGCCGGGCTGCGCGACGCGAGACGGCGCCGGCTGACCGCCGTTGCCGCAGCTCGCTCGTGGCCTACCTCTTCGTCACGATCACCTTCTGGAGCAACACGCAGCTCAACGGCGGCTACAACTCCTACTCATGGATCTGGGGCAGTGCGTCGGTCGGGCCCTGGCTGGCGACCGCGGCTGACACTCGCACCCGCAGCAACGCTGTACCTGGCAGTCCTCGCGACAGTGCTCGGCAAGGCGGCGCTCGAGACGACGCTGTGGCAGAAGTACTCTTGGCTCGCCATTCCGGGCTCCTTCGTCTTCACGCGTGCGTCTCGGCAGCTCGCAGTGCCACAGCAGGCAGCTGACAGCCCGCGCAGTCGGCTTCATCGTCGTGTACTCGGTCGTCGCGCCCCGCATCGGCTTCTCCAAGGAGCTGTGAGTCCTGCACCTGGCCCCGCCATCACCGCGCACTGACACCTGTGCCCTCGTGCACAGCGACCACATCAACGGACCGCTCTTCGGCTTCAGCCTCATGTGGCTGCTCATGCTCCTCGTGCCCGTCGTCTGCCTGCTGCGCGACTTTGCCTGGAAGGTGAGTGCGCCGCGCGGGCACCTCGGCAGAAGCACGACTGACCCGACGTCGCCCCGCAGTACGAGCAGCGCACGTACCGGCCGAAGAACTACCACGTCGTCCAGGTGGGTGACTGGCATCGCGGCCCTCCCTGTCCCGCCGCTGACAGCTGCTGGCCCTGCAGGAGGTGCAGAAGTACAACTTGCAGGACTACCGCCCGCGCATGTCGCAGTTCCAGCAGTGCGTCGTGCGGCAGCTCTGGCGCTGCAGCCCATCGCTCACCCGTCCATCGGCAGGGCCGTCCGCAAGGTGCGGGCAGCGCACCGCCTCAAGCGCACCCACGGCTTCGCCTTCAGGTACGCCTCTCCGCGCACCGACGCGCTCCTCACCCGTCACTGACGCCGCCCATGAGCAGTGCAAGCGAGGTGCAGGGAGAGCAGGCGAAGCTCATCCGCAAGTACGACACCCAGGTGGTGCGGCCAAGCGGCTGGTGACCGCCTCACGCCGCCGTGCGCTGCTTCTCGTGTATCCTGCGGCCCGCCTCGCACGTGCGGCTCTGTCAATGCAACACCTCTGACGGATCGTGGCATGCACACCCATGCGTTCATCCCATGATGCAAACTGCTCCTGAGCTGCTGCCGCGAGGGTCAGTGCGCCAGTTCAGTGCGACATTGCGCATGCGCGAAGGCCATCGTCAGGTGCACTGCGTTGGTCGATGACCGCTTCTGCGTAAGGTCTCAAGCACAGCGAGGTGCGCTGCTGCGTCACGGAACGGCCGACATGCGGCGAACTTTGGCCCGGCCAGCTTGCGTCGCCGCGGCGCCTTCATTGCACCAGAGAGGCGCTGCTGGCGCCATGTGACCTCTTCGGCCGCGACTATTGGTACTGCGGCATAAAAGCGCGCGGCATCACCGCCTCGTCTGCGCGTCCTTTTACGGCACAATGCGGCCGCGTGCGCGAGTTTTCGGCCTGGCGCGCGTGCAGCAGCCCCCCTCTGACCATACTGCGCACTGCCTTGGCCATATGCTGCGATGAAAGACATCGTCGCGAGCTCCCGATGTTCACAAGCTCCAGTTGGCCGACGAGCTGCTTGGTCACTGTCGTCGGAGAATCATGCTGCGATGCCGCTCACCGCGCGATTGCCTCAGCGCCGCACGGTTGCCCCAGCGTCGCCGATCCTACTGCGAGCTTTGATACGTGCCTCCGTCGCGAGTGTGGCAAGGCAGGAGAACGCTGAGCCCCGGCCGGCGATGTTCGTAGTGCACTTTCACGACACGCGAGGGATACATTCGTCTGCTGTCGAGATAGAGCTCTTTAGGACGTCTCGGGCGCGTTAGGGTTAGGGCGCGTGAGGCATGTTATGGATGGACGAATGCATCACAGCGAACGATTCAGGAGCCATTGAAGCACCTTAGCAGGATGTCACGACTGACGAGGCGGGTTTGCATAGTAAGGGCACTGATACGCCCACCTAAGACTGCAGACGTCGCAGTGCCTTCAGTGGGCTCGCCAGCGCTGTGGACACCGCTCTAGGGTGCCAGTAGCAGCGCCCTGTTGACCAGGCGGGTCCTGAAGGACGTGCGCGGCGTCGGCAGGGGTCTCCGCAGAGAGGAGGCAGAGAGGCACGCGCGGGGGCGCGCCGCGGCACGGTGTTGATGTCGCGCGGCTCGGGACTCGGGCCACGCGCGCCGCCGCGCTGCATACGCGATAATGCGCGCGCGGTGAAGCACCGCGCCCGGTGAGGGTTCCGGACTGGCTTCCCACCTCCACCTCCTCCTCGCTCCGCATGCTCATGTCCGTCGCCCTGTGCGGGTCGCTGCGCGCAGCATTGGCTCGAGCAGCATTTCGCCTCGCTGTCCGCCAGATCACGACCTCCGCGCCGCGCGCGTCGCACGACAACCCTCTCGGCCTGCCGCGCAACGACGCGCCTCCGCAGCTGCCGCGCCGCGCCCGGGGCCTGCCACAACGGAGACGCGTGCCGTATGTGCGTCGCACCGTCGTTGTGAGCTCAGGTAAGGGCGGAGTGGGCAAGAGCACTGTAGCAGGTGAGTAGCTGCCAGCAAGGCGCGGCAGAGACGAGCAGACCAACACCCAGATGGTGCCTGTTGGAGGTCTTCTCCGACCCAGGCGGCAGTGTGCCAGTGCGCGATGGCCATGCCTTGGCTCGCTCTCTCTGATGCACGTATGGGCAGCGCACAGCACTATGGGCGCCCACAGTGCGACGCTTGCTGCGTCCACCTACTGTCGCACTGTTACGCTGACACGCGCCCGGCAAGTCAACCTTGCGCTGGCTCTGTCTTTGCTTCCCGCTGAGCAGACACAGCTCGACCGGAGGCTTCGCGTCGGCATCTTGGACCTCGACATCTTCGGACCTAGCATTCCCAAGCTCATGCGCCTCGAGAGAGCGGGTGAGCCGGCGCTCAGCGATGGTGAGTCGAGCCATGCCGCTCGTGGCGCTCGGACGTGCAGCACTGCGCGCATCGCTGCATCGCTCATGCACCGCTCCCGCCTGCTAGCCGGCTCATTGCTGCCTCTCACGAATCACGGGGTACCGTCGATGTCGATGGGCTACCTTCTCCCGCCGGCCGCGCGTGCCGGCGACGTCTCCGACGCACCCATCGTCTGGCGTGGTCTGATGGTGCAGAAGGCGACGCAGCAACTCTTGTTCGAGGTGGACTGGCGCGCGGCGAGCCCTGCCCAAGAGCCGCTCGACGTGCTCGTCATCGACATGCCGCCGGGCACGGGCGATGTGGCACTCAGCCTGACACAGCTGGTCGAGCTCGACGCGGCGCTTGTGGTCTCCACGCCACAGGAAGTAGCGCTCATCGATGCACGTCGTGGTGTGCGCATGTTCCAGAAGGTCGATGTCAAGGTGAGTCTTGGTGCGCAGGTGCATGCATGCACGGGCTCATCGCGACACACGTCAGATCGCCGGCCTCGTGCTCAACATGTCCCACTTCGTCTCGCCGACGGACGGCGCCTCGTTCCCGCTGTTCGGACCGCCCCACGCCTTCGACGCACTCGCCAGCGAGCTCGGCGCCCCTGTGCTTGCTCGCGTGCCGCTCGAGCCACACGTCGCTGCTGCCGGCGACGCGGGCCAGCCCGCGGTGCTGGGCGGCGGCGGGGCAGGACAGAGCGAGACAGTCTTCCTCGAGCTGGGACGCAGAGTCTGGGCGGGCTTGGCGCCCGGCAAAGTCGATTGCTAGCTACGAGTACAGCATGGGCACAGACACAGGCGATAGGGCAGAAGCGCCCAGGAGCAAGTTACAGCAGCTTCGCGCTCGCGAGCTCTGGGGAGCCGCGGATCACGTTCTCGTCCGCAGCAGCACTCGCCGGGCCAGCGGGGCTCGCGAAGCTGCGCGGCACGCTCCTGGAAGGCGTGCCCGCACGCAGCGGAGTGCGCGCACCCAGGCTGTGCGGAGAGCCGGGCGTCTGGTAGTGCGTCGTGGGCGCCGCAGCAGGCGAGGTGAAGCTTGCGGCACTGCCTGGCCGACCGCTGTTGCGGCGAGCGTCCCGACAGCTGCCGGCCCGGCGAGGGCGCACCTCGATCCATCGTGGCGCCGTCTCTTCATCGTCCGCGTCCGACTCAAGACCTGCTGCGGCGCTGAGCGGCGATGCAAACTCTGGGCCAGCGTGCGCAGGAGCGGCGCTGGAGGGCCGAGCCGCATTCATCATGCGCGACAGCAGCTTGCTGCGGCCGGGCGGTGACGCGGTGCCGCTGCGGTCCAAATGCAGCGTGTTGGTGGTGTCTGCAAGCGTGTCCTGGCTTCCGAAGATGGGGTCCCGGCCGAGCGGCATCTCGGTGTCGTGCGAGACCATTCTCGCAGCGTGCACGTCGAACTCTCCATCCTCGCTCACGGCGGAGTCGTCGTCCGAGCGTTCTGTGCCCCAGTCTGACGACATGCTCTCCTCGCCTCCAGACGTCAGAGCAGCACTGTGACCTGCGCCTCTGTGTTTGGGCGACGCGGCGCGGGAACGAGGGCCTTCGGCCGAGGTTCGCACCGACGCCATGTCCGCTTCGCGCAACGCCTGGCTTGGTGGCGAGCGTTCTCGCTGAGGCGAGCGATTCGCGGGCGAGAGAAGACCAAGCCATGCGCCGAGCTCGTCTCGCGACATCTCTGCGAAGTCCGCTCGTGTCGGCACGGGCACAGAGACCCGCAGCGCACGGCCGCGAGAGCCGCGCGACCCATTTCGGTGCAGCGGAACCTCGACGAGCGCCCCGCGGGACGTCCGACCCAGCCCCGAGTCTGCCGCAACGCCAGAGTACAGCCGAGCAGGAATTGCAGAGCGGCTCGCAGAACGGACGACGTGCAGCTGCTTCTGCGGAGCGCCGCGAGTCAGGTCTTGAACCGCCCGCAGCGCATCGCGAGTCGTCGCGGAGACGCGCGCGCCGCCGCTGGGCTGACGGGTGTGCTGCATGTGCTCTGGCCGATCGCGAGAGAGTGCATGTCCGCCTCTTCGTCGAGAAGCAGAAGTGTCCTGCTCGACTGCTGTCCGAGAGCCGAGCCTGTCGTCTGCCTGGCGCAAAGCAGATCCTTTTGGTCGAGTCCGGCCGCTGATGCGAGCGAGCCCAGAGTTGATGAGAGGTGCCGTGCGTGACCCGCGAGTGAGTGCCATGAAGATGAAGAGGATGAGAAGAAGGACAAGCTGCGCGATGCCGAAGCGCTTCTCGTGTAGGACCTGGCATGGCGTCAGTCTCGGCCGGCCTACGCCCACCCAGCGGTCGGCGCTCACCTCATTCGCAAGGATGTGCAGCTCTGCGACCAGGCGGCTTCGCTCAGCATCAGTCTGTTGGCGATGCACATCGAACTCGAAGATGGCCTGCTGAAGGTCTACTTGCTGTCGTCGTTTCTAATAGCGAAGCGAGTGTCAGCAGGGCGGCGCGCGCTGTGACCTCAGGAGCGGAACCGGGCGTGGAGGGCACGCTCACCAGTCCCTCAATCTGGCGCCAGTTGCTTGCGTTGAGCGCGCGCAGCATGTCGCCCATTCGCTCCTCCTGTCTGCGCTCCATGCGAGCGAAGACTTCGCGCAGTGTTTGCCCGCTGTGCTCAATGTACTGCAGCGAAAGTGTCGCGTTGGCTTCGAGCGCGTTGAGCCGCTTGGTGATCGTGCGGTAGATGCTCTCGCTGCCACCGCCACCGGACCCACCGCCGCCGTGACCGCTGGACGCGCCGGCACTGCTTCTACCATTGCCATCGGCTGAGCCTACGGGCAGCGTTGAGCCGCTCGGTGACGTGCTAGCGGCTGAGCTGGAGCTGGAGGCACTGCTGGAGAGCGCCGGCCTTCCGGAGTCCGGCGAGGACGCGTTGACGGCTGCTTTGGCATTGCGCTCTTCGCCACTCAGGCTTGGCGAGGGCGCCGCGGCGTGGTTGGCCTGTGCTCTGTGCTCGCTACTGGTGCTGCGCGCGACAGCCGACGGGGCACTGTCGTCATGCACTGCCGAGAGCCAAGCGCGGTCCTGATGAGGCGCTGCGCCAGTCTGCTTCAGCGAGCTCGCAACGGACTGCAACGGGAGAGAAGCAGAGGCTTGATCGTTGAGCTTGACACTTTCGGCGTCGAGCTCGCGCACAGGAGTCGCGGCAGAAGAGCGAGTAGGCTTCTCTGCTGCGGCTTCGTCGCGGCAAGTTGTTGCAGGGCTGCCGTTGGCCGCGTGACCGAGTGATGACAAGGGCGCTGTCTCGAGGTGATCCTCACGACCTAGTGTCGTCGGCGATGGCACAGGCGACCGTTGGGCGAGCGACGCGGAAGCAGGCGACAGCGAGCTGCCGTTCGCCGGCTGAGCGGCAGGATCGATCGTTTCCTGAGGTTCTGGCGGGTGCACATCGCCTCCTGCAGACGAATGTGTGGCGGAGGCACGGGGCTCTTGGCCGGAGACCACATCGAGATGCTCTGCCTGTTCGGCGTCGATTCGCTCGCTCCACTCTTGCCACTGGCCCTGCTCGCCAGAGCCCGGCTCGCCGGAATTGTTGTCTGCCTCCGAGTACTCAATCTCGTCAAAGGAGTCCAGCTCGCGGCTTGCGCTGTCGGTCCGGTCCCGCTCGCGGCGAAGCTCTTCCTCCTCGCGGATGTAGTCGTCCATCTGCGTCAGGCCGTACACGCGCAGGAGGGAGACGGGACAGTAGTACTCGGAGCCGTAGTGCTCGAGAAAGTCGATGCGCAGATAGCGGAAGAAGCGCGCGTCCGACTTGGGGGCGACCGTGTTGAAGACCTGCAGTCCGCGCACGTTGCGCGCACGGAAGGTGCCGATGTCCTGCCATTCCTCGTCTCGGCCCTGCAGGTTGCGCGCCACGCGGACCCGAAAGCGCTTGAACATGCGGCTGAAGAACTCGTAGTTGGCGAGGACGAGCGTGTCGATCGAGATCTCGTCGCACAGCTCGACGATGACGAACTGGCCTTCGGAGCGCCGCGGGCACGGCGACAGCATGTAGCGGTCCTTCTTCTCGCTCAAGATGCTGCTGGCGAAGCGCGCCGACGGATTCGAGCGATGGACCACGGCCGCGCAGTCGAGCGAAGCGAAGTTCCAGCGGTGCTTCAGGGTGGCCAGCTGCGAAGCAGGATTGCCTACAGCCGGCACGGCACCGGTGTCGGCGCCTTGGGCCGGTGCGACGAGCGTGACATGGCTGGCCTTCGCAGACGCCACCGCATCTCTGCTTTCGCGCTCGTTGTCTGATTCTGCAGGACTGGCAGGTGCAGCAGATGGCGCGAGGTGCCGCGTCGCTGCTTGCGATGGCGGCAGTGCGCTTTGCGGCTCGGAGCTCGCGTTCCGAGCCGTCTCAGTATCGCGAGCGTCGTCGCGGCGCCGAGCCTGGTTCTTCGTCTTGCGCTGTTCGTCCCGCTCGCGCGCTGCCGCATCGCGCTGCGCTTCTTCGTACGCTGCGCGCCAGGCCGCGAAAGACAGCCATGTGTCGCTGCCCTCGCCGCCAACACTCTCGCTCCAAATACTGTAGGCTTCCCGAGCCTCGTCTGCAGTCGGCTCGCGCGGCCCGAACATGGCAGGCTTGCTGTTCAGGTCGCCACTGCTTGTGCTTGGCGCCGCCTCGTCTTGCAGGAGAGGGACCGCAGCCGGAACCCAGTGCGACGTGCCGCCGACCTGCCGCCAGTAGCCCTCTTCACCATCCTTAGGCCAGGCTTCCGCTGTCGACGGCTCGCCGATGCGTGCGAGTGAGGGCACCGTGCCAGCGGAATCGCTCAGATCCAAGTCAAGCACAGCCTGTGGGTCCCGCGGAAGGGTCACCGTGCCGCTGACCGCCCATGTGGTCTCGGCCGCGTCGCCCACGGGCTTGTCGAGACTGAGAGGCGCCACTGGCGCCAGCGGGCAGAGTATGAGCTCAGAGCGCAGTTGGTGCGCGGACGAGGTGGCGCTGGCGCCCTGCGCCGGGCAGACGTCGGCCAGGAAGGAGGTTGTGCGGTGGCAGCCGGGCGGGATGCTGCCTCGCCGCGGCGCCACTGCCATGTCGCGCGGGGCGGCCTTTGCAGTACGCAGAGGCCCACCTGCTGGCGACACTGCGGCAGCGATCAACGTCGCCGCTGCCTTGGCGGAAGGAGATCTAGCCGAGACCGCCATAGGCTCGCCGGGATCGAAGAGGGCGAGCGTGGTGTGTGTGCACAGCAGCACGGCCACCAGCGCCAGCCGCACCCAGGCCGCCGGCACACTCCGCACGCCGCTGCGTACGCCTGAGCGGCGCGGTGCGGGTGCCGCTTTCGCGTGGCCTGCGTGCACTGGCAGACGCTGAGCAGCTGGCGAGAAGGGCGAGTGCAGTCGCAGCATGCCGTCCCGCGCCCTGTGCGGCCGGGCGGACGAGCAGGGTGCAGACGGCGGCGCCGCGCGAGGGGCGCGGCTCGTGCCGGCGGACGTGTCTGCGTGCGCTGCCGCAAGCGCATCGGCAAAGCTGGGCGCATGGCCCGGAGTGGCGCCGGGCATGGCGAGGCGGGCAGCGCGAGGAGGGTGGCAGGCGCGCAAATCGGGATGGGGGAAGTGCAGCAAGCGCCAGCACGGCGGGGAGCCGGCGGCATCCACTCGCCTCTGCTGCCGCCTGACGTAGCGCCGCGGTGCGCCACGCGGGCAGCCGCCGGCTATGCGCGTCCGCGCGCCAGCCCCTTCCTTCCCGCGCCTCCGCGATCCTCCAGCTGACTCGCGCCTCAGGAGGAGTTCCACGCCAGCCTGCTCACGAGCCAGACTCATCGCAGGGCACAGCGCAGCATCTTGCGTCGCTCACGTCCGGGTCAAGAGCGCCTCTTTCGGCGGCTGCTGGCCGCGGCAAGAGCTCGAGCCTCGTTAGGCGCAGGAAGCTCGACGAAGCGCTGCCTGGCTTCATGCAGCGTCCGGGCCGCGCCTCGTCTTTCCAGCAGCTGTGGACCGCTGGCATCATGCGCAACTGAGCAGCGCAGATGGCTGGAGCATCCCACCGACGCCAAAGGACAGGAAGAGCACGTGTGCGTCGCTGCACCCCGATCGTCCATGCTGAAGCTCATCAGCAGTCTGCGCACGCTCCCCACCCGCCTAGCGACACACCGCGGCTGGACGTCGCGCAGCGCATCCTCGAGACGCTTTGTTCGGACAAGCAGCAGCATCGCACTCCCGTGCAACCGGCGCGCTGCCTGCACAGCACGCCCCATGTATTCCCTGCCAGACTGCGTACGTCACTCGCCGGCAACGTGCATTTAGTGCGACGGAGGCGGCGTGTCTGAGAAGCGCGTGAGGCGTCAGCAGGCGGCAGCGGGGCGCAGCTCCGTGCGGGCTCACAGAGGATCTTCCGGTTCTTGACACCTGCCCACTTGAAGCGCTTGACCCTGGAGAAAAGCCGCGTCAGCCACATGCCCTGGTCCTCTCGCGAGACTCTGCGCAGCTGCGTCACTCACCAGATCGACAGCGCAAAGAGGGCTGAGGTGCGCAGAGGCGGCATGCGGAAGATTGGAAGTAGCGGCAAGGCAAGCTGTGAGCAACAGGGCACGCGACGCTCTCTGCGGCGCACGCACAAGTGAGAATGACCGTGGCCTGGGCGCCCATCCGCTTCCGCTCGTCGTGCTCCGGCTCGGACGACCAGTTGAGGAACGTGACGACGTCCTTCGCCACTGGAGAATGTGTCAGCGAGGCGCGGGCATGCGCATGCAAGCAAATTACGCACTCTGCGTCGTGGTGGCCGGCGTGCCGTCCTCGTACTCGACCAGGCCGTCGTAGAGCACACGGGCCATGGCAATCTTGGTGCCCGGGAAGTAGGCTGGGAGCCGCGTGTCAGCATCGCTTCGCTCGAGCGGCGCACGTGCGGGCCTCACGGTTGAAGTTCAGGCCGTCCGGCACCTCGAAGCCCGCCGGCGGGTCCACGTAGCCGGTCAGCAGAGCGAAGATGTAGTCCTGCGGCAGGTGGTCAGGCCTTGCTCAGCGACGTGCGTGGCGCAATCGCCTCGCCCGCGTCGCGCGACGATGCGCTCCGCTGCGCAGTCTTCGCGAGGACTCGTCGTGATTCCTGCATCGAGCCATGTACTCACAGCGCCACCGTGGCGGGCCTTGGTGATCAGGCTCAGGTCCGGGGGCAGACCGCCGTTGTTGCCGGCGCGAGCAGCCTCCTCGTTGGGGTAAGGCGCGGGCATGGGGTCGGCAAGCTTGCCAGGGCGCATGCCAACCTCTGCAAGCACGTGGGTGCAAGTTGCGGGGTGCATGAGCAAAGTGCGCAGATGCCGGCCGCCGCGGCTGACTCACCGCCCTCGTCGTTGGGCTCGCCCTCGTACTCGACCTCCTCGGCCATGGCCTTCACCTCGTCGACAGTGTGCGAGACACCGACAAGCTGCGGGCATGCTCAGCCGCCGCGTCGCAGGGAGCACTCGAACAGGCACTTACGTTGCGCCAGGCGATGCGGTCAAGCGAGTGGCACGCAGCGCACACCTCGCGGTACACCTGGTAGCCGCGGCGGATGCTGCGAACGTGCGCGGTCAGCACGGGCGCCAAGCGAGCAGGCGAGAGCCCAGAGCTGCTCCCGGCACGACCTCGGCGCCGGTCCCATCGATGCGGCGCCGCAGCCCAAGAGCGCAGCGCGCAAATGATCTCGTCGCAAGCCTTGCGCTGCGCAACTCACCTGGCGTGGTCAAACGTCTCGAACACGCCGGCGTGGCTCCACGGGTAGGCTGGCGGGTGCAGGCCGTTGTCGATCATGTTGGCGCTCACGCTGCTGAGGCCGGGCAGGCCGCCGCCAAAGACGTGCGTGTACCAAGCAAGCGTGCCGACCGACAGGCCCGTGGCGCCGTACGCCGCAAGGCGCGAGGCAAGGAACGGGCTGGCCTGCTGCGGGGCAGCCGTGCTGGCGTTGCGGGCCTGCGGGTGCAGAAAGGGCATCAGCGCGTGAGCCGGGGGCAGGCAGGTTGCACAGCGGGCGTCGCGCGCCGCTGCCAGCGCTTGAACGGCAGAGCGTTGCGGCAGCCCTGGTGAGATGCCAGCGGAGCAGGCGCAGGCAACGCAGCACGCCGAGCGTCGGGTGCGGCAGCGGCAGCGTGGCGCACACGGCGGCGCCTGATGCGAGTCGGGCCGGAGCGAAGACGCACCGCAGCGGGAGTGGCGCGGGCGCCGGCGCGCATAGCCTGCGTGGCCGCACGGGCGGCAGCAGAGGAGAAAAAGGATGCCATGCTGGCGCGGGAGGGGGGGAGGGTGACGATGGTGGGAGACAGCAACAGCGGCGGGCCGGCGCGGCGCGGCGACGGCGACGACGGCGCACCTCGGCGGCGGCGGCGGCGCGCGGCGTGCCTCTCTGGCCGACTCCTTCCAGCGCCGCACCTCTGCGCCCCAGCACCAGACCACACAGACTCCCTCTGCATATTCGCTGCCCCGCACAGCTGCGCCATCTGCCTAGCAGCTGCAGCCTCGAACCTGCCTTCATCAAGCCGAACGGCCTGAGCCGGGAGCGGTACCAGGCATGCCTGCTGCGAGCACGACTCTGGCCGGGCGTGGGAAGAATACAAGAATCGAATACAAATTGCGCCCGCGCAGGCAACACAGGCGCCGGCCTGTCAAAGCCGCCCTCGCTGGCTGGCCGGCTGTGCAGAGCGCGACTCCCGCAGCGCGGACCACCCGGTCCCGCGCTGCACAGGCGGCGGACGGGCGTGGCCGGGTGCCGGCCAATCGCGGCGCGCCCTCTGCGCACGGCAGCTCGCCTTTGTCAGCGGCGCGTGCGGGGAGACCCTCGCTCGACGTCCACAGGCTGCAGCTGCGACAGCAGCAGGCGGCGACGTGAGCGCTTGGCAGCGAGGAGGCATGAGGCTTGGAGGGTGTGGGCTGCTGATGCTGCTGGCCCGGCTGAGCAAGCACGAGTTCTGAGCCTGGAGAGGCCGCGAGGCCGGAGCCGCTGCACCCTGCGATCAGGATGTTGGAGGCCGGCGGACGTGGCCGCGCAGACGCAGAAAGCCCCTTGGACGCATGCGCGCCTCGCCGCCCTCGGAGCTCGCGGACGTGGCAGCGACGGCTGTGTGCCCGGCTTGCCGCCTCTGCCTCTCCAGCCGCCAGCCTGGCGAAGCACTAGGCCATCATGGCAGCCTCTGTGACGGCTTGACTTGGTCGCTGCTGGAGCGAGCGGGAGGGCCTCAATGCTCATGGCCAGAGCAGGCGTTCCGGCATCGGAGCCACGCCGAATGCCCCGTGCTTGTGCTTTCTCGCAGGCCGGCGCGGCGCGGCGGCACGCCTGCCTTTGCTGACGAGCGCCGCAAGCGCCGCCGCGCGGCGCGCCGGCTTGCGCCACGCCGCGCGGCGCTGCCGTGGCGCCGCCGCCCTTGCCTTCGCCGCTCCCGCTCGCCTCTCTCTCTCCTTCCCCATACCCCTCCCCCTCCCGCCCCGCCATGCTCTTCCCGCGCCTCACCCGTGCGGCCCTGCCCACCAGCAGCGCCGTCGCCGCCGCGCCTGCGCTGCGCCGCTCCCTGCACGCCTCGCGCGCCGTGGCGAAGATCGTCGCCTCGCAGCCGCTGCGTGCCAAGGAGGCTGCGCAGCCGCACGACGCCGTCAAGGGCTACCCGATCATCGAGCACGAGTGAGTGTGGCCGCCGCTGCCGCCGCCGTCGCATCGTCTTGTGCAGCTCGTCCCGGCTGCACACGGCGAGCACGCGTGGCGTGCCTCAGCTGCGCGGCCGGCCTGCTGACCCCCCCGCGCGCAGGTACGATGCCGTCGTCGTCGGTGCCGGTGGCTCCGGTCTGCGCGCCGCCTTCGGCCTCGCCGAGGGCGGCCTCAACACGGCCTGCATCACCAAGCTCTTCCCCACGCGCTCGCACACCGTCGCCGCGCAGGGCGGCATCAACGCCGCGCTGGGCAACAGTGCGTGGCGCACGCGGTGGCAGTGCGGCGGCGTGCGCTGACACACTCTCTCCGCCCGCAGTGACCGAGGACGACTGGCGCTGGCACATGTACGACACCGTCAAGGGCTCCGACTGGCTCGGCGACCAGGACGCCATCCACTACATGTGCCGCGAGGCACCGCGCACCGTCATTGAGCTCGAGCACTACGGCCTGCCCTTCTCGCGCACCAAGGACGGCAAGATCTACCAGCGTGCCTTCGGCGGCCAGTCGCTCAACTACGGCAAGGGCGGCCAGGCGTACCGCTGCGCCGCCGCCGCCGACCGCACGGGCCACGCCATGCTGCACACGCTCTACGGCCAGTCGCTGCGCCACAACACCAACTTCTTCATCGAGTACTTTGCGCTCGACCTCATCATGGAGGACGGCGCGTGCGTCGGTGTCATGGCGCTGAACATGGAGGACGGCACGATCCACCGCTTCCGTGCCCACAAGACCGTGCTCGCCACCGGCGGCTACGGCAAGGCCTACTTCTCGGCCACGTCGGCGCACACGTGCACCGGCGACGGCATGGCCATGGTCGCGCGCGCCGGCCTGCCGCTGCAGGACCTCGAGTTCGTGCAGTTCCACCCCACGGGCATCTACGGTGCCGGCTGCCTCATCACCGAGGGCTCGCGCGGTGAGGGCGGCTACCTGCTGAACAGCGAGGGCGAGCGCTTCATGGAGCGCTACGCGCCCACGGCCAAGGACCTGGCCTCGCGCGACGTCGTCTCGCGCTCGATGACAATCGAGATCCGCGAGGGCCGCGGTGTCGGCCCGGACAAGGACCACATCTACCTGCAGCTCTCGCACCTGCCCGCCGAGGTGCTGCACGAGCGCCTTCCCGGCATCTCGGAGACGGCCTCCATCTTTGCCGGTGTCGACGTGACCAAGGAGCCGATCCCCGTGCTCCCGACGGTGCACTACAAGTGAGTTGCCTGCGGAGCATGTGCCGAGGCACGCTGAGCAGCTGCTGACGCCGCGACGTGCCTGCAGCATGGGCGGCATTCCCACCAAGTACACTGGCGAGGTCATCAAGCAGAACGCCGACGGCAAGGACGAGATCGTGCCGGGCCTGTACGCTGCCGGCGAGGCCGCCTGTGTGTCCGTGCACGGCGCCAACCGTCTCGGTGCCAACTCGCTGCTCGACATTGTCGTGTTCGGCCGCGCATGCGTGAGTGTTGCTGCCGCGTCTCGGACCGCGCCCGTCGGCCTGCTCTGCATTTGCTGATGTCTGCCGCTCGCTACAGGCCCAGCACATCAAGGAGAACCTCAAGCCCGGCCAGCCCCACAAGCCGCTGTCCGGCGACGCCGGCGCCGCGACGCTCAACAACCTCGACTGGGTGCGCAACTCGAACGGCAACCGCACGGTCGCCGACCTGCGCCTTGAGATGCAGAAGGTCATGCAGTCCGACGCCGCCGTGTTCCGGACGGAGGAGAGCGTGCGTACCGCCGGCTTGGCCAGCGCGCCCGGAGTGTCCTGACACCCCTCGACGTCCACAGCTCCAGGAGGGCCTCAAGAAGATCGCCAAGACGATGGACGCCCTGCCGAACATGAGCGTCAAGGACCGCTCCATGATCTGGAACTCGTGCGTGGGCGTGCCCGAGGCGTGCGCGAGCTGCAGCTAACACGTCTCCTCTGCCATCAGCGACCTGGTCGAGGCTCTTGAGTGCGTGCTTGCGGTTGCAGAGAGGCGCAGAGCACCCGCTGACACACAGTTTCCTCTCCAGGCTCCAGAACGTGTGTCACGCTGCGAGTTGACGCTGGTGGCGCTTGCTGACCCGCTCCACACAGATGGCCACCTGCGCCTCGCAGACCGTGACCTCGGCTGCCGCGCGCAAGGAGTCTCGCGTAAGTGCAGGTAGCGTCGGGCCTGTCCCGCCAGAACCTCACACATCTCTCCTCACAGGGTGCCCACGCACGAGAGGGTGCGCTCCGACGGTCTGCGCGTGCCCCCGTGCCTCCATTGACGCGCATCTCTTGCAGACTACCCCGAGCGCGACGACAAGGAGTGGATGAAGCACTGTGAGTGGCTCTGTCCGATTCCCGCCTGCTCCCGCAGCTGACGCGCCCTTCTGCAGCCCTCACATGGCAGTCGAACACGAGCGAGGCGCCGAAGCTCGGCTACCGTGCCGTCGTCGGCACGACGCTGGACGAGAACGAGTGCAAGGTGCGTGTGCCGCCTGCGCTGCCCAGCACCGCTGCTCACCATCGCTCTGCTCGCCCCACAGGCCGTGCCCCCGTTCAGTAAGTCTGCCAGCCGTCTCTCGCCCGCGCCGCTGTGCTCACACGCCCGGTGCCCCGCCAGAGCGGCAATACTAAGCGGCTGCCCGAGCAGCGGTGTCTGCCAGGGTGTCTCCGATGATGTGCCGCGGTCCGGCTGTGCAATTGATTGTCTCCCTCATGCGCTCTGGTGTGAGCTGGTGCGGCGGGTGCCCGATGCGAGCCGGGGGAGCGAGGCCTGGCCACGTGACGCGGCGCGGACGGCTCCGGCGCCGCCTCGCGCCGCGCAGAAATCTTTATCGCGGCCGGTGACTCGGGGCGTGCGCGCGCGCGCGTGAACAGCAGCAGCAGCAGCAGCCTGAGCACGGCGCGAGCTCGGGCAGGCCGACGGCCGACGCGCGAAGAAAGCGCCGGGCGGCAGAACCGTGCCTGGCGTCGAGATGGGCAATCGGCGGCCTCACAGCGCATCGCGGCGCTTGCCAGATCACTCCTCCTCCCATCCCCATCCCAATCCCCCGACGAAGCGCCGGCTGCGACAGCTCGCGACCGCCCGCCTCGCCGCTGCCGCCGCTCTCTTTTCCTCCCTCTGCCGCCGCCGCTGCTGGCACCGCCCCGGCCTGCTGCGCCGCGCCCTGCCTCGCACGCGCGTGCTCGCTAGCGACGCCGCGTCTCTCGCACCGGACATCTGCCCCGCCGGCGAGCCCTGCCCATCGCCGCCATGTACCGCCCGCTGCGCCTCGCTGCGCGCCTCGCGCCGGCGCACTCGTCGGCTGCGCCCGTGCCGCTGCGTGCGTTCCACTCGTGCCTCTCGCGCCGCAGCCCCGTGCCGACGACGCCCAAGGCGGCCAAGCACGTGGAGGAGATGCAGCCCATCGCCACGGGCCTGCAGAAGTGGACCAAGTATCTGCCCAAGGTGCGTGCTGCTGCGGGCGCCGCGCCTGGCGCGATCATCCCGTCCCTCTGCTGACCGGCGTCGGCACGCAGGTTGAGCGCAGCGACGTCAAGAAGGTGCTCCTCGTCGGCTCCGGCGGCCTGAGCATCGGACAGGCCGGCGAGTTCGACTACAGCGGGTGAGTCGCGCTGCAGCCCGTGCCTGCTCAAGCATGTGCTGACGCTGGCGCCCCTTCAGATCGCAGGCGATCAAGGCGCTGCGCGAGTCGGGCATCGAGACGATCCTGGTGAGCACGCCCCGCGCAGCTCCCAGTCGGCCAGGCTGCTGATCGCCTCGCGCAGATCAACCCGAACATTGCGACGATCCAGACGAGGTGCGCTGAGACTTGATCGCTGCCTGCGGGACGCTCGCTAACAGGCGCGAGGCAGCCACACGCACGCATCGCAGGTCTACTTCCTCCCCATCTCGCCCGACTACGTGGCCTACGTGCTGGAGAAGGAGCGTCCGGACGGCGTGCTGCTCACGTTCGGCGGCCAGTCGGCGCTCAACGTCGGTGTCAAGCTCGATGAGATGGGCGTGTTCGAGCGCCTGGGCGTCAAGGTGCTCGGCTCGCAGGTTGATGTGCTGCGCATGTGCGAGGACCGCGACCTCTTCGTGCAGGCGCTGGACCGTGAGTGGGCAGCGCTGCTGCCGGGCGCTGTGTGCGGTGTGCTGAAGCCCGCTCGCTCGCGACGCAGAGATCAACATTCCGGTCGCCAAGTCCGAGGCCGTCTCTTCCGTCAACGCCGCGCTCAGGGCGGCGAAGACGATCGGGTACCCCGTGATCGTGCGCGCGGCGTACGCGCTGGGCGGCTTGGGGTCCGGTTTCGCAGACAACGAGGACGAGCTCCGGGACTTGTCTGCCCGCTCGCTCAGTCTGAGCCCGCAGATTCTGGTGGAGAAGAGTTTGAAGGGCTGGAAGGAGAGCGAGTACGAGGTGCTGCGTGACAAGGAGGACGTGAGTGATGTGCATGCCGCGTGCTGGCCACAGCTGACGCTCGAGGGCCGGCCCGCTAGAACGCCATCATCTGCTGTAAGTGCTCGCGCTTCGGGCATCTGCGCGCTGCTATCTCACACGCCGTCCCGTGCAGGCAACATGGAGAATTTTGATCCCCTGGGCATTCACACCGGCGACTCCATCGTCGTGGCGCCCTCCCAGACGCTGTCAGACGACAACTACCACATGCTGCGCACTGCCGCGCTCAAGGTCATCCGTCATCTCGGCATCGTCGGTGCGTCACTGCAGAGGGTGTAGACTCGTGCTCGGACGCCGGAGCTGACGCCCGGCCACAGGCGAGTGCAACATCCAGTACGCCCTGGATCCCCACAGCCGCGACTACCGCGTCATCGAGGTCAACCCGCGTCTCTCGCGGTCGAGGTACGTGCGGCAGGCAGCGCTTCGTGTGTAAGATGCTGAGCCCAATCGCGCGCAGTGCCCTGGCGTCAAAAGCCACCGGATACCCGCTTGCGTACACCGCTGCGAAGCTCGCGCTGGGCCACACGCTGCCCGAGCTGCCGAACGCCGTGACGAAGACGACGACGGCGTGCTTCGAGCCCTCGCTCGACTACATCGTCACGAAGATCCCCAAGTGGGATCTCAGCAAGTTCCAGCACGTGAACCGGGAGGTCGGCTCGAGCATGAAGTCGGTCGGCGAAGTCATGGCCATCGGCCGCACATTCGAGGAGTCGCTGCAGAAGGCCATCCGACAGGTGAACCCGAGCTACGACGGCTTCGACGCGTACGTGGCACCGCCGGACGAGGAGCTCGACCACGCCCTCTCGGTGCCGACGGACACGCGTCTCTTCTCGCTCGCACACGCCATGCTGAACAAGAACTACGACGTCGAGCGCCTGCACGAGCTGACGCGCATCGATCGCTTCTTCCTCTACAAGCTGGACAACATCGTGCAGATCAACCGGCAGCTCAAGGAGCTCGGCTCGCTCTCGGCCGTCGACAAGGAGCTCATGGTGCTTGCCAAGCAGCGCGGCTTCTCGGATCGCCAAATCGCGCAGCTCACCAACACGGGCGAGGACGCCGTGCGCAAGCACCGCAAGGCGCTGGGCGTGACGCCGTTCGTCAAGCGCATCGACACGGTCGCCGCCGAGTACCCGGCGCACACGAACTACCTCTACACGACGTACAACGCGTCGACCCACGACGTCGAGTTCGACGAGAACGGCACGATGGTCCTCGGATCCGGCGTCTACCGCATCGGCAGCTCGGTCGAGTTCGACTGGTGCGCCGTGACGTGCGCGCGCCGCATCCGCTCGATGGGCCACAAGACGATCATGATCAACTACAACCCGGAGACGGTCAGCACCGACTTCGACGAGGCCGACCGCCTCTACTTCGAGGAGCTGGGCTTCGAGCGCGTGATGGACATCTACGAGCTCGAAGGCTCGACCGGCGTGGTCGTGTCCGTCGGCGGGCAGCTCCCGCAGAACATTGCCCTGCGCCTCAAGGAGACTGGCGGCTGCAAGGTGCTCGGCACGGACCCGCTGCGCATCGACTCCGCCGAGGACCGGCACAAGTTCAGCTCGATCCTCGACTCCATCGGCGTGGACCAGCCGGAGTGGGTCGAAGCGACCTCGGTGGACATTGCCAAGGAGTTTGCCGCGCGCGTCACGTACCCCGTGCTTGTCCGGCCGTCGTACGTCCTGTCGGGCGCCGCGATGAACGTCATCTGGGACGAGAGCACGCTTGAGCACCATCTCACTGCTGCGGCCCAAGTCAACACCGACTACCCCGTCGTGCTGACCAAGGTATGTTCCGCTCCGACGCGCGCGGCTCGTGCGTTGTCGTGCTGACCCGCCGCTTCAGTTCATCGACAACGCCCAGGAGATCGACATCGACGCGGTCGCGCACAAGGGAGAGCTCCTCGTCCACGCCGTCTCGGAGCACGTCGAGAACGCCGGTGTCCACTCCGGCGACGCGACGCTGGTGCTCCCGCCCTTCTCGCTCGACCCTAACGATCTCGCGCGCCTGAAGGTCATCGCACAGAAGGTCGCCAAGGCGTTTGAGATCAGCGGTCCCTTCAACATGCAGATCATCCGCAAGCCTACGGCTGACGGCGAGGGCGAGGCCGCGCTGAAGGTCATCGAGTGCAACCTGCGTGCCAGCCGCAGCTTCCCCTTCGTCAGCAAGGTCCTCGGCGTCAAGTGAGTGGACGTGCAACGTCACTCAGCATTTCATACTGACACCTGTGCGGCTCCCAGCTTCATCGACATTGCGACATGCGCCATCGTCGGCCAGGACGTGCCGGCGCCGGTCGACCTGATGGAGAAGCAGCGTGACTACGTTGCGATCAAGGTCCCGCAGTTCTCGTGGACGCGTCTGGCGGGTGCAGACCCGTTCCTGGGCGTGGAGATGGGCTCGACTGGGTGAGTGGCGAGGCTTGCGATGCCCCGCGGCCTGCGACTGAGCACTGCCATGGAACAGCGAGGTCGCAAGCTTCGGCAAGGACATCTACGAGGCCTTCTGGGCCGCGACGGTGTCGCAGACCAACTTCCGTGTGCCGCAGCCCAACACTGGCGTGCTCATGGGCGGCGACGTGACGAAGCCCGAGTTTGCCGAGATTGCGCGCATCTACTCCGACCTGGGTTTCAAGCTGTACTGCCAGAGCGCCGAGGTGGAGCAGTTCCTCAACGGGCTGCCGCACGTGTCGTGCAAGCGCATCTTCTTCCCGCTCAAGGACAAGCGCAAGCTGAAGGAGGTGTTTGACGAGTACGAGATCAACATCACGATCAACGTGCGTGGCTGCGTGAGGACATGAGCGCAGAACGACGGCTGACCGTCCTCCCCTACAGCTGGCGCGGTACCGCGGCAAGGACACGCTTGACGCCGACTACGTCGCGCGTCGCAACAGTGTCGACTTTGGGTGCGCATGCTTTGACGCAGCTCATGTTCGGCCCTGCATCTGACTCCAGTACCCGCGCAGCGTGCCGCTGTTCAACGAGCCCCGCGTTGCTCTGCTCTTTGCCAAGACGCTGCAGCACCGCATGCCGCTGAACTGCCTCCGCCCGTACGAGGAGGGCAAGATCCCGTCCGAGGTGAGCGCGCTGCGTCGGCTGCACGCGACTGACCCGCTGACGCGCGCGCAATCTAGGTGGTCTCATGGAAGGAGATGGTGCCCGAGGAGCGGGCATGAAGGGTTATTGCCTAAGAAACGCGGTACCGAGACCTCGAGAATGCATAGAGTCTAATCAACAAGGACCGAAGCTGCGACGGCGCATCTGCTGCGCGTGGTGATTGCAGCGCGCCGCAGTGAAAAGGGGGGGGGGGGGGGGGCAGGGGGCGGGCGCAATCCAGAGCTGACAGCTTGTGCGCGGCCGAGGAACAGAGAAGCCAAGAATGGGGCGCTGCTCAGGCAGCCGGAGGCGCAGCACAGGTGTGCACCGTGTACTAGAGCAGGCCGGTCAGTGCGGGCGCTGCAGGCAGCATGCGCTGCACTCACGTCGATGTTGTCGAGCAGAAGCGCCTTGCTCAGCTCGCACGGCACGGTGAACGTAACCGTGTCGAGGTCGCACCACTCGGAGGCGGCAAAGTCGGCGTAGTGCATGCGCGCCTTGAGCAGATTCTTGGGCTGGTAGACGAGCTGCTGCTCGACGGTCTTCTTGCCGTTGACGAAGCCCTCGACGTGCACGGTGCATGGCACGATCGCAGACACGGCGCTCTCGCCAGTGTGCGCGACGCAGGCGAAGAAGAAGCTGTGCAGGTTGAACGTCTTGACGGGCGAGTCGGGGTAGAGCGTGCTGATCTGCGCTCTCTGGCCGCCGAGGGCAGGCTCGAGACCCGTGGCGATGACGTTCGGCGGCGAGCGGTTCTTCAGGCCGTTGAGCGAGACGGACAGGGGCGACGGCAGTGTGCTGTCGACGCCGACGAAGGACTGGTACGCGAGGGCGTTGTAGGTGCCAATTGAGTTGGTCACCGAGACACCTGGCAGGAACGATCGGTCGTCGAACTGCAGTACAAGCGGATCAGCGGGCAGCAAGCACCGCACCTCAGCGATGCTCTACTGACGTTGGAGTTGTAGCGCTTCGAGACACAGGCGCCACCCTGGCCGAACGGCTTAACGCCGGGCCGCGTCTCTAGAGCCATTGCGACGGTGGCCGCAAACACGAGGGAGAGAAAGAGGATCGCCTGCATGGTGCTGTCGGGGTGAAGGTGGGTGACTTGAGTTGTTGATGAGCGCTTGTGAGGACAGACGGAAGGTCGCGTATTCTCTCCCCTTTTGAGGCGATGGTCGGCGGAGGCGCCGGTCACATAGCTGGCCAGAACAGCAGCGCAAGTGCAGCTTGCGAGATGTTGAGCATGTGGATGTCGAGACAACCGCTACTGAAGAAGGCCGCGAAGCTCAGGCTCTCGGCGGAGAGGAACAGTCCTTGGCAACGCATACGGTGCTCAGGATGCGCTGCGGCACCTAGGTACGGCGTCTCAGCCCTGCGCCCTCAACGCTCCGAGCAAGACGCCGTTGCTAGGCGGTGGCTTGGCCGGAGAAAGCGCTCGGCGACGTCGCCGTGCTGCTCGAGCGAGCGCAGTGGATCGCCGTGCAGGCGGACCGTCCGCTGCGGAGGCGCAAGCGTGGACCCGCTCGTCCGTTGAGGCCAGCGCGTGCACCGCATCGCCGCACGTCGAGCGGCGCCGCTCGTGTGACGAGGGACCGGTCAGCACACTGGTGCCCCCACACGGTGTCTTGAGCCTGCAGAGCTGTGGATGAAAGCTAGCAAAGTTGCGAGAGGCGGGCTTGCTGGACGCCGAGCCCGAGGCGCCGTGGTTGGCGGGGCTGAGCGCTGCTGATGTCTGTGCTCGTCTCATTCGACCCGCCGGCAGGAACCGTGCACATGTAGCTACATCCTGCGTGTTCAGAAGATCAGCAGGATCATTGTGAGCGCAAAAGAGGGGGCCTTGCTAGTGCCGCTGGGTACTGCTTGACATGATGAGGTCTGGGATGCGTGGCGGGCTGGCGACGTGCGCAAGCTGCCGAGGTGCTGGCGCCTGTGCAGCAGCGCGCGCGGCGCGCGGCGGCGGCGGCGAGCTGAAGGCGTGGCAGGGCACGGCTGCTGCTGCCGCTGCCTGTGCTGCACTGCGGCGGTGCACTGGCCGCATCGCATGCGCAACGCTGCCGTCGATCGCTATCACCACCATCTCCCTGACACTCCGCCACGGCCCTCTGCCCCTCGCCGCTGCAACTGCCTCAGCAGCACCGCAGCTACACGCCAAGCATCTCGACTGCCTCGTGCGCGCCCGCTCCACCGCTTACCGCCGCTCCTCGCCTTCGCCATGGTGCGCAGCGTGTCCGCAGCGCCCCGCCCCAGCTCTGGCTGACCCGCGACGCCGCCTGCCACAGTCTGCGCAGCAGAGCCAGGGTATTCAGACCCTTCTCGAGGCCGAGAAGGAGGCTGCCAAGATCGTGGCCAAGGCCCGCACCTGTGAGTCGCCGCTGTGCCTCTTGCCCCCGCTCGGCAGCGCGCTGCCAGTGCGCTGCACCGCACGCCTGTGCCTCGACGACCAGCTCGCCGAGCAGGTGTTGCCGTTGTCGCGGTATCTTCGTGCTCTATGCATATGCTACAGCGCTCCTCGGCGCTTTGCCGCTCGCGGTGCGGCCCGAGCAGAGGCATGTGCCAGCCTGCAGCGCCGCTGCTGACAGAGGGCGCTTCATGATCACGCTCGCTCGGCACTCGCATGCGTGCCGGGCCAGCTCCGAGCACGTTGCCGACCGGCTCTTTTACTGCTTGTTCTGCGCACTGCTTGTCCTGCGCTGTCCTCGGGCCGACGTCCGACCGCACGACGCGCAGGGCGTCGCGCGCAGGCATGGTCGGGCTGCGGGCCTAGCTGCAACATCCCGCTGACCCCCTCTCAGACCGCACGCAGAAGCTCAAGGATGCGCGCTCCGAGGCTGCGCAGGAGATTGAGGAGCTGAAGAACCGACGAGAGACGGAGTTCAAGAAGGCCCAGGCTGATGTGAGTGCCTCGCGCCAGTGGAGCCGGCCCGTGCTCACGCGCGCATCAGCACGAGGGCTCGTCTGGCCGCTCGCAGGCCTCGGTGGACAAGTCGACCGAGGAGCAGCTCAAGAAGCTCGACGAGGCCTTCGAGAAGAACCGCAAGGCCGTCGTCGACAAGCTCCTGGAGCGCATCGTCGACGTCGAGCCGGCCACGCACCGCAACCTGCAGAAGGCCTAGGCTGCCATGCTTCTCTCGCTCGTCCCTCATTTCACTCATGACCGTCTGCCAGAGACTGTTTTGTATTGTGCCGCTGCACAGAGCGCGAGAAGGGGCAGGCTGGGCAGGAGCTCTATGTGACGCGAGCACCGGCCGCTCACGGCGTGCAGCGCCCGGTCCAGCGGGGGTACAGCGAGGCCTCGCGGACGCTGCGGGCAGGCGTCAGCGGATGCGGCATGCGCAAAGGAGCACGGGCGTACGCACGTGTAGCGGTTGGTGAGCCAGGCGAGGAAGCGCTCGACGCCGAGGCCGTAGCCGCCGTGCTCGCACGTGCCATACTTGCGCTGGTCGGTGTACCAGTGGTACGGCTTGGCGTCGATGCCCTCGTTCTTGTACGCCTGCAGCAGCTCGTCGGGGTCGCTCATGCGCATGCTGCCGCCGACGATCTCGCCGACGCCGGGCATCAGCACGTCGACGCTCTCGGTGAAGTGCTCGTCGCCGGGCACGCGCTTCATGTAGAAGCTCTTGATCTCGCGCGGGAAGCCCGTGAGGAAGATGGGCACGTTGAGCGCGTCGGTCATGCGGCGCTCGGCCGCCTCGGCAATGTCGTCGCCGACGACGTGCTCCTTGCCCTCGTCGGTGAGGATGCTGTGCTCGTTGAGCCACTTGATCGCCTCCTTGTAGTCCATGCGCCGGAAGGGGCGCGAGGGGAAGGCAAAGTCGGGGTTCAGCTGCTTGATCATCGACGCCGACGCCGGGTCGGCAAGCACGCGCTCGAGCGTGCCGCAGATCTAAAGAGCCGGGTCAGCGCTGCACTGGTGTTGGCGCGGCAGCAACGGAGCCTCACAATCTGCTCGAGGTGTGCCAGCAGGTCCTCGAAGGTCAGGAAGCCCAGCTCGGCCTCGAGGTGAGTGTACTCGCTGAGGTGTCGCCGCGTGTGGCTCTTCTCGGCGCGGAAGCTCTCCTGCACGCAGAACACGTCGCCCAGGCTCGGCAGGCACGTCTCGAGGTACAGCTGCGAGCTCTGCGTCAGGTACGCCTCCTGGCCGTAGTAGTCAAACTTGAAGAGCGTCGAGCCGCCCTCGACCTGCGTCTGCACCATGCACGGCGGCGTCACCTCGAGCAGGCCGAGGGCGTCGAACTCGGCGCGGAAGGCGCGCAGCACAGCCGCGCGGACCTTGAGCACGGACGAGGCCGTCTCGCCGCGGATGACGAGGTGCCGCGAGTCGGCGAGCTTCGACATCTCGGTGCCCTGGCGCGAGGGTGTCAGCGGGTGCGGCGTTGCGTCGGCTGTGCGCAGCGGAACGCACCTCGGCCACGCGGTTCAGGAAGGCCTCATCGCCGCCGGGCGCCTTGCCAATGCAGCGCCACCAGTCGGCAGCCAGCTCGTGGTTGTCCGGCGCCGACTTGCCCTCGGGCAGCGCCTTGATCGTGCCGACGACCTCGATCGTCGACTCGAGCGTGAGCGTGAGCGCGTCGTAGGTCTTGGCCTATGCGGCCGTCAGTGTCCGGTGCAGCAGAGCATCATCAGTGTGCTCACGCAGTCGCCGCCGAGCACCACCTGCAGGTAGCCCGTGCCGTCGCGCAGGATGATGAAGATGAGGCCCTTTTGCGAGCGCAGGCGGTGCACCCAGCCCGAGACGCGGACCTGCTGGTCGCGCGAGCCGATTGCAGAGCGGATCTTGATCTGAAGCGCGCGTCCGTGAGCTCGACGGTGCGCACACCAGCAGCGCACGGCCCAGCGCACTCACCTTCTTGCCGCCGTCGACGGCCGGCAGTACGACGGCCTTGGCCGCTTCGAGGCGCTGGTCCTCGTCGTCGTCGCGCGGGCGGCGCGCCTCCTCCTCCTCGCGCGTCGCGGCCTTCTCGCGCTTCTTCACCTGCTGCTCATACAGCTTGCGCGCCTTCTTGTTGCCCGACGCGGAGATGGGCTGCCAGGCAGACGGCGCCGCATCGCTGGCGGGGCGGCGCGTGTGCAGCGCGACGTCGGGCCCGCGCGCCAGCAGCGCAGCGACGGCCGTAGCAAAGGGCGCGCTCTCCGAGCCGTCGCCCGTGGTGTCGGAGCCGGCGGCCTCGTCGATGTAGACTGTGAGGCGTCAGCGGCAGGAAGACCTCGCACGGCGCACGGCGCGGCGTACCGGGCGTGCCCTCGGCGGCGTCGGCGGGCTTGTCGGAGCGCAGGTGCAGCGCGGCCGCGGCCTTGTCGAGCGAGTCGCGGACGGCGGACATGGTGGGTGGGCGAGTGGGTGTGGTGCAGACGCAAGGGGCAGGCCAGAAGCTGATACGCGCGTGAGGTGCGCTGCGGCGCTGCGGCCGCGGCCAGGTTCGCGCTTCTTGCCGTGCCGCGCCTCTGCCTCCCGCGCGTGTTCCCACGGTGTGCTTGCTCGCCTCTCATGCCTGCTCTGTGCGGGCGGCGACCTCCACCGTGCCTTGACGCCTGACCACTCCATCCTTCGCGCCCCTCGTCTGCCATGCTCGCCCGGGCGCCTGCTGTGCGCGAGGCTCGGCGCGCAGCGAGCGTTGCAGCTCGCGCTAGCACGAGCCGTGCCGCATCGTCGTCGCCGTCGCCGTCGAGCGCTGCCGCTGCGCCGCCGCCGCCCCGGCGCATCTTCTCGGGCATCCAGCCGACGGGCGTGCCGCACCTGGGCAACTACCTCGGCGCGCTGCGCTCGTGGCTCGAGCTGCAGCAGGCCGACGCTGCCGCTTCGGCGCCGGAGCATGCTGCAGCTGGTGCGGCAGCGTCTGGGCCGGCCGGCTCGACCCACGTCTTCTTCTCCATCGTGGGACTGCACGCCCTCACCGTGCCGCAGGCCGGCAAGCAGCTGCGCCGTGAGCGCCGTGCGATGCTGCGCTGCTTGCTGGCCATCGGCATCGATCCGGCGCGCTGCACGTTGTTCCATCAAGAGCAGGTGCGTGTGGTCAGATGGAAAGGCACACCGGGGCGGAGGGGAGGTCTGCGTGTTGGCGATCACAAGTCCTGCGAAGCTGCAGGCGACTGCGCGCTCAGAGCAGGGTCGTCTGGCCAGTAACTGTCGTGATCTAGCCGTCGGGGCGCGTGCGACCGCACGACCTCGTCTAGACTGCTGAACGAGGCTCCATGCAGGTGCCCGAGCACGCCGAGCTCGCGTGGATTCTCAACTGCCTCACGAGCGTCGGCAAGCTGAATCGCATGACGACGTGGAAGGTGAGCAGCGACTGGCCTGCTGTAGAAACGCTCGCTCATGCGACCACAGGGCAAGCTCGCGACGCTCCGAGGCACCGACGCCGCGGCTGGCGAGCCGGAGATGGAGCAGATGAACCTGGGCCTGTATGCGTATCCGGTGCTGCAGGCCGCCGACATTCTCCTCTACAGGCACGTATGACGCGGCGTGTGCGTTGCCGCGGCGGCTGACTGTCCGCAGAGCCACGCATGTGCCCGTCGGCGAGGACCAGCTGCAGCACCTCGAGCTCGCGCGCGACATTGCGCACGGCTTCAATCGGCAGTACAAGACGTCGCTCTTTCCCGCTCCCGCCCACATCATCAGTGCGTGCGCAGTGTCTGCCGGCGTGTGCTGCGGCTGACGCGCATGTGCAGCGCCGACAAAACGCGTCCTCTCCCTGCGCGACCCGGCCCAGAAGATGTCCAAGTCGGCGCCCGACGCGAGCTCGCGCCTCTTGCTCACCGACTCGCCCGCCGAGGTGCGCTACAAGCTGAAGCGCGCGGTCACCGACAGCGAGCGCGAGCTCGTGTATGATCCCGCCGAGCGGCCTGGCGTGTCCAACCTCCTGCTCATGCTCTCCAGCCTGCGCGGCACGACGCCCGAGCACGAAGTCGCGGCGCTCAATGCCGCTGGCGGTGGCGCCGGCCGGCTGAAGGAGGCCACGACGGAGGCCGTCGTCGAGGCGCTGCAGCCTATCCAGGCTGCGCTGCGCCGCCTGGACGACGACCCGGGCTACGTCGACGAGGTGGAGCGCAGCGGCCGCGAGCGCGCGCGGGCCGAGGCGCGGCGCACGATGGCTGCCGTGCGGCAGCTTGTGGGCTTCGGCTAGACGCGCTGTAGGTAATCAAATGCGGGCCGGGAACTGTACAAGATGGTGAGGTGAGAGAAGTGAGTCGTGGTATGTGCGGGCGGCGTCTAGAGGGCCATGTTCTGGTCGGCCGAGTTGGCGCGCAGGTTTGTCGGTGTGCGCGACGTCGCCGACGGGAAGAGCGTCGTCGGCTTGGCCCTGCGAGGGGGGGGGGGGGGTTGACAAATCAGCGACGCTACCTACAGGGCCGCTCTGCGACTCACTTCATGAAGTGCTTCTTCTTGCTCAGGTTCAGCTTCGATGTGCACGGCGAGACCATGTTGTCTGTCGGCGAGTGCGAGTAGAAGTTCGAGGCGGCGGCAGTGCGGGCGGCGAGCGGCGCCGTTGCCTGGGGGCGAGTGTCAGCGAGGCGCAGCGCTGTGCGTACATTGCACGCACCCTCCGGTGGCCCTCCTCCTCGGTCATGTTCGCCACACGGCCCTCGGCGTTGCGCTTGAGCACGACGAGGTTGCGCGTGCTCTTGCTGACCTGCGCCGCCTCGCCGGCGTCTGTCATGGCCGCGACGACGACGTCGACGCAGAGCGTGCCGGCCGCGAGCGACTCGGGGCTCTCAAGCAGGCGCAGCTGAACGTGGCGGTGCGGCGTCGCCTGGAGAGAGGATTCGTGAGATGCGGTGTATGCAGAGCCACGCCAATGGCCACTCACAGTCCACGAGGCGCGGAACTTGGCCTCAAACGCCGCGGCACCGACGGCCACGTCACCGTTGGGCAGCGTGAGGATGATCTCGTTGGCAAACGGCACAAACGTCGACGTGCTCGGCGCGGCCGCGTACAGCTTCGAGACGTGAGCGGGCGCGCGCAGCAGGCCAGCGCCGGCGCACTCACCTCCCGGACCGACTGCAGGATGGCGGCCTCGGCGGCGTCGCCGGCGGCGCGCTCGGGCAGCAGCAGCGAGCTCTCGGCGGAGAGGCCGGCGGCGTTGAGCTTGAGCATCGCAGAGTGGGACATGGTTGCTGTGCGGAGGGTGGAGGGTGTGTTGAGGGAGAGACGGTGCGGCGAGGACGTGGTGGAGAGGAGAGAGGCGGCAGCAGCGCGGCCGGCACTCAAGAAGGCGCGCGCCACGAATGCGGCAGGCGCAGCGCAGCGCCGGCCAGCTGCTGCACGCTGCCGCTCTGCGTCCACCAGGCACGGCAAGCAGCATGCAGCGTTCTGCTGTGCGGCTCGACGCCGCTCCTCGGCCGCGGCCTGCGCGAGTCGAGGCTTCGCCGAGCGCAACTCCACAACAGGCAGGTCTCGCCGCAGATCTGCAGCGCCGCGCGGCGAGTCCAACACCAGCCGGCAGCGGGCGCGTTGCGGCACTGCACCAGTGTCGGGCGCGCGTGGAGCATCACTCAACACCTCGCGCCGCACCGCCTTCGCAGCTGCAGCGCCCCGCCGCGCGCCTCGACGCAGCCCACAGTCCCGCACGTGACGGGCCGTCCATGCCCTCTGCGAGGGTCTGGCCACCCTTGGCCGCACCGACAGCATCAGAGCAAGGAGCGGTGCTATTACATGGCTCTCCAGCCCTGTTACAAGCGCCGGCACTGGCCCTAGCCGAACACGTCCTCGCTCAGCTGCCCGCTGCGCTTGAGCGCCTTGACCTCCGCCGCCCCGTCCTTCCTGCCGCCGAGCTGCTCGGCGATGGTGCCCAGCACCTGCTCCACGCCCGAGCCCACGCGGAGCGCCGAGCCGCACACGTAGAAGCGGCCCTTGTTCTGCAGCGCAGACCACACATCAAGGCCGTCGCGGACGAGCAGGTCCTGCGCAAACAGGCGCGAGCCGTGGTCGCCGCTGTACACCGCCTCGATGTCTGCGTAGCCCTCGTCGATGTAGACGTACAGGAGCCTGCCGGGGCACAGTAGAGTCAGCCGCGGTCCTGCACACCGCTGCTCTGTGCTCACTTCTTCAGCTCAGACATGTCCCGCTCGGAGGTGCCGTAGTACAGCTTGCACTGGGCGGCCGTGCCCCCGTGGGACGCGAGCTTCAGGCCCTGCGCCTTGCGCTCCTCGAGGAAGCCAAGGAACGGCGCGATGCCTGTGCCGGCGGCAACCATCGTCACGGGCACGTCGGGCGTGGCCGGCAGGTGGAAGGCCTCCTGCGACGGCCTCGTGCGGACGAAGATCTGCATGGGGTCAGTGCCATGTTGTGCGCCGCAGCGCAAGAAGCACGCACCTTGTGGCCAGGCTCGCAGCTCTTAAGGAAGCCGCTGCAGAGGCCCTCGATGGCTCCTTCCTCGGTGATCAGCGGATTCACGCCGACGCAGATCTTGAGCGTGTTGCTGTCCGCCGCAGGGCTGCTCGCGATCGAGTAGCGTCGGGTGGCGATGGACTTGACACAGAGCAGCAGGTCTTTGAGCGTCAACGCGCTTCCGACGCTGGGATAGTGCGCCAGCAGAGCCGCAAAGTTGCGATTCTTGCGCGCAAACGCCGCCATGGTGTCCTTGTCTGCGCTCGGATCGGCGAGTGCCTCCAGCTCCGCCTTGGCCTTGTCGCCATCGGGCAGAAGCGTGCTGACGTGCTGCAGCGCGCTGCGCTGGAGCGGGGCAGAGAGGTCGGCGTGGAAGGTGAGCGCTTCGCGGATGTCCATGGCGCCGAGGGAGGCCAGACGGCCCGCGAGTGAGAACGCGTTCAAGCTGTCCTCCTGCTGCACCTCCACGCTGAATCTCGCCTGCTCGACGAGATGCAGCTTCGCAAGGACCGTCTCGACGGCCTCGGGGTGGTTCTCCGGCACAATCTCGACGTGGTCGCCCGCACGGTAGGATGCGCCGGGCGGCAGACTCAACGTCAGCAAGCGCATGCCCCTCGGCGGATCGGCGCCCTCGTCGACGAGCTCGCGGTTCTCGACGACAGACGCTTCGGCGAAGTCCCGGAGCGGCGTCGCGCGTGGCGGTTTTGCGCCGTCGTCAATTGGCTGAAACGCGATGCGGACCGCATCGGACACGCTCGACGAAGTGCTGGACTCGCTCTGACCGCCTTGTGGGTTGGCCAAGTCGATGCCGTTCTTGGCAGCCACCTGGCCCCAGAGCTTCGTCGACCACTCGTTCCAGTCGCGATCTTGGTCCTCGTCGGCGTTTCCCGAGCCCTTTTCGAACCACTGCTCGGCACCGAGCGCCTTCAGCGACGCGTTGACCTTGTCTGGGAAAGCCTGGTACGTCGAGCCCCACTGCTTGTTGCCGCAGCCGAAGACGGCGTAGCGCAGTCCAGCGAAGCGGTGTTCATCCTTGTCCTTGACGGCCTGGTCAAGCAGCGTGTCGAGATCGATGGCCGCCTCTGGCGGCTCGCCGTTGTACGTGCATGTGACGACGACGAGGATGTGGTCCTTTGCCACGAGCTCGGCCGTGGCGTCTGCGTCGACGAGCGGTCCTTCCTCCATCGACAGCAGCTTCACGTCGGCAAAGCCCAGGTCGCGTGCCCGACGCGTCAGCTCGGACGCAAAGCCCTTGCAGGTGCCCGTGTTGGAGGCGTGCACAGCGTAGAAGGCCGGGAGGTCCGTGCGGCCGACGGGCGGGCGCTTTGTTGTTGGCGACTCTTTGGCACCAGATGGTTCGGGAGCGGCAGCCTCGCGCGTGGCCTGGAATGTTGCAGCATCCTCTTGCGCGTGCACGCGGATCTTGAGGTTGAGCGGGCGGAAGAGGGAGAAGTCGGGGTCATACACGACGCTCTCTCCCGTGACGTTCTCGAAGCGGAAGTTGAGGACCCAGCGGGCGAGGATCACCTTGACTTCCGCGAGTGCAAGGCTCTGTCCAATGCAGCCGCGTCCGCCAGCAGCAAAGGGGATGTACGCGTGCGAGTGGCGGTGCTGCACCTTCTCCGTGCCCCACCGGCCGACGTCAAACTTGAACGGGTCGTCCCAGTGCTCCTTGTTGACCATGACCGCATGCAGCGCCGTCGTGACCTGCGAGCCCTTGCGCACAAAGTAGCCGCCAGGGACCACGACGTCTGCACGACGTCAGCACAGCTTTCGGTGGACAGAGGAGGCAGACCCACCCTGCAGAGCACAGCGCGTGGGCTGGAAGGCCGGGTTGTACAGGCGCTGCTTAGGGTTAGGGTTAGGGTTAGGGTTAGGGTTAGGGTTAGGGTTAGGGTTAGGGTTAGGGTTAGGGTTAGGGTTAGGGTTAGGGTTAGGGTTAGG